CATTCGCTATATCACCGCCATCACAGTTTATCAAACTACAAATAATACACTCGCTACAGCGCTTAGAATTTACAAAATCTATTTTATACACACAGTTATACTAAAAACAAAGAGAACACGGCATTATATCGTATCCCTTATATTCCACTAAAATACTAAAAGCCTAACGATTCCGCTTAATTCAATTACGACGACTTTCACAAAAATCAGATTTTTAAATTCGACCTAATATTATATTAACACATTATAAAAAAAAAATAAACTTAACGGACCCTAACCTAAGCCACGACTATTTACTTATAGGTCTATAGGACTAGATCTTTAGAAAAGAGACTTAATGTTACGACCTAACATATATAACAAGACCAAAGACCTACCCCACAGGCCTACAGCGACTACCTCGCTATATATATAATCAAATAATAAAAATATATATATTACCCTCACGGACCAAAAGAACTATAATATAAATTATATAAAAATAAAATAACGATTATTCTAAATTAATATAATTTAATACGACTTAAGGGCTAAGTAATTATTTTAAATTAAAATAATTTAAAATAATCTAAAAGAATAAAGGACATATTTATAATTAGGACTTATATATAAGATAGCCCGAGCTAAACTCGAAAATAGACTCTTATAGCTTCTTTAGTAATCAACTTTATATTAAATTTTATAATTATTTTTAACTATTTTTATTAAGAACTTATTAATAAAACTATAACTAATTACCAAAGCCTTATTTACTTTATAACTTATAAATAATAGCTTCCCTAAAGCTATTCCTATAACGATTACTATTTATAAATATCGCAGCCCCGACTTTTATTAATATAAACTTTATTACGACTAACTAATTATAATATTATAATCGATTTCTAACTAAGCACGTCGTCAAGCGACGTCGCGAGGTTCGTCCGAGTCATAAAGCGATTATTAGCCTATAAGCTATTCGTAATTTAATATATTAATATTATCTAAAAAAAGGTCGTAATCTATTCCCTCAGTACTTAATTCCGTTAATATATCGTCAATAATTTCCTTACTTAAATTACCTAATTTAATATTTTCTTTAAACATAAAAATTTTTTATTTTAAACAAAGCATATCGTCCTTTATTATTATTTTAAATTATTTATTTATTTATTATCGTAAGATAATAAAAATTATTTTTATAATTAAGTATCGAGGAATATAAGTATTTACCGTATAATAGGCTTTGTTTAATTCCTCGATACGTTACTTATAACGTTCTTCTAACGTCTAAAGTCCGTAAACTAAATTTATTTCCTTATCGATCTCGTCCTTTAGCCGGAGGAAGTCTTTTTTCGTCTTAACCTCCAGTCGTTTTTAAAATTATTATTAAAATAAAGCGAGCATTACCTTTACGTCTAATCGTTTTTTCTTTAATAATCGGCCGGCTTTATAATAACTAATTAATATACAAATATAATCTTTATTATAATCTTTTATTATCAAAAAGTAATATTTATAATATTAAATTATTTTATTAAATACTCGTCGTATTATATAAATAGATTTATTTAAAATTCGTATTTTACGAATTAAGATTTTATTTTTTAATTAAAATAAATCGTCTTTAGTTTTAATTACTATCTTATTTTTTAATCTACTTTTTATTATCGTAAGGGTTTACGCTTATTTAAAAAAGCTAATAAGTTATACCTTAACTATTTTATATACTATCGATAATATTTAGATATACTTTTTATTATAATCTTCGATAATCTTAAAATATTTTTATTTACTTACTATAATAAAAGTTTTATTAAAAAGTTTCTTAGAATACTATTTTAATTATTTTTTACTATTTTAGTAAATAAGGTAGTTATCGTCGTAATATATAATTTAAAAAAGTAATTTATAAAGTATTTTTTTAAAAATAATATTAATTTATTTCTTAAGGATAGGTTATTATTAAATTTATTTAAACTATTTATAATCTTTAGCTATATATTTTAATTTATCGTAGTTATAATATTTAAATTTTTTTTTTAATAAAATTAGTCTCGTTTTGCTATATTAAAATTTATAAGTCCGCTATATTATTTATAAATAATAATTTATTAAGGGTTATTATTTTCGTTATAACGGTGTTTTTAATTAAAATTATATTAAAGTTATTATTAATATTTACGTCTTAATTTAGGTTTTTATTATTATTATTTTTTTCTTTTTTTCTTTTATAAAAGCGGTTATTAATTTTAATTACGAATTTAATATATTAAAAGAAATCGTCTAGTTCGTTAATTTTAATAAGTTCGTCCTTAACTTTATCCTTTAATCCTTAATAAAATATAAAAATTTTAATATCGTTAATAAAATTAAGTTAAGTATTAAGGCGTTTAAACTCGGTTAAGTAATCTTTTATTAATTTAGTCTATTAAAATTATAATATATCGCACTCGGCTTATCGTTTTTTATTTAAATTTTAAAAAAGCGATTTAAAAACTTTTTTAAACTTATTAAAATTATAATAAATATCTTATATTTCGGTAAAATATTTATTAAAAGTCTTTTTTTTAAAATACTTTTTTTAAAAAAGTTTAAATTATTTAAAAACTCGTTTTTTAAAAAAGTTAATAGCGTATATAACCTTTTTAATTTCGTTATTAAAATCTCTTTAATAAAAGTTCTAAAAATTCTTAATTTAAATTAAAAATCCTTTTAAAATTCTAAAGGTTTTATTAAAAATAATAAATATATTAAGTTTAAATTTTTATCGTCCTTTATTAAAAAAGGTAATAATAATATTAATAGTATTTTAGAATATATTTATTTAATCGGTGAAGTTTAAAACCTTTTAATATTCGTTCTCAAATCTTTTAAATATAATATTAAATATTCCTTATATCTCGGCAATATCACGATCGTTTTTAATTTAAATTTTTATTAATTAAATAATAATAATATTGAAAAGGTCCGTTAATTCCTTATTACGTTAAATATTTTAATTAATAACGTAACGTATTTAAATATATATTATCTTATTAAAAACCGTATCCCTATTAAAATTATACTTAACGTCGGGTATTTTTACGTCTCCTTCGGTTTAAACTAATTTAACATTTAAAACCTAAGGTTTCTTACCTTTATTAAAAAAAGATTCGATAAATATTATTTATACTATTTAATAAGTTTTCGTAAAGTCGACTTACTAAATAAAAATAATTAAAATATTATAGCTAATTAGTTATAATAAAGTTTATATTAACAAAAATCGGGGCTATAATATTTATAAATAATAATTGTTATAAAAATAACTTTTAATAAAGTTATTATTTATAAATTATAAAGTAAATAAAGCTTTGGTAATTAATTATAGTCTTTATTAAATAAATTCTTAATAAAAATAACTAAAAATAATTATAAAATCTAATATAAAATTAATTATTAAAAAAGCTATAGAAGTTATAAACGTAAGCTTAACTTAAATCTATATTATATATAAATCTTATATATTATTAAATAATTCCTTTATATCTAAAACCGATATTATAAAGTCGGTTTTTTAAAAATAGACCGATTTTTATTTTATTAGTTTATATTTAAAAACCGCTTATCGTCCGTCGGTCCTTTTTATTATTATATAACTTCCTTATAGTTCTTTTAATTCGTTAAAATAATATATATATTCTTATTATTTAATTATATATATAATAAAATAGCCGCCGTAGAGTAGCGGGGTAAGTCCTTAGTCTGTTATGTATGTTAAGTCGTAATATATATTTAAATAAATTACGAATCAATTAACCTTACTTATAATATTAATAATCGTTTATACGGATTCTTATTTACTATATAAATACTTTATTAAATTAAGCATTATTAAAAAGAAAAGGCTAATAATAAATATTATAATTTTATAATAATCGTACGAGCGATATAAAATTCTTAAAATCCGTTAAATTAATAATAAAAATAATTTAATAAACGCTTTTATTAAATAAAACCTAAACCTAGGCTTAAAACGATTTATTAATAACGGAACGATTATAATACGTATAAAAAAATAAGTTATACAAAAAGGGTTTAAAAAAAAAACGGAAAAAGAACTATAAATATTACTTTTATCGATATATTATATATTATTATAAGATCGTTAAATTACTTTTTTAATCGTATAAGTTTAATAATAATAGAGAGATAATTAATATCAGATTAAAAGCCTAATTCGATTTTAAATTAACGCTAGCGTAGGGGCTATTTAAAGGTCTCTATATCAGCGTTTAACCGGCGATCTAATTAACGATTAAAACCTCTCTTTTCCACTTCACGCAGAGATCAATACAAGAGTAATTAACCCTTCGTCACCACGGTTCGATCGAACAAATCACCCTGTGATTACGTAAACCAACAGTAACATAAGCCGCTTTTGATCGAAGCCTTACTTAACAAGATAATCCGTTCCATTGCCGACATATTAAACCAATACAGGAGAAGCTTGGTCACAGCTTTTTTGATTCCCTCTTCAATATACGCAAAGAAAAGGGAAGCTCAAGCCGTGTTGGTCTCTACCACCGCTATCACCTGAATCGACGTCTGGCAGCGAGCCTTATGCAACACTATTCTTTTGCCATTTTTCCAAAAATCCACCAAATAGTTGCACAATTTCTTTCTTGGTCTGTTTCCGTGGTGTATTCAAGTGTCTTCTCTAACCTCATCTGCTCTTCCATACCAATTGCCAGCTAGAACGTTCTAATAACGAAACCCGTTGATGGCATCAATCAGGTAACAGCGGCCGAGGCATTGAGAGCCAAAAAGCGGGTCTTATCGAACACGGTGTGCGTGGCAATGATTGTTTTGCGCACAGTACGCCTGTCGCAGTGAAAATTCTGGTCCTCAGATCCCAGACAATAAGACCTCCTAGGAGCAATAGAAAATCATTGCAACAAGCAGAACAACGAGATATCTCAGCCACGCCCAACTTGACGCACCTCAGGTAGTCCGGTGTACTCATTGAATACGACACCATGGCAGCAGGCGGTGATTTTCAGACAACGTCGCAAAAGTTTCTCTCTTGGTTCAAATCGTTGCCGGGCGCTACTTTCCACAATGATATCCAGATCGTCGACTTGAGGGGCCAAAACGCCGGACGAGGAATCGGTAGGCAATCTCAATTTTCAGGTGACACTTTTAGCTGACAGAGTCCCAGTGGCCACCAAGGATATCGCAGCTGATACAGTCCTCTTCACCATCCCGAGAAGAAGCATCATCAATGTCGAGACATCTGAGCTTCCAAAGAAGATTCCTCAAGTCTTTACCGGAAATGATGGAGACGACGAGGACATGGAAAATGAACCCCTTGATTCGTGGGGCTCTCTTATTCTAGTGATGATCTATGAGTATCTGCAGGGCGATGCTTCGCCTTGGAAGCCATATTTTGAGGTCCTTCCTGAGAAGTTTGACACGCTCATGTTCTGGGAGTCTTCCGAGCTGGAATACCTCAAGGGAAGTGCTGTTTTGTCAAAAATTGGCAAGGCTGAAGCCGACGACATGTTCCGTTCACGGATCCTGTCAGTCATCGCAGCCAACCCAGCCCTGTTTTACCCTGCTGGCGCATCTCAATTGACCGAAGCAGAGCTCCTGCATTTAGCTCACCGCATGGGTAGCATCATCATGGCTTACGCCTTTGACTTGGAGAATGAAGAAGAGCCTGAAGAAGAGGAAGAGGAGTGGGTTGAAGACCGCGATGGCAAGTCCATGCTGGGTATGGTGCCACTGGCTGATATCCTGAACGCTGACGCAGAGTTCAACGTGAGTGAATCGTCACGTCTATTTTTTGGTGCGGACTTGCTGACATTGTGATAGGCTCACGTCAATCACGGTGAGGATGACCTCAGCGTCACGGCTCTCCGACCCATTCGCGCAGGAGAGGAGATACTGAACTATTATGGCCCCCACCCGAATTCTGAGTTGCTCAGAAGATACGGCTACATCACTCCCAAGCATTCTCGCTACGACGTTGTAGAAATCCCGTGGGATCTTGTGCAGTCTGTGCTCAATGAACAGTTGAAGCTCACTGATGAGGTCTGGAAGAAAGTGGTATGTGCCTGATATTTGAATGCTGGAAAAAGACAACCGTATTGATGTCAAAATAGGGCGAGTATGTGGACCCCGAAGATCTCGAGGACGTCTTTGTCCTCGAGCGTGAATCGGGCGAGCCCAACTCGGAGGGCCGACTCACAACCCCTGCAAGGGTCCAAGAGGTTTCTGCCGAGCTTGAGGAGCAATTGAAGGGAATTTTGAAGCTACTCAAGAAGATGAACGCTGATCTCATCCCTGACAAGCGGAAACGTGACGAGATCTACCAGCACGTCGTTGTGTCGACTTTACGAAAGCTGCTGAGTCAGTACCCGACAACGGCCGAGGAGGACGAGACTTTGCTGGCATCAGGCAGCCTGACATCGCGCCAGAAGATGGCTGTTGAGGTAAGACTTGGCGAAAAGCGACTTCTTAAGGAGGCCCTTCAGGTAGTGGGTACCGGTAGTGTTGTGGAGGAAGCGGCTGGCGAGGACGAGGCCGAGAGGGCTTCCAAGAGGGTGAGACATTAGGCTTCTTTCATAGGTACGAAATACGAAACGACGGTAGGAAAATATTGGAACCGCCTCGCATTCAGATGGCCTTGAGGTGCCTAGCTGGAAACTGCCAAATTCAATGTTACACAAAACATCCCACTTACACCGCTTCATGATGTGCAGTTCTGCCCCCGATCAAACACGTTTTGGTCCCTTTCTCCGCTCAATCCTGCTTTATGATGGGTAACGGAATATGCGCAGCAGTTGGGAAGGTCAGTTTACCGGAATGGTTGGGAAACCCGGCCGATCCAACCCTTGGCTACAGCAAAAGATACGCCCACCCAACTGCAGCCCATCCAACATGGCGTTGGTTCGCCATACTTCGCTATCGGCCAGCGAAACAAGTTCGCTTCACTCCAAAACAACCCCCGCACTTGAGCTGACAGGTCCCTCGGTCCATTGCGGATTTTCCCCCTCCGATAGGTTCTTGTAGTCGCCCAATATCGACAGACTGCAGTCGATGACGAAAGCATACGAAGAAGTGGGATACTGTTGGCCTGCCAGTTGGGGCCAACTTGTCGCACCCCGTGTCACGAATACACGAACGTATGATAGGAATACAGAGCACTGATGGCGCTCACTCGAGAAAAGTCTTTAAATCGTAAAGGCTGAGCCCTTGGCGGCTTCGTGCCACCTCTTCCCCACAGCGGCCTGCCACAACGGAAAGCCTCCCCGGGATCACACAAATCGCGCACAGCCAATGCATTCACTCTCTTGGTCTTGGAAGAATGCAATGATGAACGCGTCAGATCAATCTACGCCTATCGAAGACCGTGAGGAAATAAAACCAGTTCATAACGCGCTACATATAGAGCGGCGTCTGGCACAAACTCTGACCTCCTTTTTACCGACCACAAGTCCCGACTACGAGAAAGGCGATAACCAACAGGAGTCTCGTTGCAGCTTCTAGAAAGCCTGGCATCGAATGATACCCAGTCTTGCCTGCCGCCGCTGTTCGTTCCCTGCACGTGTCACATTGCCCACATTGAGTCTTCGGCATTTTTGCAGAGATGCCACGTCGAGTCTTCACTTCAAACGAAACGTTTAATCGACCAAGCTGCCCAAGGTTGCATTTGGCGTCACGAGTAACTGGGCTTCGTTGGGCTTCATGATCTGATGGGAGTCTTAACGAATAACGCAGCGCTCTCTTGCAGTGATGGCGGATATTGACCACTCGACTCTGGCCAGGCCACAACCAGCGGAGAGAGTCTTATGTTTTCTTAGACCAGGGATCCATGACAGACCTGAAAGCTGTCCATCGATAAGGCCGTCGGGTCGACAGCCACGATTCGTCGCAGCACCCACCAGAAGTCGGACTCTAGCCGAACCTCTCCAGCATCAACTACTAAAACCGTGCTTCCGAGCATGGGTCAAAGAAGCGAAATCATCGAGAAACTCATTGGCTCGAGATTCAAGCAATCCAATCACAAACATGGATCTGATTGGTTTAGCATCATGCACGTCATCCAAATTCCACCTCAAGGGTGACAACCTTGCACACCTGGTCTATCATCGAAGCCAGCACAACCCAGCAGGGAAGCTATGGCTCCCGCAATCACGTTGGATGAGGAGTTGCAGGAAGGCGTGGTCGTCTTGGACCTGGATTTCAACCCGACAGCGAGCAAGCACTCGTGCTTCTGCAGGAAAGACGTGCTCCAATGAGCAGCTGGCGGCACACAGCTCAGCCAACTTCTATTCGTTGGGTTGCAGCGGCTCAAAGGCAGACAGAGCTGAGGACACATTTGATCGAAACCCACATTCTCGAGATTCCCATGTCCTCTCACCTTGGAATCGCATAGTTATGTCTTTGGAGTGCGCCATGCAGTCATTCTTTACCGACGCAACGTGGCTGATTGCAGGCCAAACGGCATGTGACCACGGGACTAACGCCTCCGTCACGATCAGGGAATGCGAGGTAGATCAGAACTTTGCGTTTCCGTCTCACGCGTGTCCATCTCCGTCTGTAAGGCGCCGACAACTTTGGATTGGGCTCAGATGAACTTCAATGAATGGCCTGCCCCAATCAGGCCTGGTACCTCGTAAATAGGCAGGGCTGCCAGTCTGGCCAGGGGCTGCATACCCGGAGGACCACAGACTGAAGAATATCAGACCACCATCTTGAGCAGAGTCAACACCATCGTCAGATCCAGGTACAATGTTCGCAAAATATCCGACAATCCTTCATCTCTGTCATTTCTGACGAGATCACTCAAATCTTGCGTGACAGTAGCGACTGCCTTCCGGCCAGGACAGATAGATATCCTGGGTTTTGTTTTCAACCCCCAGGGCCAGTCTTCTAAATCGAAACCTGCCGAACCTTTTTCAGAAACAGGAGATGTATTCTCAATCGAGCGTATGTGTACATCCCTCCTCTGCCTTGGAACAGTTAGATGGCTGAAAAAACTAGCGGAGTGCGAGCCATAAACACGTGAGAAGAGGCGAGAAGAAGGACAAAGACCACAAGTCCAAGGAATCCAGCCGCAAGCAAGAGGCACCTCTCACGCACTTCAGCTTTCTCTTCATCGTCAACGAGTTCCAGATACGCGAATTCGATGACGAAGGACACAATATCGAACCCCATTCTGATCGGTACGGCAATGAGCTGCCGCCCGTTTCCGCTGACGGCTATAGCCGAGAGCTTATCGGCCGGGTGTGGCGGTATACGAACGGGGTTGTCGCTCCGGCCGGAAACGAGTTCTACTGGTACCGCCCAGAGATGGGATTGCCCGGGAGGATCTGTGGACCAATCCCGGATGGCAGCCAGACCGGAGAGTCCTACTTGGGTCAGATGCAGGAATATAAGACGTACAGCGTCTTTAACTGCTGGCGCTTCCTCCCATGCTGGTGTACCGATGTTGACGTATCTACTATTGACGGAGAACCTCCAGATGGGTGGCACAGTCTTACATTCTTACCACCAGATCCACAGGACCCGGGTTTTACTCGTATCCTCTATCCCGGCGGACCACAAAGACATGCTTCTGGAAGCAATCCGTCTTGGATACCCCATCTTCTACCACGCACTTTCGCCACACCGAGTTCCTCAGCTCCCCAATCCACAGGCCTCGGCGGCAACTTGCCCATTATCATCGCCCTCTTAGCTCTGACAAAACAACCGGGGTGCACAGACGACGTGTTCCAGAGCAGGCAATGGGACATGAATCGATTTGGCGGCCGCCGGTCTCCTCATGCAGGTGAGTAAAAAATCTGCTGGCTTTCGTGGCGCACTAGTTCTAAGTTGTGAGGACAAAAGATCCCGACCCCATTGGTCCTCCGCGGGGTGTGATGGTTCAGGTCTGCTGTGATAGCTACAATTACAATTCAACCATTGACGCGATCATGGACTTTGAAGAGCGGGAAAGAGCCATCGTCGGCTGACCATAACATTATGGAGTTGAAATTTGGATGGATGTTTGAGGATGCTATCTTGCTTTTGGAGCTGTGACGAATACTTCGGTTATCCAGTGTATTGCCATCAAGGCTAAGGCAACATCCTGTTGCTTGTGGTTGACAAAACGACTTAGGGTTGGAGATGAAGGTGATGCCTTTTCAGGGTCAGTCGCGTGGAAGGAGAACTTTCTTACAGCACACAGAATTCTGTAATGTTGGAACTTCACATCATCTTTCAAAGACTCCTTCTTCCCTAGTAAATGTAGCTTGTCTACATTGTCCAGCACTCATCTAGCGGCTCTTGAGAGCCCCGAAGCATTGACGCATCTTCCTACCCCCCGGATGTGTGTCTATGACCACCAGCCGATGTGTATTTTGTGTAATCTTAATTCACTTTTCGCTCAGTAAAGGAGTAGTGCGTCGATGAAATAAACCCCTTGCAGGATCATATTGCGTTACAACTATGCCAATGCCTGCCCGCCTCATACCGCGTCAGGCAGTCTCACAGCTATATCTCCTGATTGGGTGATGTATCTGACCCAAGGCAATGAGGGATATTGCAACTGTCAGACGTTAGCGAATGGTGATCCTTCAGACACGTCTGGGGGAATGGCTTACCTTTGGCTCTGTAATCTTGAGGTACCGCACTTGGATACCACTCGTTGTGAAATAGGGGATCTCAAACTTGACCTGGATTGGTCTCTTGGCGCCCTTGCCAGGCGCGCCGACGCCGCCCATACTACCACCGAAACCACCAGTCATACCGCCACCGTGCTCGTCGTCGCCCCGTACCGAAGGCAACCCAAGCTCCGCCCTCATCAAAAACTCCTTGTTGCCTCCAAACTGCTTAATCTTCCACACAATGGCGCTCTGCTCAGGGGCGTAGTGAACGGCGCCAATGTTGGTACGGAAGCGCGGGGTGTCGGCGTCGTCGGGGACAGGCACGATAATCTCGACGTTATTCGCCGTACTCCTCCGCTTGAATTGCGATCTGGCTTTGAGCATATACTCTACGCGCGACCCGCTGTGACTCTCGACGACACATTCGACCCAGATCAGGGGTTTGACCTGGGTGTTGAGGCGGTAGCTCATGAGCTCGAACTCGCCGTCCGGAGGGATGAAGGAGATGGTCCTGTCGTTCTCGAAGCGCGACAACCGCACACACTGATGGAATTTGACGTCCTCCATCTCAATGGCCTTGCCGCGCGTCGTCCGGCCTGTTGTCTCGAACATGACCTTGTCGTTCAGGCCCAGGCGGAGCTCGGGCATTCCGCTGAGGTAGCACTTCATCTTGATGGCGCCGAGGATCTCGCTTCGCAGGACGTTGCCGTTGGCGCTGACGAGGAGGTTGAGGCTCTCGACGACGTCGAGGAAGACTTCGTTCTTGCGGTAGCGGATGCCCTCAGAACGCCACGAGACGGCGTTTGTTACGGCGATGGGCGGGCGAGCCTGTATTTCAAGTTTGTGGGATTCTTGGGTGATGTACTCCTGTAGGATCTTGGACTCAGTGGTCTGGGGGTAGCCAAAGTCCATCATCTCGTCGAGGAGCTCGTAGATGATGACAAAGTTGTCGCGGATGGACTCTTCCTCGAGGGCCTTGAAATACTCGGTGAAGACTTCGACAATTTTGTGAAGGAATAGGAGGATTTCGGCGGCGTTGGTGTTTCGTTTCGTCAGGGCGAGGAGGTATAGGTTGTTGTGTCGGATATAAAGGTACTGGGGCCGCATCTCGTCAGTCAGGGTGCCTTGCGCGGCACTGGCGCAGAAGGCCGCAAGCCAGCACGTACGTTGATGCCCTCGTGCGAGAAGCACGGAGGAACAGCAGATGATTCTTCTTCTGCTTCGCTGAGGAGGACGGGGAACTTTTCGACAGCTGACATGGGAATGTCACCGCGGTAGTTTCTGGCAAGAAGGGTCTGCCGCAGGCCATCATCATCAGCATTCTCGAGTACAACGGCGGCAAGTTCAGTTTCGCGATGCGCACCTTGCCCTTCAAGTCGAGGAAAAACACGGCGGAGGCCATGATGAGCTGGTTGCCAAGGCGGGGATCGAGGGGCAGACGTAGAGGCGGTGGGAGTCAATTGGCACGCTGGCCAGAGGAATTATGGCAGTGATGGAGATCGTGGCATGCAATTTGTCCAACCGGGCAGCTTGTGGTGATTTCAGAAGCTCAACAGTTGGAGGTGAAAGCTGTCATTATTCGCGGTTCGTGTAGTTGATGAGACGCGCTGTCAGATAGCTGGCGACATTGAAACCACGATGTCTCCTTGGTGTCGACAGAAGCACGGACCAGTGCAATGACAGCCTGACGGCGTGGGAAAGCATGCAGAACAAGCTATTGGCACGTCCAGCTACAATGTGGCTGGAATTGTGGCGCCTGCAACCTCAAGGCATTTTACGTAAGGAGCTTTCCATGTGGTAAGTCACATGACCTGCAACTCCTCTGAGTGGGTCTCCAGTTTGCTTACATCGCGCCAAATTTTTCAGCATGATCATCGTCCTTTCTTCTTTTCCTCACTACCGCGTCCTTTTAGACAGTGCAGCGCATTATTACAACCACATTTGACCTGGCATTCTGCTGGGCTCATTCGTGTCGTCGTTGATGTGAATTGCGATTTCGTGACGCGCAGAGGAAGCCTTCCGGTTCCATAAGAGCTGCCCAAGCACCGCTCTTCGCTTTCAAGTGAAGGGCACCGTTGCCAGGGCGGCGTCAGAGGTGCCATACAAACCATCAACAAATTGATACTTTGTGTAATACTGTGATTTGCTCGACGATTCCAGGCGCCGGACAAACCGACCATTTAGCGACGGTTGGCCAGGTTCGGGGGGGACTCTGCAGAGGCCGAAATCTGGGGAGACACTTTCACAAGCAAGCTTCCATGCGTGGAATGTGTATTGAGTGTTCCTCACAGAAGAAATCGCCGAGGCTCCTGCCACATAGCCCAACAAGTCTTGACAGGTGCTCACACGCTTGTTTCAAGCCAAGGGTCCTTTTTGAGTTAGGAAGCCTCATGCAATGTCCTCCTGACAGCCTCTACGGCAAGGGAAAGGTTGCGATGCACGACCGGCCAGCTCATTGTCAGGTCTAGATAGAACCCCGTCAAAAAGCACAAACGCCTCCCAAACTCAGATGTCCCGAACTCAGATGGTCAGTGTCTTCCAATTCGGGGGGTTGCAGAAAGTTTGCTGCTGGACAAAAGGTACGAGGAACGCTTGATGAGTGCTCGACATGGCCAGCTGGCTGCTTGAGCTTCAGGGGCCGTGGAAACGCGGCCGATCCACTTGCTCGGGTCTGAGATGCCATCACATGGACAACTTTTGTGCCAAAAAACTTGTTAGGATGGGCGGGTAACAGATGTGACTGAGTCGCGGGGTGCAGGGCGGACAGCCTACGGTCCAGCGAGTAGGCGAGCAGCAACTGGGAAGAAGGCCTCGGAATGGTGTTCAAACAAGATGCGCCGTCTCGAATTTGGAAATTAGCTCAAGAACCTGCATGGCACCCTGATATTTAGTGATGATTGATAAGGGTGACCGCCCATATGGGCGACGATGGAGAGGCTTCCTTTGAACTTGATGGGTGTGATTGGGTGTCGGTTTCGCAAGATTCGTGTAGATTGGAGTTTGCAATCCAATCTCCAAAAACTGGTCGCCGGCTGTTAATCCTGCAAAGCAAATCGGAGAGACTGTACTCCATAACGGCCTCGCACTTGACATTTGAGCCTTGGCGGCGTTAGGTGTGCAAGCGGCGATGGCGGAATCTTGGATGATGGAGAAGAAAAAAAAACATTAGGCATGGTATATCCATGGAAACGGCGTCAGAGAGAGGAACGTTAGCGGGAACAACTGGACCCTTGGGCGGATCTCGAGAAAATTGCCATGGTCATCTGGCAACCAATTCTGCAAAGTCCCACCGATTCCCCTCCAAGAGCCAAGAGTCAGCAGCGTTGCAGAAAATGGCACGTGATTCTGAGCCCTTTCAGCCAGTGGCCGTGGGATAATGAACTAGGGTTTGGACATCCTCTTTGGCTTGCCTCAAAGGTGGTTCGAGTAGTGAAGGTGATGTTGAGAGGTTGGGTCAGGACAACTCCTCCGTCCGTAGGGCCGGATGCCTTTCTGGACAGACAGGTGACCGAAAACGCGTCTCAAGTCTGGGCTGGGAATCCCCGACTTGCGGAAGGCTCTTGAGCCGTGGGTTCCTCCCCTCCATCCAGAATTTTCGCTTTCACATGGAAAGACTGAGTCCGTGCCCGGGGTGACGTAGCAGGTCGTGGGAGGCAGACCAATCAAACATGGAGCAGGGCTCGCTTGTGCCTGGGGCCGAATGCCGGCTGGGCGACCCGGCCACCGCCCAATGATGCCTTGTGATACCCCCAAAGTCCAAATTGTTAGGTCTCTTAATGGGTGATACCGCCTAACTCTAACAGAGCCCACTCTGCACATGCTAAGTTGCTTGTTCATCCCGTCCAGCCTAGCCAGATGCATGTGATGACGGGCCCCAACAACTCTGACACGTGCTTCCCCAACTTTGGCCTTGATCTCCCGTCCTGTTCCCCCTCAAGTCCTCAAGTCCCTCCCCAGGCTTGCCCCCTGGTGACAAAAGCACAGGCTGTGGTATCCGTACCTCTCTTTCGGACAGTACGACCACAGCCAGGAAGATTTAGACCATCAACGAAACGGTCATCCTCGCTTTTTCACAGGCGGTCTGGATGCAGCTGGCGGCCAGGTCTCAGTTAGAAGGAAGTCTAGCACTCGGCGCATTCCAATTGTTGTCATGAAGTCCTAGTGGTGACCCAGGGGAAAAAAAAAGAAAAAAAAAAGAAATTAATATCCCATGCGACAACGAGGTCAGTTGGTCGACAAACCCAAAATGCGGTCTGCAGACGTCAGGCCAGCCAGCGGCGCATCGCCAGACAAAATGAGCACAACCCTGACAACGTCGACGGGTGTACTCCTGTACAGTGTAAGTACCCCGATGTTAATTGTGGTAATTGTACTCTCTCACTCCCTAAATCCCATTTCTGGCTCGGCAGTCCTGCAGAGCCTGACCTTGAAAGTGCTAAGATTCGCGTCTGTTTCTGTACCCGACTCCCACCCATCGTCGTCGGCTATATTCTGCTCCTGGCCCGGGCGAAGCATACCCAATACCACCTCGCTTGGCCATGGGTGCGATAAGCTACCTTGCGCGAGGCTGCAGAGTACGTATCCGCACCTACTCTGTACACTACACAATACTTGTGGACTACTGACAGATGTCAGCAATATCCGTAGCGTTGGCCGGTATCTCTGTCTCGAGTTTAGCGGCTGCCAGTACGGATCAGTGCCTCGGACCCTGCAGACTTCCAGCGAGATGGACCGCAGATGGTGCCGCCTGACCTGTCCCGAACGGGAACGTGGGACTCGCATGTGGACAGTGATTGGGTCTTGCGTCTGCCGTCTTGCCCCCTGCTCGTCGCGCCTCATGCTATACGAAGCATTGTACGGATATTTGCCGTCAGCGAGGAGGACGGAGGAGAGACACACACAACCATACAACGAAGGTGCTCATGCCATGCTCGGCCTCTGGAATGTGGGTTCCCCGTTGTTTCTCTCTCCTCACGCATGGTTTGGTGAAATGGAGTGCGATCTGCCCGCTCAAATCAGATCAAGTCGCTCGTCACACCACGGTGCCGAGAAGTTTTCTTTCGGTCAGCCCTCCCCCAGCGGAACGACTCAAGCGACAGAGACACGGGAGTCAAGTCGCTGGGCAGACGAGATGGGCGGGCAGAAAATAGGACCATACATACGGCATCATAGTAGGCCTTCACATGGAGAAATCCTCGAGGTCGGAGCATCCATTGACACTGCAAAAGAGGGCGGGAACTTGAGAAATGAACGGGAGAGTCTGAGAAATTTAGCCGCCTGTCTTGTCTCCTCCGTATGCGTACGGCCGACGGACATGGGAAAGTGTCCGTCTGATGTATTTGCTCCCCCACGGAAAGCTTGTAGTTTATTAGAATTGAGGAACTCTGGTATGCGGGAGACGCATTGTATTATTCGCTTGAATAGCTGGTTCCATTGGCTTTCACACAAGGTGATCTCCCGCCAACAACAGTCTTTCACTGAACAGAGGTTGGCTGCCCAAGCTACTTGCTTGTGCCTTGGGACAGCATCGACGAGACCCAGGCCGTTGTGATCCCTTTGGCCCCTATTGCCGATACATAGACTGATGGAGGTACATTTCCGGGTACCGCAAGCAAGTATCTGTCGTTCCCGGAATGCGTGCAATCTGCATGGTAAACAACGTGTCGGGGTACTTGTATAGACAAGGTACCTCTACCTCTACCTCAAAGCACCCAAGCCCACCACATGAGCCAGTGACCCCGTCTCCTTCCCGCCGCAATGGGTGTGGCATCGTGCCTGCCAGCCGCGGTGTTGTTGTCGCCCCGGCGCCGCCTGCCTCTCTTTCGCTTTGGACTGGCTCGTTCCTCGCATTCAGGTTGTGAGGGTGGCCCCTTCCTGTCCCGAGTCCTCGACGTCCCTCGCCCCCATCGTCCCCCATCGTCGCCCATCCCGTCCGTCCATCCTGGGTGCGCTCTGGTGCGGCCTCATCCACCACCACCATCACCACCTCCACAACCTCTTCCACCCCCATCAGTCAAATCAGGTAATTCATCAATCCGTCAATCCATCAGTCACCCGTCAAGCAAATCAACGGAACATCACCACCCCGGCATACCTCTTGTCCCCTCCCCCTCAACATCTGCCACAGTTCCTGGTCTCCCGCCCACCGCCCACTCTTCCACGCATTCACTCATTCACTCACACACACACACGTATCCAACACACGCAATCCTCTCCTCACGATCGAGGTAATATACTTATTGTGTAGTGATAGCCGTGCCCTCGAAAGGGTACACACACCAGCTCTCCCTCCAGCGCTACGCCCCGCGCTACTCTACAAGATACACGGACCGGACTCATCCCACCACACGCTACGGCTACGAGTACCATCATCATCCCTCCCTCCCTCCCTCCCTCGCTTCTCCAGGTCCGCCCTCCACTCGGTCGTCCCCCGAAACCACGTCTCCTGCCGCCTCGCCTCCCTTGTTCGTTCGTTGACTTCGAAATCTGCGCCGTCGTTCTGCTTGTCCTTCGCCACTTTCGCCCAAACCGTACTACATGAACCTCTCTCGCGCCGCCCGCAGCCACTTTTACCTTCTCGTCTGCTCTTCCTCACGCTCGTTGTGACCCGCGCGTCTGCACCCTGCTGCACGTCGCAGACTACGACATTCCCCGACTTCGACGACTGGGAAAACCCGCGAAAAATCAGAAACCAAACGGCCGCGGGTCGAGAGTCATATCTCCACTCATGCCAGTCAAGAGTTGACCGCTGAGACAGCCGTGCCGGTCTCGCTCCTCCCTCTCTTCCTGCTCCTCCGCCGACCCCCTCCCCGCGAAGTCTCGAGCCGCCGTCCGAATATACTTTGCGAGATGGACATGAGCCAGAGCATGAGCCAGACCCAAAATCACATGCTGCACGGGCCTGCTCCTGAAGACCGCCAGCTGCCGCCATCCTCATCGTCCCTCGCACACACGCACCACATTCTCCCACCTGCTTCTGCATCTGCGTCTGCTTCCACTTCTACTTCCACCATCTCTAAACCCAACAAGCACGTCCTCTCCCACGCTCGCTTTAATCCGACACACCTCCCGTCCCAGCTGCCTTCATATGCTCCCCCGAGCTATGCGCATGCCCAATCCCACGATCCTAACCTGCTGAGGTTTCCCGACGTCCCGACTACCGAACTTGCACCCATCCTTCCCGCCGCCAAACACAATGACAACATTGGTCACAACTTGCCATCTCTCTCGTCCGTGACAGGCCCTTCGCCCCCGCGATTCGCTTCCATCCTTACCCCATCACAATCCACTGAAACGCAGCAACACCAGCAGCAACACCAACAGCCACAACCTCAATCAACCACATCCTCCCTGAAGCGGTCATCGACGACGACAGTGCCCCTCACACACTGGCCGAGCCTCAACCCTCTTACGACGTACTATACACCTAGTCATGCCCAGTCCGCCGACTCGCCTGCGAGAATGGACCTCGACATAATTAGTAATAGTGCCATGAGCGCAGCATCTCCAGACGGTTTCTACGAGGGACGCGCTGCCAGTGTCAGCCTAGATGATCCCGATGTGCGCATGGCAGCTGAAGCCCTGGGAGACCTGCGAGCCGGTCCGTCCTCTACGATTCCCTCGTTTCCTGATGTCGAAAGCTAACATGTATAGACTTCATCAATTCACCTCCCGCCCGCCATACTCCTCTGCCGAGAGCCTCGCCGGCCCTATCAATCACCTCAAATCCGCAAGCCAAGTCTGAAGAGCCTCTATTTTCACTCCTGACAACATCCCACCCTTTGCTCGCGACAACCATCGAGGGTGCCACATCAGCTTACAACAACTCCAAAAACTTCTCCCCCCGGTTCAAGTCCAGCGCCGAATATGTGGAGGGTTACTTGACGCCAATCGCCAACACTGTCGGCACGGTTGGACGGAAAACCGGCGTCGAGGGTGGTGTACGCTGGTTTTTGGGCGCTGGTCGACGGCATCAATCTAATGACATCGAGGCCGCCGAGGGAGGGTCCCACAAGCGGCGCAAGGTTGATACGGGCGAAGACCTGGCTAGGCTCATGATCGATGCGCAGAGCAATGTCATGCCTGATGTCGACTCTCCTCGTGACCCTTATGTGTTCAAGCACGACCGGCGACTTTCGAGGGCTAGCACCATTGATACTCTGCCAGCATATGACGATTACCGCTCCCCGGCCTATAGTGAAAATGAAAAGGCTGAGCGACCCACCTCATCAAATGCGGCTTGGCAATCTCGCCTAATCATGTCAACTTCCGGCCTGAGTGTTGCTATGAGCGATGAGAGTCTCAGGAGCCTAAAGTACTGTCTTCGATGGTTGCGTTGGGCGAATGAGCACATTGGTGGGGTCATCAACAATCTCAAGACCACACTTGAACAATTCGAGAAGCCGGGTCAACCTCAACAAGAAGAGCCGACGGCTGTTGCGAATGATGGAGACCATGTGATGGTTGACAGCCAGCCTGAGCCAATGTCTGAGCAGGAACGCACAATGCTGGCGGCCAAGATCGCGTCGCTCAAAGGAGACGTTCTCAAAACACTGCAGAACGTCATCGTGACTGTCTCAAGATATGCTGGCGGGGCTCTACCTGAAAATGCTCGTCTACTCGTTCGCCGTCATCTGACTACTCTCCCCCAGCGCTTTCGCTATGCAAGCATGGTCGAACAACAACAAGGCGAGAAGGTTGGCGACCAGGAGGCGATGCGCGAGGGTGCGCACCGTGTGCTTGTTCTCGCCAAGGAGGGTCTCGACATGATGTCGCAAGTCAGTGGCGTTCTCGATGGTACCATCGTAAGTGCCGAGGAGTGGTGTGAGAGGCTTGGAAAAAAGAAGCGGGATCAACGCGAGGCGGTCCTGCCCCAATCCCAACCCCAAGAGGGCGACGTCAAGATCGCTCTTGTTTGAATGAGCAACGATTCCGTATGATGTTGGTTCAAGAATCACAGATGACAAGGCGGGGCGGTTTACCTTTCAATTTTGTTTTTGGTCGCTTTTAATCCCTTCCCAAAAAACACCTAGTGGGTGATTTGAACGGCGCAGAAATGGAATATGGAAAAAGAAAAACCAGAGAAAAACGAGGATGAAAATGCGCTGCCGCGGCAGACGCAAGACTCACAACAATGATACCAAACAGAGGACACCCTCATTACACCTATTACTACTACTACTACTACTACTACTGCTACTCTTCCAGTTTACCACATTACATCCTCCTTCTACAACTACCTGCTACTACAAACACATCCACCACGGAGATTTTCCTCATTTTGTCGAGCACGCTATGAATCTTGTTCATTTGGCAGTTCATCTTTGTTGCACAGTTCTTCTACATGTCCTTTTTTGTCTTGCGGTATTCATGGGACGGTCGAAATCGCCCTGGGGCGTCTTCGTATTTGCACTGAGTTTCAAGCTTGGATTCACTGCGTACAGAGCTTTTGCGCAATACTTGCATAAATCAAAGCCGATCTATGTGCCAAGAATATGAACATTTTTCAACATCTGCCCCTTCGTATAAATTGGCATCCGTGATGAGGTCAAGCTGGATTTCCGCATGGTCTTTCTGTTTGAACATGCGTATGGTTGCAATAGCCTTCTCAGTCGCTCGAATTACGACGAGACAAACTTCGAAAGCCTGCCGGGACGCTTCGTGCCGTCAAACGTGTTCCCTCCTTGCAGGTCAAACATCATCTGATGATCTCGGCACGCGGCAGAGTCGGGGGGGGGGGCAACGTGCAGACCGAAACCCTACGCCGCAGCATGCCACGAAGGAATTGACACCTGAGAATCACGAATACGGCGATGGGAAATCTTTCGAGACTGACCTCCGGGAGTCTTCCCCGAGGCGGGGATTGGTGGTAAAACCTGGACGAGTGCACGGAATCCGGGGGAGTGCATTGATGTCCCGGACGGACCAGGCGATTGAAGGGTATTTCCGCGTAGTCATGCTTTTTAACCTTCCCCTGTCTAGGCCTGTGACAGGGCTGAGGGGCTGCGTTTTCCCCAAAGCCCCGTCTGACAGCCCTCTCGAGCATTGTTCCTCGACCTCTTCTGTCTACGAGAAGCCTTTGAAAACCGTCTAAATAATCTATCCCAACCTCGGAACACAGAAAGGCTCTTCAGAATCCGGGACTCTATTTCCATCTGTTCTCAGTCATCAGACTCAGTGGGTTGTACACACCTTGGCGGCGTCTTTCAGAACCGAAGTACGAGGTGTTCATGCTTACAGGCTTGGGAGACCAACTTGCTGCCATGGGATGAGTAGAATTGTTTCTGAAATGCTGGTTATCAAAGCTTGCTTCATCTCATGGGGGATTCCGGTGGCGATGTCAACGAGTAATTGCCGCGAGATGGGAGCACTATGAGGGCACTGCCTAGGTAGTACAAGAGAACCGCGAACGCGTGGTCTAGACTTCGTCTGGAGTTCCAAGGGGCGTGTTGAATTAAGCGAATATGGTTCATGGCTATGCAGCCAAATTAAATAAGGCTCAACTATTTAGGCGCAAAGTTTCGCCAGTGGGCTGTCCGTATGGTAGCTTGTTGATTCTAGACAGCAACTTGAAGCCTTCGGTTCACGATTCCCTGGCACATGGTTTCAATATTCACATCAACCTTGGGCGATAGGTTGTTACTCAGAGTTACGTCTACATTGGCCAAATATGCTTGTCATGGACCAGACGAAAAAGTGTCCCAATAAAAGCATATCATCCTCTTGAACGCCATCCAGCCTAGGCCTTGAAAGAGCCTACAAAGGCATTGTAATTATATTTCTCACAAGATCCTTCAATCTCCTTGCTGCTCGTGCCCCCGAGAATCGCGACACCGTCTCGCGATAGCAAGAACTTCTGGGCACCGGCACCCATGGTGAAGTTTGTGGTTTGGATCCCCGCGCTGACAGGCACCGTGGCAGGCGCCTGACCTCCGCTAGTTACGGTCAGCTCGGCGGGCTGCGTGAGCATCGTGGCCACGAAGACCACGTCGGCGAGGTACTGGGTCCCGTTTGGCGCGCCGAGGGTGTCGTTTGTGCATACCGAGTTCTTAGGTGTCGGGCGGTACCAGTATACCAGCTCATCGCTGACGACTGTGGGCTTGTCGGCTCCGGACTTGTAGGCTGCTATGTATGGCTTCATTAAGTTGCGCCAGGCGTCGTGGGGGAAACTAGTGGCCCAGGCGGAGGATCCGTCGTCGGTGTGATTTGGTTGTGAGCCCCTTCAAGATGTAAGCATTTTGGTTTTCGTGTTTGGAGTAATAGCCGTGGGGTCCGCTTACGAGATGTAGTGGCTTTCGCCGAAATCTATGGAAGGATGTTTAAGCCATGTGTCAAGGGCCTAGACGCAATGGAACTCACCATTCCAGCTAATAATCTCAATAAGGGCAGGCTTCATAGCAAGCATCTGTTTCCAGCGAATGGCGGGTTGCTCTTCGGTGATGAAGACCCAATTCTTGGTGTTGAAGTGAGTAGAGAACCAGGGTGAAACGGCTTTTTTTTAGTAAATCTTGTCAGTACACTGTTTGCAGTAAGAGAGGTGATAACATGGTTGCTTACGAGCCATGTACGGACGACTTCCCAGATTGGCTAGAAATCGATCGTCCCAGATGGTCGTCATCGGGCCGGAGATGATGCTGTTGCCCCCGTCTGTCGGCCATGCGTACCAGGAAAACGCCCCGTCGAGCCCCGTATCCGCGACAGAAAGCCCAGCGGGATCCTGAATCATCGGAAGAGCGGTGATCTTCTGGCCCGGCGGCAACCCTTTCTTTACAGCGGTCCAGTTCATGTTGTCGCCTACAAAGGTGCTCACGATGGCGCCGCCGTCAAATCTTGCCTGGGCCGGGTGCGCGCTGTAGTTGCCGACGATGGACGTGATCTCTGCGGTGTCGCCTGTAGACCAGTACGCGAAATCAAAGGAGATGAAGACGGTGAAGTTGAGGTCACTGGCTGCTTGGTAGGCGTTTGCGAGCTGTTTTGGGGTGTAGCTGTCGACGCGGGCTGGAGCGCAGTTCAGGGCGAAGCCGTCGATGCCGATTTCTTGAGCTTGGGTCATGTCGAGTCTCCAGTCTGACGTGGTGTAGTTTTCCACGATTCCGAGCTATTCATTGTATCAACCAGGATATTTCGTGAGGTTGAGGTCGTTTGACGATGTTCTTACCATGAAATGCGCATACACTGGCTTCGTTGCCTGTCCCGACACCCGCAAGAGCATCAAGGCCAGCACTAGCAGAGATGAACAAATCCGGAATGTTCGCGCCATTTCGCTGAATTTTCAACCAGTAATTATTCAAAGAAGTTAAAGAGTCTTTGCAAGTTGTGCTGGGTTGGATTAGGCCTTCTTTGCATCCTTCCCCACGCCCAGATGGACTTATATCAACTGAAGTCTCTAGCTTTGCTGTCCGACAAAGTCCCAGGAGCCAAGATGCAACTTAGTTGAGTCGAAGACCAACGCTCAGCAAACTTTCAGACCGAATTCGATGTTGAGACTCGATGTTGAGACAACATGACATTACGTATAGAGTGTGAAGGTGCAGCCCCTGAGTCTTACCACCTGCATGGACGGCGGAGGTCCGGGGCGGTCACGGCGCAAACAGGATGATCTTTGCAGAGGTAGCATATGCAACCAAGAGTTGAAGTACCGAGGTGCTAGGTTCATCAGACACTGCCAAAACCTCCAGGGTCATGCCCATTATTGGGGGAATGATTCAATGAAATGTAGACCTCGCTGTTGGGTTGCTCTTGATGGAGAGATACACAGGCCGCCTGACACGATACGATCTCATGAGAAGCTCAAATGCGACTAAATTAATGATTTTGAAAGTAAAACATCAGCCTTAAGCCAAAAGAAGGGCCGAAATATGCCAAATTCTTCTGCTGGCTGGGTTGTGTGCGTGGAACTGCCTGGGGTCAAGGGGGCAATCATTAACCTCGCGATTGGTTGAGATTTTACAAATGACTGCGCGATAAGACCTTCCCCAAAGATCACTGCCTTTTTCCCAAGGTGTATACGGATGCTTGGAAAGAATGATTGAGAACATGAGCGGGGGGACACAGTTGAAGAGGTTGGGAAGGGTTCTCTTCGATATTTTGAGCGACCTGATAGTGGTCACAAAATGTAGAGAAAGAGGGTTACATCTCAAGGGCACCACCTCTACGAAAGTTCCAAATTTCAAGATGATCAGTCAAGAAGTGAACAGTCCTGACCGACTCACTGTGATCACAGATTTGCATGCCATGCACTTACCTATCAAATTGCTGCAAGATCGTAGCATTTCTTGAAATGACAAGTGGGCATAGTCTTGCAAATGATCACGGTGTTTCGTCATCAACTTAGGCTGTTCACAGCTGTTTGCTCTTGGCTGATGGGACAATATCTCTAAAGTGTTTTTGAACTACCGTTGCGGTCCTCTCTGCTAGAAGGTCAGCCCGAGAACACGAACAGTTGACGTCGGTTTAAGGAAACCCCAATTTCTCCGTTGCAATTATCCAATCTAAGTAGTATTTGGCATCTGGAAAATACCACCTACAGGGATGCCCGTATTATTTCACTGCCGCACTAGGGTTTGATTCTTGCGTTGATTGGAGGGCCGTTCATGTTATGGGGTTGTGATTTGCCTCGACTGCTCCGCAATGCCGGGTGTTGACACCAACCATGTGGCAAGCCTCCGAGACATTCGTCATGTGGTGCTTATTGACATCTGGCACGGTTTGGATACAAGCTTCCACCCTTTGCATATGTACCCCAGAAAAATGACTTTGACCAAAGGACCAGTCAGGTTGTTGGGAGGGTTGTATTTGGAGACCAGCAGTGAGCGCGGCCCGAATGACATGGACCCCAAACGGTCCATTCAGCGTTCAAAGGAGACAAGAAGCATGACTCTGAAGATTCTATGACCGGTGTTTAAGGCCCTGTGACATATGCAGTTGCCCATGATCTGTCGCTTATTAGGGATGCTGCATGGAAATAGCAAACACTTCTGTTTGTTCCTTAAAATCCCATCAGCGGACTATCACCCTAACTTGATCCCTTTTCTCCGAGAAGAAGGATATCCTTCGGGGCTACTTCTACCAAAGTAAGGACATTACTGTAACGTAACATAAGATTTTTAATGCCAATGGTCCCTTTGTTGCAGTTGACCGCAGAAAGGCTCTCTTCCTGATCATGCAGACTGCTGGCATCCCATGAGCAATTAGCAGGAATAAGAGGGTTGCCGATGTTTAGAAATGTGGCATCATCAGACATACGGCAGATGCAGGATTCGGACCTTCTTTTTTTGAAGTGAGGTAACAGATCTGCGAAGCATCTCGGGAACCAACTTGACCATGCAAAGGTCCTTTTCTGAAGATCATGCAGGGTGCCAGTGTGTGATGCCAGGCTTGTCAGCGGATTGGAAAGAGCAGGGTCGACGGGAGAACAGACGAGGAAAGAGCCAAAGCGAGAGCCAAAGCGTTTGGGAAGGGGTCAAATGAGCTTATATTATAAAGAGGGCCATCTCGACGTTTTGCTTGCTTTCTCTGTGACTAGTAGGCCCAGACAACGCAACTACCCAAGAATGATTTTCACTCATTTTTTCAGGGCCTTTCTGGCCGCGGCGATGTTTATCTCGGTCGCCAGCCTGACGGTTCCATCTATACATGGCGATACCCTCAACCTTCGCCAGGATAGTGGTGAGAAGCTTGTCTTTTGTCACTTCATGGTTGGTTATACTCAATGCCTCTACCTTCGCAACTTCTGGCTGATACTACTGGCAGATCGGCATTGTTGGTGCGAGAAGCTCGCCCAGCGAGTATGATGCGGACATGCAGAACGCCAAGGCAGCTGGCATCGACGCCTTTGCTCTCAATATTGGCGTCGACCCTTATTCCGATGCTCAGCTCGACTTGGCTTACCAGTCCGCTGCCAACAACGGCATGAAGGTCTTCATTTCCTTCGACTTCAACTGGTACGGCACTGGTGAGGCAACTCGTGTCGGCCAGATGATCGCCAAGTATGGCTCTCGTCCCGCACAGCTCATGGTCGACGGCAAGGCGTTTGCGTCTTCGTTTGCAGGAGACGGACTGGATGTGGGAGCCATGCGCAGTGCTGCCGGTATTCCCGTCTTCTGGGCACCCAATTTCCATCCCGAATCTGGCACAGACTTCAGCGTTCTTGACGGTGCGCTCAACTGGCTCGGCTGGCCCAATAACGGAAACAATAAGGCTCCCGACGCGCGAGGCAACGTTTCAGTCCAACAGGGCGATGCAACATACATTGCGGCTCTCAGAGGCAAGCCGTATATTGCCCCAGTATCACCGTGGTTCTCCACGCACTTTGGTCCCGAGGTTCCATACTCCAAGAACTGGGTGTTTCCCTCCGACACTCTCTGGTACGACCGGTGGCAGCAGATTCTTTCCCTTCAGCCGCGCTTTCTTGAGATCGTCACATGGAATGATTACGGCGAGAGTCATTACGTCGGACGTCTTGACAGCCCGCACGGTGATGACGGCAACTCCAAATGGGTCTACGGATTCCCCCACAACGGGTGGCTCGATATGGCACAGCCGTTCATCAAGGCGTTCCGTGCCGGCGCTAGTGACCCCAAGCCATACATCACAGAGGACAAGGTCGTCTACTGGTTCCGTCCAACTCTCAGGGGTATCAACTGCGATGCGACAGATACCACGATGAGCGATGCCAGCAACTCTTCTGGCAACTACTTCAAGGGCAGGCCGGACGGCTGGCAGACCATGGAGGACAAGGTATACATCGTGACGCTACTCAAGGAGGCCGCGTCTTTAATGGTCAATGTTGCCGGCAACAGTATAACTTTCCAAGCTCCTGCTGGCGCTGCCAAATTCTCCGTCGACATGAAGCCGGGCACGGTCGCTTTCAATCTGGCTCGCGGAGGATCTTCCATTCATTCCGAAACTGCGGGCATGCAGATTTTGGATCAGTGTCCCTGCGGTATTTACAATTTCAACCCTTACGTCGGAACCATCCCAGCAGGACGCCCAGACGAGCTTCTCCCGGCAGCTTATTCGTCCATTCATGCCGGCTTGAAGGTTAGCACATGTGGGCCGAGTGGCATGAAGAGAACGGCGGCGCCACTTGCCGATGTGGTAGCTCCTGCAAAGGCAACTCCCTCTGCTTGACGATATTAAGTAACTTACGGGGATTGCAGGACGGTAGCAAATAGTACGGCGGGGAGAGCTCTTTCATTTATTCATGGATGAAGCACATAGGTAGTCAGGAATGGGTCAATTAAACTGATGCTCTAAATCCTCCCGGATTCAAATTGAACCTTCGCCAGATCCTCCTTTCCGCACGCTCGCCGTACATAGTGCCTGTGCCATTAAAAAGATTTTATAATTCAGGAATAAAATTTTGATGCGAGGTACTAATAGTCGACTACCAGTGACGACTGCTAGGCGAAAATCTGAGATCCGACATTTGAGGCTACTAAAAGACAAGTACAACACCGTAAATGATTTTCACCAATGACTAGCAAACTTGGAAGTAGGTTAAGGGGAGTGCCCTTTTGTAAACCTCAAAAAAATGAGCGTGGACTTGTACACAAAGAAAGTCATGATTCGCAGATCAGTAGTGACTGTTAAGCCCAGCTTTGGCTGCCGTCTTTCTCAATCCTTCGTTGCCTTCCCATCTGTTTGCTTCATCTACTGTGCCGTTTTCTCAAGTACAGTGCAGCTAAGACGAAAAGGTCTCAGCTTGATCGCTCCATCCATATTCTCAAGCTTGCTTTCGATTTGCCTGTAGGCCTCTGACTGCCGAAAGGTGTTGTTGGCCTCGAGAGTAGACCAGCCAATGAATGCTGACAGGATAGTGCCAGTCTGGATGGGATCCCCTCCCTTCACAGGAACATCATTTTCAATTGACCAGCCATAGCTAGTGAATGACACATCAGGGACTTGCCCGAAGGCTTCTTCGAGAATCTCCTGAAGGCGTGTGGTCGCCGTCATCTTTGACTCAGCGGTGATGTCCGAAGGGTAGTAAATAATGAAGACATCCGTCACAGAAGACTTCAACGCATCTGAAAAGGTTGGCGTGGCAGTGACATGCCTGCCGAATTCGCCATAGGCCAAGACTTTAGACAGATCTTTGGTTAATTCCTCGCCATACCTACATGTAGTGTCGGTCAGAATTATTTTCACACCCTAATATAAAATGTTCTGGGTAGTGTTGACTCACTCTTTGGCAAATTTTTTGTGGTCCTCAACAGAGTCCCAATCGAAGAATCCCCAGACGAGGGATGGATCCTCTAACTCGAGTCCCAGATAGAGTCGGTGAGGAGCACCAGGTGCTGCGATGATCTTGCGGTAGACTCCCAAGAAAATCTGACCTTCTGGGGTGGACTCGTCCATGATATCGAGGCCCGGCTTGACACCCATCGGTCCAAGTTCGGTGACGATCATTGGGGAAGACATGTGGCGTAAATAATCTTGGGTTGGGTTGAAGATGAAGAGGTGATAAACGATGCCGAGGCTGCTAAAATTCTGGATGATCCCATGATAATTCGCTTCTTTTTAATAGGAAGCAGATAGTCGGTGCCTGAGCTCGACTCGTCACCGCTTACGCGGGGTTCAGGCAACAATTTCTGCATCTCACTCAGACAATTTGAAAGTTCAGTCGATGCCTGGATTGCAACACCCAGTGTGAGTAAGCACATACTGTTGCAAAACTTGCGTAATTATGGGACTGGCTTCATCTGAGCATCTACCAGTTGTCTTACATACTCTAGACTTGATGGTGAGACTTGTTTAATCTCCACCTGCGCTCTTTATTTTCACTATTTTCACATTGCTTGATGAGCTGAAGCTTCATGGATATGTTTCAATGTCTGAATTCGCCAATAATAATCTGTGCAGCCTTCTCGCCCATCAACAGCGCGACATTATAAGTGTTGGCAGCCACTTGTTGGGCTGGCACACTGAGATCCGCAATCTTCAACCCTGATACACCATACACATCCAACTTATGGTCAACTGCAGCATCATCATCATCAGCAGAAAACATACTTTTGGAGCTTGAAAGAGCTACTTACCAACCCCTTTCTCCTCCCGTGGCGCCATTTTGCAGGTACCTAGAGGGTGTCTCGACGTTCCGATGTTCTCGCGTATATACTGTACGATAGCAGCATCGTCATCGACAGAATAATTGATAGCATCAGCGACCGGCCCTTCAGCCGTCTCAATAACGGCGGCACTCGCTGAATTGGCAAATTGAGGATGTCGTGATGCGAGTTCGCCTCTGAAGATGTCCATGCGACGAGCAATGGCTCGCTGTGTCTTGTACCCCCAGATATGGCTCTTCAAGTCAATGTCGTTCTCATCAAGAAGCCAGCCAGTGTTGAAATCGTACGGATCGTCAATATTGGGCCCGGTGACATGAATATGACCCCTTGCATATGGGTAAGTAACCCAGGGTGCAGTAGTAACGTATTCAGCATCGTCAGGAAGGGCATCTGGATTACCAAAGTAGGCGTTAAAAAGTCCCATGATCATGAGAGGGCGGTTGGGCGAGTCCTTGAAGTCCCTGTCCCAAGCCGCTTGGAACTCGGGTCCAAGACCTGCAATATCAGCAGGAGAAGGTCTTAACTTGCTCGAAGCATCGTGGCCGTTCCACCCAAGTTGCTTGTCGTCGACAGCAATCATGGCGTCCACATCTCGCCCCCTATCATTCCGGGCAATGCCATTGATTGTCTCATTTTGTTCAAGATTCGTCCGATAGACGTATCCGACGAAATGGTGATCTATGAATCGTCACTAGCCAATCAAAGCTCTGGCAATTGACATATAGCGAATCCAGACTTACCTTGGAAGCCATTTCCCACTCCATCAAGACTTTCGATAGTCGGTATACCTGCCTTTCCCAGTACTGCAGGGTCGCCAACTCCAGACCTTTCGAGAAGTAGCGGAGTTCCAAAAGACCCAGCAGAGGCAACCACTAGCTTTCTTGCCTTGACACTTATCGTGCTATTGTCTCGAGCATCCTGCGCGAATGCTGGGTTCGGTCGAATTTCCACTCCAACGGCGCGATTATCCTCTCCCTCGAACAGGATATGGAGGACCTGAGTCTCAACCAATACATGCAGATTAGGATACTCGCCACTTTGTAGGAGTGGATGTAAGTAACGATGAGCGACATCTTGACGACGACCGTCAGTAGGTGAGACATATCGATACCAAGGCCCGGAGCCATTGTTAGAGTGAAGCGCTTGGAGGTCTTCCATTTCAAACCAGCCTGTTTCGACAGCCCCCTTAATCCAACTTCTTTCAGCTCGAGGCGCTTGGTGCGTTCCCTTCGACACATGGATTGGTCCGTTATAACCGTGAGTGGATTCATTGGTAGTTGCGCCGTGGTACGTTTCCACCTGGAATGTGCGTCAGCCAGCAGAAGCGGATTTTGACGAAATGCAGGCGGACCTTTCGCAGGAGTGGCAACAGTTCTTCCGTAGACCAACCCGATGTGTTCCAGGAGTTGAAATCATCCCACTGCCCGCGGGTGTATACCATCCAGTTGATGGCTGACCCTCCTCCAAGAATACCGCCTGTCTCAACAATGGGCTCGCGATCCGCCAACTGTGGTGACTTGTTGGCCTTCCAAAACAGGGCAGTATCAGAATCGGGCATGGTGTTTCGTTCGAAAAGCGCTGGGAAGATGACGTTTGTCACGTTGAAGCTGTCTTGGCCCTGCTCAATGACAAGAATCGATAGGGTTGGGTCTGCTTCGGCGAGCCGTGAGGCAACGATGCTGCCAGCGGTGCCTCCTATATTCAGAGTGAGGCTTTGACAAATAGGAACTGCCCAGGCCAGACTTACCTCCGGCAATTATGACGTCCACCTCTGTGAGGTTGGTAGGAAGTTCAGTGTACAGCCCTACACAACCTGTCGCCATTGCCAGTACGCCTAAATAGGCCTTTTGCAGTTTGCTCAGTCTCATGGCGAACAAGGCTTTGAGTCTATCAGATGAAACCAACTCCACTGTCTGTGGAACAAAGAGAACAAAAGTCGACTGCAACTCACTGGCTGAGTGGTGGCTCAAGAGATATTAGTACTATGATGCTTGGGTGTGAAAAAGACTCGCCGCTGTCGGTGGTATTGATGAAGAAGTCCGCTTTGGAAGGCAAAAGATCAGCACAGCGTAATCCGCTTAAGTTCTATGAACATCCATGTCTGGAAGACGCCGAGGCGGAACGGCCCAGTTATGTCGTATCGCAGAGGCGGGGGATGCATCCGACGTTGTAGAAAAGAGTCCTAGCTTACTTGGCACAGCCTTCAAGTGCATCTGACTAGGATCCCTACTTGGCCTCGGACGAGGAGTTCACAAATGGCATGTTGAGTCTAGAAACGTAAGTCGAACGTCGTCTGCAGTATTGTCGATCGCCGGTCAGCGTCGCAATATTCCTGCTGCTTAGTCGAAGACGAGCAGACGAACGAACAGCGGAATAATGCAGAGTTTGGCTTCGATATGACTTGCACAACGTTATGTAGGCTCACGATCTTGATGCAAATGAAAATCTCGATACTTCAGATGTAGTCACTCTACTGTTGGATGATTGCTAGGTCAGTCAACGAAAACAGCCGGCTGCCGAATCCGTATTGGAGATTGTCGGGAGCGCCATGAAGAGTTAGGCGACGACAAATGTGTAGACTTTTTCTCAGAACGAGGCCTTGTTTGTTGGCTGTTGGATAGGGATATCTCAGATCACACTAAACCTTTCGAATTCTGCGAAGGGTCTAGAAAAAAATGATGTTCACATATTTGTGCGAGACATCGAGGTGAGGCAAAGGGCAAAAGATGTGACCAGCCTGGGGGTCGAACCCAGAATCTCCTGATAACACACGCAGTCGTAGTCAGACGCCTTGCCATTGGGCCAACCGGCCGTTTGTGAATTTTTTGCCTTGAAACTGTAAATATATTTGGAGCAGGTTTTCTAGTTGGCTCCACCAATGTCAATGAAGCGGAACCCTCCATGTGGGGAGATTGAAAACTCTCCGGATTGTATTCTCAACTTTGAAGGCAGTCAGATTCTCGCCATCATCGGATAATAACCGCCGTTCGAGAGTTTTGAATGTTCAGGATCAAGAGCGACTGAAGAGTTATAATCATTCCTTCCACTGCTAGCTCTAGCTGTCGGTGACATTTATCTAGGCCTGGAGACACCTTTCTTTGTAATCATTTCATCATACCCAAAATCATCACACTGTCTCTAGAATCCGACTCTTTCCAAAACAAATCCAAACTTAAACTCTCCGACATGTACCTTCAAGTCCTCCCTGACATTGGGACCGCAAGCGGCAGTGCCAACACCAGCAACGCGGGCGTCAAGACGCAGAAGCGTCGCATCCTCTTCGACAAGATCGCACGGGTGCGCGGCCTTGTGCACCGTCTCGGAAGTATAGTGACTGACCTGGAAGCTAAACTGACGCCACTCCTCCTCGGACCAGACAGCAGCGTTGGCCGGCGTAGCTCTAAGACCCCGGCCGTGGTCCTCGGTGAGCTTGACGTAGCGGGTCTCCAAGTGGTTGCCGCCTTCTTGAGGCACCTCGTAGTGCTGGTGCAACTCTGACACGGTGGCGCTGAAGACACCGAGGTGCTGGCTAGACTTCTTGTCCGGGTAGGACTCGCCGGGCCCGAGAGCGAGGTACTTGACGTTGTTGAGCGACTTGGGCAGCCGCAGATTCAGGCCCACGCGGGGGACGTGAGTGGGCTTGATGCCGCGAGGCTTCAGGTCAACGGCGACGGTCAGGCGGCCGATCGCGTCGATAGTGTAGGTAGTCGTGGTCTCCCAGCCCCAGTCAAGAACGCGAGGGGAAAGGTAGGTTGATGTGATGATCTCAACTTTGTCGGTCGACTCGTTGATCTTGAGAGACCGAAGTTGGCTATCAAGAGCATCGACGCCGAAACGAACCCAGTAGGGGGCGTCGTTGGGGTTGTCGTTGTCCGTAGGAGCACGCCAGAAGTTGGGAATAATGGCGGCGCCGGTTGAGCTGTCCTTCTCGAGAAGAGGTACACCTGCGGCAGTCCAAGAGGTGATGTATCCGCGGGCAGTATCGAAGGTAATGGCAAAATCGGAGCCCGAGACGGTGGCCTTGGCGCGAGACTTTTGAACCTGCAGCTTGTGGCTGAGCGTGCTGTTGGCCAGCTTGGGGGCCACCGCATCGCCGGAAAGCTTGTGCTGGATCCAGGCGATCTCGTGTGCGGGCTCGGCCCAGTTGGTGGAGTCCTTGAGACTGAAGGTCACGGTGATGTAGACCTCCTTGTCAGACTTGATGTTTGCAATGCTCGAAGGAAGGTCGACCTTGACGGTCTCGCCGGCCGCGATCTTGGGGATCTCGAGGTTTCCAGCAGCAATGATGGCAGAGCTATGATGCACATTATTAGCTGCCTTGGTTCTTCAGATCAATAGTTCTGCAGAGTGACTCACTTTTCGCCAAGCTCCTCAACCTTGTAAGTGGAGGAGAGGTGTTCAACGCCAACGAAATCGTACCTGTTCTTGATGACAAGCTGGCTACCATCAACCGACAGCTCAAGGGGTTGGTAGGCCTTCTTTAGCTCGATCAAACCCGGAGTGGGGTCGTGGGTGCTGTGAAGAAGACCGTCCATGACAAAAGTGCCGTCGTGGGGACGCTCGCCAAAGTCTCCTCCATAGGCATAGTAGCCCTTGCCATCAGCATCTTCCTTCCAGATACCATGGTTGGCCCATTCCCAGATGTAGCCACCCTGAAGACGAGGGAACTTCTCAAAGACCTCAATATAGTCATCAAGACCGCCAGGACCGTTGCCCATGGCGTGGCCGTACTCGCAGAGAACAACGGGCTTTTCGAAGCTGCCGTCTTCCTTGACTCCCTCGGTCTCGACCAGCTTGGTCAAACGGTCGATGGGAGGGTACATGTACGAGTACATATCCGCAGTTTCGGCCTTGACATCGCCTTCGTAGTGAACCGGTCGGCCAGAATCGAACTTCTTTGCGTACTCGTACATAGCTTTGTGGTTCTCTCCGTAGAAAGCTTCGTTACCAAGCGACCACATGATGATACTGGTGTGGTTTTTGTCGCGCTGAACCAGTTGGACCATGCGGTCGAGGTAGGCCTCGCGCCACTCGGGGTTCTCGCTGGTGTACTTGCCGGCAAGAGGGAAAGTTATGGCCTTGCGCTCCTCGTAGTCTGCCGCCTCGTCGACGTCCTGAGGACGAGCAACGGCGTCGTAGAAGCCGTGGCACTCGAGATCGGCCTCGTCCATGACCCACAAGCCGAGCTCGTCGGCCAGCTGGAAGACTCGTGGGTCGGGTGGGTAGTGTGAGCATCGCAGAGAGTTGATGTTGTGATTCTTCATGATGAGGAGGTCGCGCTTGGCATACTCGATGGGGACGGCTCGGCCGAACTTGTTGTGGTGTTCGTGTCTGTTGACACCTCTGATGCGGATGGGGGTGCCGTTGACTGAAATCAGACCGTTCTTCAGCTCGACTTTGCGGAAACCGATATTTTGGTAGACGGCGTGTGAGCCGAGGGTGATGTCGACTCGGTAGAGGTAAGGTGTCTCGGCAGTCCATTTCTTGGGGTTGGTGACGGGAATGCTAATGTCGACCTTGGTGTCGTCGGCAGTGACCTCTGCCTCCTGGGTAGCGATGACAGCACCGCCGTTCTTGCCCAGCTCGCTGAGAGTGAGCTTTACGGTCCCCTTCTTGGCGGTCTTCACGTCGACCGTCACCAGGAGAGTGGCATCTTCATACTTGTCGTCTAGATCAGTGCGAAGGAACCAGTCCTCAATTCTTGTTTGCTCGGGTACGGCGAGGAGAGTGACATCGCGGAAGATACCTGTCATCAGTTTGTTAGGTTGGGTGGATGCCCAAGCTGGCCGGTGATGGAGTGGCTACTCACCCGAAAGCCACCATTGATCCTGGTCTTCGATGTAAGTTGCATCGGACCATTGGTAAACTCTCACAAACAGCTCATTGGGTCCATCCCTCTTGAGCATGCTTGTGACATCAAACTCTGACGCGTTCCGCGAGCCCTGGGCGAAGCCAATGAGCGTTCCATTGACCCAGATGTGGTATCCGGAATCGACGCCGTCAAATCTGAGGCGCAGTTGCGACTTCTCATCCCAGGTGGAAGGGACGTGGAATGTCCGTCTGTACGTGCCCGTGGGGTTCTCGCTGGGCACATATGGCGGGTTAACTGGGATGGGGAATTGAGTGTTGGTGTACCACGGGTAGCCGTGTCCCTGGAGTTGCCAATGGCCGGGGACGTTGATTGTGCCCCATTCGTCCTCCTTGTCTTCTGGCAAAGGCGCCTCCTCGGGAGTGCCGGCCATGTGGAAGTCCCAAACGCCATTGAGAAGGATAGACGTCTCTGGAATGAAGTATGCGCGAGGGGGAAGGGTGTTGCGTCTGAACACAGAGGGGTTCTCATAGTCGTGAACTCCCTCCTTCGCCTGGAGAGACAAGCTTTGAGAGGCCATCGTGGCGGTTTGGATGAGGGGTAACGATGGACTGAGACACAGATTGGGGTGGAGGGGAGAGAGGGAATGTGAAGAGGGAGGAATAAGAGAAGCAACCAGCCAGCTTGTCAGGTCCACTTGTTATTTATTCGTCCTCACTTCTCCACGCAAAGTAACGCGTCGGACCCAAGGCCGAGGGAACCGCCAAAAACACAATCAGCAACCACCCGTATCGCTCGTGAAGCTGAGTTTCGTCCCGCCGTATGACGAGCGAGCGTGGGGCAAAAGAATGGAGAAGTTTCGGGGTAGCTCCGAGTCAGGGGGTGTCGGTGTAGCACGACCCCGAGGTAGGTCATCCATGATCCTGGTGCTTCTTCAACTTCTTTGAAAGAGTAACGTAACTCCGCACTATGTGGACGGAAGAGGTATAGTCTCCCCCAGCCCCCGTGTGCTTCTGATTGGGTCCGGGGAAGTCGGGGCCGGCCCCGCACCTCCATCCGGATACAAGCCGGTGCAACGTCTGACAGCCCTGCTAGCCATTTTGCCTTGCTCCCCCATCTCTTGGATGGACGGAAAGTTGTGTGCTTCTGTTACCCCGGATTCACATTGGCTAGACCCCGGCTAGTGATGGCTGAAAACTGCAAGCGCGCCTGTGTTGTTGGCTCATGGCTGGTGATCCGTCGTCTCACCCCAGGTTCTGTCGTGTTTTCTGCATGCTGTGTCGTTCAGTCGAATGGTATGATGGCCCGAATGCGGGGAGATATTTCTTCTTCTGATGGGCTAGTGACTCTGCGGCCAGAACATTTAAGAGGGCCGCGTTATCGCCTCTCCAGTCTTTCGTCTCCATCGATGATGCCCTTCCAAGACTTGGATCCCTCCACCGTTCCACTGTTCCTGTATCCTTGGTCCACTTCTGCCGAGTTGTATTGCTTTCCTGCAGTTCATCTTCCACCATGTCCGCCGAGAAGTCCGACGTCGCGGTCGGGGGTCACGCCGAAGAGCGCCATGTTGACGCTCCGGAAGTCGACGCAGCCGTCCATATTGCTCACCAGACGCAAGATGGCACTTATTCGCCCTGGACACCGCACATGTTTCGACTATACGCCGTCTTGTTCATTGGTGTGTGATTTGTTGTGTAATATCAGCGATGGTTTGCTAACGAATGTCACAGCCTACCTCAATGGAGCGCTCAATGGTTACGATGGGTCCCTTGTAAGTAATCCCGACATATGGGCAACAACATTCTCTAATGAATCACTCTCAAAGATGGGTGGCCTGAATGGAATGAAATCGTACTTGAACTACTTCCACAAGTGAGTGACTGGAAAAAAGCAAACTAGTCAGGCCTCACAAGACTAACGTATGTCTAACAGAGAGACCGTGGACGAGAGCACCGGGATCATCTTCGCCATGTACAACATTGGGAGTGTCGCCGCCGTCTTTTTCACCGGACCTGCAAACGATTACCTCGGTCGCCGATGGGGTATGTTCATTGGAGCTGCCATTGTTATCATCGGCACTTGTATTCAGGCCACAACCAAAACGTAGGGACCTTCTCTCTGAATAGTCGCATGTCAGTCGCTCATGATTGGTAGCTCTGGCCAATTCCTTGCTGGACGATTCGTTCTTGGATTTGGTGTCAGTTTCTGCTGTGTTTCAGCTCCGACCTATGTAAGCTCCTTCGAATTCCTCATCCTTGACATCAATTAACACGCCGCGTTTTCAGGTCTCTGAGATGGCACACCCAACATGGCGAGGAACCATTACAGGCGTTTACAACTGCACCTGGTACGTTGGTAAGTTTGGCTATCTCGCCTTGATATTTTCGGATGCCAGGTCTAATCACTACGCACAGGGTCAATCATAGCCTCATGGGTTATCTATGGATGCTCCTACATCGACGGCACCAGTGCTTGGCGGTTGCCAATCTGGCTTCAGATGTAAGTCTCGAATTCCCAACAAAATGCTGTCCCATTTAGTTCTCGTGACTAATAAACCCCTCGTAATAGGGTGACCTCTGGTATCGTTTGTGTCGGAGTCTTCTTCATTCCCGAATCCCCGCGATGGCTCATGGCGAACGACAAACACGAAGAAGCCGCGAAGGTCCTTGCCAAATACCACGGCGAGGGCTCAATTGATCACCCCATCGTCCAGCTTCAACTGAAGGAAATGGCCATTCAAATCAGTACAGATGCATCAGACAAGTCGTGGTGGGACTATAGCGAACTCTGGAAAACCCACTCCGCCCGTCGCCGCCTCATCTGTGTGCTGGGCATGGCTTTCTTTGGACAGATTTCCGGCAACTCGCTCAGCTCGTACTACTTGACCGCTGTGCTTGAGAACGCCGGCATCACAGACGAGAAGCGCGTCTTGGCGTTGAACGCGATCAACCCCATTTTGTGCTTGGGCGCCGCTCTTTTCGGAGCCCGTATGACAGACGTTGTTGGTCGTCGACCACTTTTGATCTACTCCATCATCTTCTGCTCCTGCTGTTTTGCCGTCATCACCGGGACCTCCAAGTTGGCAACGGATGATCCCAGCAATGTTGCTGCTGCCAATACCACCATTGCCTTTATCTACATCTTTGGCATCGTCTTTAGCTTCGGCTGGACTCCTCTTCAGAGCATGTACATCGCTGAGACCCTCAGCACAGCCACCCGCGCCAAGGGTACTGCCGTCGGCAACTTTGCCAGTGCTGTTGGAAGCACCGTCATTCAGTATGCCAGTGGACCAGCTTTCCTCAACATCAAGTACTACTTCTACATTGTCTTCATCTTCTGGGACCTCTTCGAAGCAGTCTTCATTGTAAGTTCGACTTATTCTCCACTGGTGTATCAAAGTTTTGCTGACACCGCACTAGTACTTCTACTTCCCCGAAACGAAGGATCGCACACTCGAGGAGTTGGAGGAGGTCTTCAGCGCCCCGAACCCTGTCAAGAAGAGCTTGGAGCCTCGGTCAGCCGAGACTGTCTTGAAGACTATGCAGGTCGGACTGGACGAAAAGGAGGCGTATGTCTAGTAGATATCTTGATCGGGCCGGGCTTTGGCGGCAATTGTGGGGCGATACCGGTCCGGACGCCGGGTCAGCGCCTGGGTTCACCTGCATTTGCCGTCTATCTCTCTGTTTAGATACAATCAATCAATCGAGTCGTTGTTGATAACCTTTTTGGCAAAATTTGGATAGCAATCAAATGTTACCACAGTCACCAAGTGCAATGTCAAAATCAGAAAGGCAGTCAATCCATCAGTGTCTGTCAACAGAGCGACTCCGAAAAGGGGATTCATCGCTGTGATTGGAGCGGTACCATTCTTAGAAAATGGGCTAATGATCCCATGTTCTACTGAGTACATCAGGCCAATCCAACCAACAGTTCTAGTCTACATGCCTTGCTCAAGTCTGAAGAGAAAAGCTTCATGACATATTACATGGAAAACCGGCAACACGGACTAGACAAGGGCCACTTGTCACATGTGCTTCTCCAACTCGTAAGAGACGCATGCCGTGACGGGACATATGCCCGTCCAAGTCCCAAGCGATGGTGATATCCCCCGCCTGGGGCACCCTCATAGACGTCCTGGGGCTGCACGGAGCGAGGCATGGATGCTTTAGAGATGCTAGGCTCGGTTCGATTTCCATCACCGTCCCATGATCCCACAAGCTTTTCCCCTTCGGAGCCAAGCCCCGGTTTCTATTTCTCCAATTCTTCCCATGAATCCACCCCCTTCTCCACATCAACCTCCTCCCCCGCACCACACGTGGGCGCATATATGCATGTCCTGCTGCCGGGATTCTTCCTTTGAACCCCCTTGTGCCGTCCATTCTTTTTTTCCCACAGTCCACCTGCCCCCAAACTCTGCCGCAACTCGGCCCGCTTCGGATCGAGAGTCCCCTTCGCTGCGGAACCAGGCTGTTGCTGTACGGCTACACCATGCCACCAAGCAGCTGCGATGGAGCCACTGGATAATGACACGATCAATGAGCCATTGAGAAAGAGGTTGAGGACAAGCCATGCGGTATGTGAATTACATCTTCTTGGACTTCTCTTCGCCTTGACCAGCAATTTCTCCCCCTTTCTGTGTGGTATTGAGGCAATCCAAGATGAAGGAGTTGGCATCATCTGCCACACTCAACTATCATCTCAGTATACTCCCCACCGTCGCAAGAGTTCTGCACGAACACTAGTGCCACCTAGGACACACCGCACTTAATTACTTCCATTTCACTATCGCGAAGATCTTCACCTAGTGGAGTAGCATCTCTCCGCGCCTCACTTCTTTGCTCACCAGATACTCTGTGCGGCTACTCTGCCGAGACCCCAGGAACTCGCTGACAACGCATCACATCCTCCAGTGTGACACATGCCGCGCGAGGAAGATCAGGTAAGTGGGACAAGTCGGCTAAACAACCAGGTCCAGGTTGAACCACTCTCTCGGGACAGTATCAAGATTAACGAGACCTCACTACACAGATGCAATGGCAGCACGCCATGCGCATCCTGCTCTGCGTCGCACCAGGAATGCACATATGGGTCCGAAGCTAATTCGTAAGTTGGGCCATCTATCCGTACACTGTAGAACAGCCATTCACTGCCCCGGCGCCGTGATCCCCGGCGGGAACACCGACTTGCGGGCGCCCGGAGGAGTCTAGAGAGGAAGCTTTTCTGCCGCGAGTCTAAATCTGACCATCACGTGATGCAGGCGCGGGAAAAGCGACCTCATTTTAGAGAGTGTGCTTCGCGTGGAGAAGTTTCTTCATGAGATGAAGGCCACCATCGTCAGTCCCGTCTCCTCCACGTTCCACTTCTCGCCAAATCCATCTCACGATGGTGCGTTCAAGGGAGCGGTGCCGTTTGCCGAACACCGTCCGTCCGTGGTCTCCCCGGCACTCCGTTCGGCGTCTCGGGGCTCCTTTTCGGGTTCGCCGCTGAACGAGATCCATCACCCTCAGCGGACACCCATCTCGGAGCCACTGTATCAGAACAACTTTGAGAATGCCGTCCTTGACTCCATGCATACGAGTACCACGGAGTCTGTCCTGCAATGGCCTCATTTTGACGCCTTTCCGAACATGAGGGATGGATATGTCCCCATCTTCCATCTGGAGCAGTCGCGGCCCGCAGTGAAGACGCGCGCAACCACAATGTACCCGTACGTGACCGCGGAGGACATTGAGGGCATCATCGAATCTTTCGAGCACACCATCAACTTCTGGTATCCGACCATGTCTCGCGGACAACTTGAGCAGGTCCGCAATCTGATCTCGGATGGCATTCCCGAGGAGGACAGCATTCTTGTTTGTCTGGCGCTGCTGACAATGGCGTTGGGGTGTGCCGGTCAAGTGACAACGGGATTAGCGAGCACGTCGACTTTGACCGACGAGGAACGCAAACGCAGGGCTGCTAAGAGAGCCATGGGTGACATGTACTTTGACAGCGTGCTCAAGAAGCTGCACGTTGTGCATACTAACGTAGGAAGCACGGCAACCCACTGCCTATTCTTCACGGCGTGAGCAAGGAGCTTTATATACCAACCTGACCTGGAAACAGTCGCTGATTTGGTCTTCAGAATGTATTTCGCCTTCCTCCGTCGGCCCCTGCAAGCTTGGGAATACATCAATGCGGCATCGGCAAAATGCCTCCTGCTCTTGTCCTATCCGCCAGAGTCCGAGTCCGTGGAGGACCAGGAACGGATTCGAAGAATTTTCTGGTCTTGCTACATCCTCGAGAGGTAATAGCCGGGACCTGCAACACACTTACATGTACTATACGGCCAAACTAACGCATATGAAGCGACTATCTCGCGGAGCTTTCCGGGCTTCCACAGTCGGGCGTCGCCCGCATCGAGTCAACAACTCCTCTTCCGGGAGAGTACAGCACCCACCAAGACTCTCAAGTTGAAGAGCAATCCTCCCTCTACTTCCTTGCCTGCATTTCCATGCGCCGCCTCCTCAACCGCGTCCATCAGCTTCTATACGCTCGCGGAACCGGCGCTGCTCTCGACCACGCCCGCTTCCCCTACGTCGTCGCCGAGCTCAACCATCAGCTCGACGAGTGGCGCGATGTGCTCCCCCCGGCTTTCGCCTTCAGTGTCGGATTCAAAGAGGTAGGCAACAGCCAAAGCATCGCGACGGAGCACGGAGGGTTTCTGCGGCAGAGATACCTGACCTGCAGAAGTGTGATTTACAGACCGTACCTGATGTGGATGCTGAGCGGCATGGCTGGTGGGAACGGGGCCAGCTCTGAGCTGCTGGTCAGCCAAGATGCGCTAAAGAACTGCAAGGCGTGTCTGGACGCTTGTCTGCTTCATATTCTCAACTTGAGGGGCTTTGGGCAGACAGTCATGGTTGACACGTGGATATGTTCTCTCTCGTAAGTCGTGACCGCCATGCATTGAGACATCGTGACTAACATATGATCAACAGTATGGCTGGCGCAATGCTTGTTCTACTTGCTGCCTGTCGCATCCCGGCCTTGAAAGATATGATTGGCCCCGAAGTTCTGCGAGCTGGAGACCATTTGAGGCAGCTTCTGCAAGGCTGGCAGAGTATGATGGGCGAGCCTACATCCCCGAGCGTGAACCAGGCGATCCGGATCATCAGTGATGTGGACCGTTTCATTCAGGAGGTCTACCGAGCCGGCGAATCCTACTCGATGAGGCGGCATTGATCGCTCTCATGAGAGAATATCGACAGCGAAGCAACTCATGCCAAAACAAATGTTCATATTTGGTACATACAAAAAGTAGTAGGGTATGAAATGGAGGCTGAACATAGCACCAAAAAAAAAGTCACCTGTGATGCACTACCATATGCCAAACTTGGCATCACGCTCTTCGCGGCTTCTCAGCCATGACAATCCAAGCATCTGATCTCCACGACGCTGTTTCAGTTTTCAAATCCCAAAAGCAATCTCGCCGCTTCGTCCTCGCTTCCTGCTGAAGATCAGCTGCCCTCTCAGCAGCCGTCGCGCCCTCAAAGGTTCACCTTGACAGCAACAACACTGCCAGCCATGAAGCCGGTGACGAAGAGCCATGCTTTCCTCTCACCCTTCTCCTGAGCTGGGTCAATGGCGACCAAGACAGCAGTCGCCGCCGACCGGGTTCTAGTTCCATCGTCCTCGAACAACAACCGCTTCTCATAGCTTCCATTGCTGCCCGCAGCCGGCCTGACGTACCAGACCATCGACGCAATGTCCGACGAAGTATTGTGTACCTGCTTAGGTAAGTCCACTGGTCGCGAAAGACCGGCAAGCACAAAGCCGCTCGCGTCAAGAGCTTCGCTTTTGTACGGGTCCTCAAAGTAGCTGGGATTGTCAATGTATGAATCCGTCTGGATGGACTCGTCGACGTTGATGCTGGTATTCTTGGAGTCCGAGGAGAGCTGCCCGATGAACATCTCGCCACCGGCGCAGTTGACGACAAGGATTTCCTCGGCCTTGCGGCCGTGACCCAAGCCGTTGTTGTTACGCATCCCTGAAAGAGCAACTTCGGCCTTGATGCCTTCCGTAGGGACCGTTGCAGACATCTCGTCAATGTGAACGTGAATGGTGTCGGTCCAAGAGGTTCCAGGCCACAAATCCTCGATGATTCTTCCGATACCATTGGGGTGATAATGATCGTTGGTCACGTAGAACGAGTACGGATCTTTGATAAAGATGTCGTTCGGGGTCTTCAAAAGCGGGTGAATGACGGTGCGTAGGTGCCTGACAGTAGATGATCCGAGAATATGATGGAAGATTTCAACGCGTGATTGAGATTTCTGGGTGACTTTTTGAGAACTCTGGCCTCCCAGCTTGGTCGCTAACCAGTCTGGGTGTGGTACATGATTGACGGCGAAGATGTAGACGGCCTCGGGCTGCTTGGGGTCTGAGATGACATCGATGCCGTGAGTGACATAGGTGGTGTCAAAATTCTCAAACTTGAGCCGTCTTTGGGTCATGTCCTAAGCAAGTAAGTCAAAACATTGTTGATCATTTAGTAACTCGTGCTCCTACCTTGGGATCAATGACGTGAAGAGAGCCCTTTTGTTTGCTTCCGATGATTGGGTCACCGAGGGTACCTAGAGCAGGGAACCATTTGGCACGGGTCTCTTCATTGTCTTCGCAGGCAGTGAAGAGGAGACCACTGGGAAGGTGGTGATGGATATCTTCGCAATGAATCGTGTCGTCAATGAAGATCAAGTCCCCTGCTTGCAACACGGGGGTATTCAGTTTCTCTCGTCCAAGTCCGATAAGGGTAACTGTCCTCTTGACTGCGGGCGCATAATTGTAGCCCCCGAAGATGGCTAGGCCAGCCACCAAGATGGGCATCAACGCAGCCATGTTGATTTACTGGTGATTCGGACGGCCCGGAGTTGGAGTAAGGTATGACGAGCAATCTATTGACTCGGTTTAGACGCAAGATTTATAGCAAATCAAAGACAGATGTCTGGTGTGGATACCTCCAGGTCTCCAAGAATTTAGTGACGAATGGAACCAAATCTCGGGCTCACGGGCTTGAAATAATTGAAGCTGGGAGGGTGAAAGACCGTGATGTGAACGCGGAGATGTGCTCGGGACCCATGCCAAATCCGCTCCATAGCGTTCAGGGTTGCTAGTGTGGAGGTGTCTCAGAACTTCATAGGTACGTCACGCGTGCGGAGCAATCCGGATCCCACCGAGGTCGACGGTTTTCTCCAAGTCCGCAGTTCTCCAAACCTCGGCTTATTCAAGTTGTCTTGACTAACGCTAATTCGATAACGTCAATGCAAGCCAATGTGAACTATTAGTAGATCAATGGATCTGAGTCTCGGCCACGTCTTACTCAGTGCTCAGAGTCCGTAAGACGCGGAAAATCTAGGATAGCTTCGTAATTACTACAATGAAAGTATAATAAGGTGAAGCAAACAGAGGGCGGGCGGCCTAGCTGTTCCTCAGTGCCGGCAGCTGACAAGGACGTGAAAAATCAAAAAAGAAATTATGTTTTCCGAAACCGAGAATCGAACTCGGGGCTATGCCTGGCCTCTCACACAATGAGAGGGCATCATGTTGGCCACTACACCATATCGGATGTGACTGATAATGAGGGAGCCCTCGGAGTCGCATCAAAGTGGAAGATCGTGGTGAGTTCGGTGGGTTTGGTGGGTGACGAACGGCGCCTCGGGGAGATTTGGGAGCCGTTTTTACGACCGAGTGGATTTCTAACATGACAAGGTACTCGAAAGCGGATTTGAAGAGTGGGAAAAATTTCCACTAGATTCACTAGATTGACGAAATCCGGTCATGCTAATGGGACTAGACTCTCTGCCTCTTCTCTTTTCATAGTCGTCACTTTCCGTTTTATGAAGAGTAACTATGAATGGCATGTGATGATGCAAACGAATACACCGAAAAACAAAGACACGGTTATGAACAGTAAGAGCAATGAGATATCAAGCTTATCACCTGTACGGTTGCAAAGTACCTATGGAAAGGCAGAGGCTCTACGCCTCTGGTAGGACCAGGGTTTCAGAGCCCCGACTAGAGACGAAGAACCCTGAGAAGCTGAGAGCAGTCATGAGTGACCCAGGGTTGCGGGAAAGAGTAAATTGACTGGGGTTATTTGTACATGTACGGATCCCTGTGCGGACTCTACCGCGAGGGCCCACGGCTGATGCGATAGCCCACATGCCCCTTTGGGAACCGGCTAAAGTCCTGGTTGGTCCTTGGTTGCAGAGGAGCTGTGGCCAAGAGTCCGTTCTGTGCGATAACCCTGTCCGACCAACATTAACAAGAGTCCTCTGAGGTGAACAGCGAAGCCATTCCGTTGTAACAAGATACCTTAGTTAAAATTCTTGGCGGAACGGGAGACATTGATAAGTGCACCACGGAGCTGCAAAAGGTATCTGCGATGAGCCACATTACGCCACGTCGACTAGTCCTCTGGTCCCAACTGGAGGTTAAGCTCTTCACCGAGGAATTTAAATCAAACTCATCCCCAGCAGCCGTACACCTCGGAGAGACCATGAATATATCAAGGTGAAGGTAGCAGCCCAAAACCTTCTTTGTGGGAAGCTCAGTTACCTTGAGAAAAGCTAGTCGCTTGCGACTAAAAGTCAACTCCCGCACCATAGTCCATTCCTGTGAGAACCACACGCGGGAGAGAGCCATCAAGGCAACATGGGTGAAGGACATTGCAAGAGCTGTTGCATTTAAACCCCCCAAACATCCTCCTCTGCCTCTTGATCACAACTTCCTCTCACTCACTCACTCACTCTGAAATTTTACACATTCTGCCCAATTATACCAGGGTCTCCTGAACAACCAGACCTCATCACCTCGAAAGAACCTCAAAACAACAGCAAACATGAAAGGCCCCACCACCATCCTCCTGGCCCTCCTTAGCCTCACACCTCTCGCCCTCGCCGGAGGCAAGAAGAACTTGTGCAGAGACCGCGGCTTCGATATCGACCGCTACCGCGAGGCATGCGAAAAAGTCGGACAGCCCATCAGCCTCTGGGGCAAGTGTCAAATCACCTGCGACCATCTCCCCACCTACGAGGAGTGGAAAAAGAAGCAGACTTCCAAGAACGCCATCCACAAGTTCATCACGGGCCACGACCTGGATCCCACCATTCTGCTTCCTCCTCCTCGTGCTGCATTCGCGGCTTCCACCACTTGTGAGATCGAGACCGCGGAGACTGTCTCGAGCCTTTTTGCCGAGGAGACCGCCGCCAATGTGCTCTCTCCCCGTCTTGAGCCGGTTTCCGAGCCCGAGATCACCGCGGCACCGGCCCCTACCTCAAGAGGTATCCAGATCTCAAACACATCTACCAGGCCCTGCAAGCCCAAGGAGATCTCAGGCTACGACCCCCTGTGCACCCTCACCCGCAGAATCCCCTGATACTCAAAGATCCAAGCCGCCCTGTCGTCTTCACTCCAGGCAGAGGCTTCCGCCCTCGCCGCAAAGGCCTCCTCCTTCGCCATTGTCCTCGACACTCCCAAGTCCGACAACGTTGCAAGTTCGGTCACGGTTACCGTCGAGAATCTCGTCGCCAAGTGCACGGGGTCCGCAAAGGCCTTGACTACAAAGGCCCCTGGTAACAGCACCATCCCCACCCCGACCGCTCGTCAATCCACGGTCAAGAACCAAATCCTGGCCGCGAACTTGACCACTACCTGGGCGCCGGCCATCAAGACCGCACTCTCCAATGGCTCGAACAATGCCATTATCTGGTCCATGGCCGCGTTGTGGGTCGGTGTTCAGGTTGTGTTCCTGACAGTCATGTAGTCACTTCCAGTAAGATCATGGGCATGGCACGAAAAGTTTTGTTCCGGCGAGAAATGACAGAGAGTTGGAGAGTGGCCTAGGCATACTAGTATTCAAAAAGTTTTAATAGTCTGATAGTAATTTTATGATTAGAAACTCCCGTCTCGTAAACAACTTGGGCACGCACTTGCGTGCTTCCGCCCTTCGCAGCAACTCCTCCTTTGAAAACCGACTTTTCATTCTTGGTTGTTGTCAACCCCATGTCTTTATATAGTGAAACGCAAGGTTGAAGAGACCTCATTTTGATCGTGAATCCTCCTCTGTGCCCAATACTTCCTTCTCCCATTTTTGATCCCGCCACTATGACTAGAAAAACTCATCTTCTCTTTACAATCATCGGCTACCCCCACTGGAGTACCCGTTGCCACCCTGCTCTCGCATCTCCTTCTCGTTCGTAATCGTCCGGCTGCCGAGTGTAGGCGAGGAATCAAGCGCAACGCCGCCAATGGTATAGTAGTGGCCAAACACGCGGCTCTCAAGGTCCTTGGTGCCGCCGTGGGCCTTGTGCGCCACGCGGCGGAAGTAGACGCGCTTCGCCCACTTCCACGCCTCCACGCCCATGAAGAAGAGCACGGCACCGACGAAGACGATGCCCCACTCCCATGTAATAGGTGCATGCTTGAACACCTTGGTGTTGAGGACGGGAATGTAGGTCAGAGGGAAAATGGTGATGAAACCGACGAGGATGGCGAAGAAGAGGAGCTTATTGCGCCAGGTATCCCAGAACCACTGGGTAAAGTACTTTGTGCTCTTTGGCTGCATGCGGAAAAAGGAGCGGCGCATGTTGACCATCTCCCAGGCGAGGAAGAGGGCGAACCAGGTCAAGCTTGCGAAGCAGGTTGCGCGGGCGCGGAACACGGTATCGCACTCTTCCGAGTAGGTGTTGTTGCAGTTACTGCCAAACTGGCCATTGCCCCAGCCGAACATGACGAGGACAAAAGAGGCAAGGCAGAGCGCAGCAGTCCAGACACCGTAGACCAGCATGTCGAGCATGAGTTCCCAGGTGAAGACACCAATTTTCATCTACATTTGGTCAGTATTTGGCTCTAGGCATGGGACGAATGGTAAAGGGAAAACTTACATCTTGGGGTGGTCGGTCCATGATGTCCGGAGCAGCGACCTCGAAACCGAGCGCCATATCAGGAAGACCAGAGGTAATCATGATGATCCACATGACCTCGACAGGAGCAAGGGGGAACACGGAAAGACCGCTGTCATCCTTAAAGACCAAGCCGATGAGAAGCGTCAGGGCTTGGGCGACGTTACATGCCAACACGTGCAGGACGAATTTCTGGATGTTGTCAAACATGCGACGGCCTTCCTCGACGGCATTGAGAATGGATGCAAAGTTATCGTCGGTCAGAATAATATCGGACGCCTCCTTAGCAACATCAGAGCCGCTTTCACCCATGGCGATACCGACGTCAGCGCGCTTCAAACTGGGAGAGTCGTTGACACCGTCGCCTGTCATGGCTACAAAGCGCTCACGTCGGTGAAGGGCCTCGATCATGCGAACCTTGGTTTGGGGCGCACAGCGAGCGACGACCAGGGGGAGGTTGGGCAGCTTATCAATTTCGTCGTCTGTGAGCTTGTCAAAGTCGTGGGCAGCCATGACCATCGTGTTCGCGACGCTCGCTGAAATCTCATTCATGCGTGTGGGCAGAATGCCAACCTCAAGGGCTATGGCACGGGCAGTCTCGGGATGGTCACCGGTCAGCATATGAACGCTGACACCGGCCTCGTGGAATTTCTTGACGGAAGGGCCGGATTCGGGTCTGGGAGGGTCGTAAAGACCGATCAGGCCGCGGAAAGTCAGGTCCTTTTCAAAATTGACGCGATCGAGGTTCTCATGGTTGTCAACGGCACCAATGTCGGACTTGCTCGCAAACGCCAAGACACGGAGTCCGAGGCGGGCAAGGGCCTCCATATTGGACAGAATGTCTTGCTCAATGTCATTGGTAAGCTCGACGACGTCGTCACCCATTTGAATGGTAGGGCAAGAAGAGATGACACGCTCGACGGCACCTTTGGTAAAGAGCCAGGTCTTGTTCCCCGACGCTGCCATGGTCTCGGTGTCCTCGAAGATTACCGACATCTTCTTGACATCGGAATCAAAGGGGAACTCTGCAATCTGATTCCAGCGATTTGACTCGCCAGCGAGACGCAGTCTGTTCCAGTGGAAGCGAGATGCGAAAACCTGGATGGCAATCTCGGTGGGGTCACCACGGGCGTGCCACTCTCCCTCGGGGGTCTTGTGGACATTGGCCAAGTTGGCAAGGGATGCGACATTGAAGTAGTCTGTGAGAACGGTGCTTTCCTTGACACGGGCCTCGGCGTCAGAGTTGGAGAACGGCTCACCGTCACCTTCCTTGGTGCTGAAGTTGATGTCCTTGGGCTGATCGGAGCTGTGGCCAAGATCTCCGACCGTAGGATTGAAGGGCTCATTCGTGTTGCTGACAGAGAAGGTGCCCTTGCCTGGAATCCAGGCCTTGCGAACTGCCATCTTGCCTTGGGTGAGAGTGCCCGTCTTGTCAGAGCAAATATCTATAAACAGGTCAGTATCTGTCATTGGTGATGGGTGTGGTGGAAACATACTCGTGACACCACCGAGAGCTTCCAAGCTCTTCAACTGCCGAACAATAACGTGGCGCTGGACCATACGCTTCGTGCCAGCAGCCATGGTAATAGTCAAGACGACAACCAGTGAGGCAGGAATCATGGCAAGGCCAGTAGCAACGGCGTAAATGACTACTTCCTGCGTGGTGTTGAACTCGTTTGCTCCCAAAACAATCAGGGCGCAAACAACAGCAGTGCCGAAGAGGAGGATGGCCAGCTTGGACAGCTTTCTTTGTAGAGGCGTTCCAACATTGATGCCCAAGAAATGGCCGACAGCATCAGAGAGAGTCAAGGTCCATGCCTGAAGGTAGCGAGCAAAAGTGGCGGAGCCATCCTCCTTACGCTTGACCTCTCGGCGGCGGGAGTTCTTGCCCCGAAGGGCGGCAGCAATCTGGCCAATCTCGGTATACATACCAGTAGCAAAGACGATGCCACGGGCACGTCCCTTTGTGACGGTTGAAGAGCTATAGGCGACGTTCAGGCGGTCACCAGGTCCCGTCTCGTCGTCAAAAGTCTGAGCAGCCTCCTTGCGGATGGGGAGAGACTCTCCCGTGAGCAAGGCTTCATTTGTTTCGAAGTTGACGGCCTCAATGATGCGAACATCGGCGGGAATGGTGTCACCGGTCTTGAGCTCGACCATGTCGCCAGGGACGATCTCGACGGTGGGGACGGTAATGTTCCGGCCTTCGCGTACGGCCTGAGCAGTGGGCGAGCTAAGTGATCGAAGAGAATCCATCGTCTTGGCAGCCTTGAACTCTTGATGGAAGCCGACAGTGATGTTGAGAAAGATAACGCCTGCAACGACACCTCCTTCAATCCAAGACTTGATACCAAAAGAAGCACCCATAGCCAGGATCAGGACCTATTTTCAGCTGAATATCAGTCTACCGTTCGTTCTCCAGGAAAAGCTGTGGACAAGGCGAAGAAGTCATACCAAGGTCATGGCATTAGCAATCTGTCCAATAAAGATCTTGACCGGCTGAACGCCCTTATCGGCACCGAATTCGTTGCGGCCATACTCTTCAAGGCGAGTCTTGGCGTCCTCGGGGCTCAAGCCATCGTCAGGATTGGCCCTGAGCTCCTGCACAACTTGCTCGGTAGCCATAGCGTGTGCCGGCCGAGACATGGGCTTGTTGGACTGTCCAGAGACATGGTTGGCCATCGCCTCGGCTTCGGGATCTTTCTTTCCCATGTTGGCAAGTTTTTGCCCAGTGAAAGAATTTGGACCGAGTGCTAAAAGCGAGAGACACAGGCGACGATGTACAATGCTCTGCAGTGGAATCTCTCGGGGCGGTGCCAAGAGCGGTCGTCGGCCCCAAATCGGAGGAAAATGTAAGTCTTTGGACAGATACGAGTTGGAATGGGCAAAAGTGTGAGTTCTCTGCTCTTATCCAGGTTCAAGCACTTCTACCCCCTTTAGATCAAGAGAACAGTCAAGCATGGATAGGAAAGGTGAGATAATGACAAAGAGTCCCGGTAAGACTGGTAATACTAGTGTGAGACGTTCCCTGAATGTATAAAGAGAGAGATGTGGAACAAAAAGCCAAAGTTCGAAGGGGGAACGTGGGAGAAGATGTATACATGTACTTGGTGAGCCGGGACGGGCAAACGCGTCTGGGCGTTATGACTTCATGACAAGATAGACGGGCAGTACGAGAAGGGGGTGAGGGGGTTCAAACGCCAACATCTATCGCGCCCAACTCTATCACTCTCCTCATGGCCCATGACAAGCGTCTTCGTGGGTGTCATGGGTGTGTTCCTTCAGCCTTGGCAGCTCTGCACCGGGCTCTGCCCAGGAGACCCACAGGCTTTCCAAGGTGTTGGGGCAATCTGAAGACGTTCGACCGAAAATCGGTCGTGGACACGCGAGCGGTTCAATTGCACGCAATCCAGATCTCGGTGGAGATCTTGACTCTCCCGCCTGCCATGTTGAGCCGCCGAGACTCTGGGCAGCGGGCCTCATTCTGGGCAGCCCGCTCACTCAAGAGGCTGAGAGCGGTCCTGGGCATCAGAATGGAGAAGTCTATTGGGCCCGCCAGAGACAAGACGACAGAGGAGGGGGTGGATGGGGATGAGGGATGAGTGACTGATGCTTTCGGTGATGGACTGGGCTGGCGCCCAGAGAGATAGAAGGCGAGAGTTTCTGCCTTCTCCACTGCGCCACGGCCAGTTAGACATCTCTCTGTCTTCCAAGAAACATCTATTGTGGGGATATCCTCCTTCTAGAAGGTTGCTAGTTGCAGGGGTGCTGTCATGTTTGCAGTAGTGTGTCTTTATAGTGCCAACATGGTAAACTGTGGTTGGTCTCATGTTGTACATCACCTCAAGGTTTGGACTGTAGGTTGGCAGTTTTTTAGGGTGACGCCGGCATGGGCTTGCGGCAAGGCCGAGTCTGATTGTCACCGAGTCGACTCCGCGGGTGTCCTGGGGTACCTGGGTGCAGCAACACGCCAGACAGTACATGCAACATAGAGAAGAGAGACGCCGCCGTGTGGTGATGACGGCTGTCGCAGGTGGGTTTGCACGTCCAAGAAAATGCCGAGCAGTTATATCCTGGGTAGTGCGGTTGGAAAACCCTTCAAGACTCGTGTTTGATTGAGGGGGTTCGCGATGAGAGGCCCGGCGCCAGGTTTCCCGCCTCCCCCACCCGCTCTACCGGCTGCGCGGGGCCGAACTTGCTCGTCCTGCTCTTCCGGCTCCTTCATAGCAGATCCCAGGCACGCCAGATCTGGAGCTGTCAGCAACGGGCGCGAGCAGGTGACGCACACACCTTACGACGGCCGCACCACTTGGCCAGGAGGCCTCTGGTGGCTCACAGAACTATAAAGCGCCGTCTGTTGTCCGGGTCGCAGCAAGTGGACGGGTGTTTAGCCGAACGTCTTCGGCGCCGATGGTCAGACACCGACACCATCAAAGTAGCAAAGGCCCCGATTTCTCCGGCTGATCTCCCAGCTCTCCCAACCGTCGATAATCGAATCATGTCGGCGGGCTCCAAACCTCCGTCACTCCGGACGCCATCTTCAAGTCACACCATGTCGGCACCGCTCAGTATCAGTCCCAGTCCTGCCCTCACCATCCCTCCTAACCCCTCCCCATCTGGCTTGCTTTGGACCCCGCGCAAGAGAACGCCTGCCCAGAGTTCACTCAAATTGCCGCTGCGGGAAACCTGGAGAGGTCGAACAAAAACTGGGATCCCGACCCAGTATCACCGACTCACGACGCTCCGGGCGCAACACGGGCGGGGGGAACGGGTCTGCCCAGAAACACAGCCACCCCGAGTGAGACGCCCAGGTACTGGGCGAAAAGTGTAGGAGCCTGAGCTGGAGACGCATCGAAATTTGTCGAAAGATGTCGTGAGACCCTCAGATAGGCCGACGTTTCTCTGGGCATAAGGGGACAAGACCGTGGATAACTCGGCATTTCCAGCTACATCCACGCCTTCCCGCTTATCATGTCGGTGCATGTTTGCGGAATACTCGGAGCAGGGTCTTTGCCACAGTCTTGCAGCATGCCTCTTCGCCTTTCTCCATTCGGTGTCGCAGGAGACACCGGTGAGCTGATGGTATTGGATGGCGGACGTCTTGGCCGCCCCGAGGCGGACACGCGAGGTGGACTGCGAATGGAACGGGTTCATTCTTTGGTAGGTCAGTCTGCCAGCCAAGGAATGACGGGCAACTTGGCGGTTCTTGGCCGTTATGCTGGGCGCTGGTACCGCTCCTCCAGAGTCCGCTCTCCTCTCCTCCAGCGCCGCCGCCGGCGACTCTCCGGTGGATGTCTCGTCTTGTTGGAGACTTGGAGCCTCCACGGCACTCTGTCGAAAAGCTTTGACACTTTTCTGAGGGGTAGAGTTGACAAAGAGGGGCTCTCCCACCTCTGCAACCCGACATTCCCCCGCCCATACACTGATAGATAGCTGAGGTCATCGTGGGTGTCTAACTCAATCCCTCTGCTGCTTCGTTTAGTTTGGGGGTTTTTTTTTTCCGTTTCGTCCTCTGCCATTGCGCGCATCTGTTGGTGCCGATGTCCAGGATTCCAGTCTCACTTGGGCTTCGTTTGGGAGATGCAGACCAAGCAGAGGCGTTCGGTCGCTTCCCAGCTTGGAAGGATAACAAGGCTTGTATCACCCGCCAAGTGTACGTTACAAACTTCGACTATATTTCCCTGTTCTCCAACGTGAGTTGCAACCCAAAAGGTGTCTGAATTGGCGCAACTTGTAGCCAAGAACCTTGGCCAACGAAGAGCGCTACCACGATGGTTTAAGGTCGGGCTGAAGCATGAAGCATGCGTGGTCATGTTGGTGGTCGGAACTCGTCACTCTCTCAGGCAAGTTGGCGATTTGCGAGGAAGACTGGGCGCCCAGCGCCCATCTGCGAAAACACCATGTCAGAGCGTGCCGGTGCGTCAGAGTGAATGAGGGGTACCGGTGGCTGATGACAGACATCTCGCATCGGCGTATCATCAACTTGGCTCTTAACTCCAACCATTCATAGGGGTTCTGCTAGTCTTGTCGGCTTATATAGCACTCGCTGTCATCTGATCAAACTTTGATTTCGCTGTCAGTATTCGGCATCCTTCAAATTAAATGACCGCCAACGCCGCATTCGCCACAGCAGTTGTGATGCGCAGCTTTTGTAAGCCACAATACAACCCGTAGGTGACACAGCGGGAATCGCGACAAAACGTTGCAATAAGGTCTCGACATTTCAAGTCCAAAAAGGAGTTTGGTATACTCCTTATTGGGTACCCGCCGGCCGCATGGACGAACTTGGCATAATCCTGCTCACACTTTTCATGGTCCTTCTTGTCTGCGGGCCGCTTTACAGACCGTACTGAACCTCTTCTCTTCGCATTCATGATGGCAACAAAGAGCTGATGAGCCTGCCTGTTATTAGAGTCCGCCTCACATATCTGCGCATACAAGACCGTCGCAAATACAACCCCGGGACGTCCAAGTTCCAAGATGCCCGACGAAAGCTGAGCACCGTTTCCGAGTGCAATGGCACCGCCCTCGAAGCTCTTGATCTCGAGTCGAAACTCAATCACCCTGACTCGGAGCCGGAATGGTGAGTGTCTCTCGCCACCTCGTTCACGCAAGGGGAGGCAATAGGGAGTGTGCTATCCTCCAAGGTAGGACGAGCAGGGGAGCAACCGACGACAGAGTTCGCCAATGCATAACCTACCAACATTACTGACTCTGCCACTGATAGTCCCATCTGCATTGGTCCACTGTTCGTCTCAAGCAACCGCAATGCGGCCGAAGCAGTACCGAAGCGAGCAATCCCTTTGAACGCTCCCGGTTCCGATGGGGACCACTGTGTTCCAGAAGGAAGTGGAGGAGAGCCAAGCCGGTATACGGTCGGAGGCTCGAGTGATGGCTGTGGTGTAAAGGCCGCGCCGCTAAATTGGAGTGTGCCGTGGCCATGGAAGCGCAAATCGTCCAAGCCGGCAAGCGAACCGTCCGAAGATGATATTTTGACGCTCAGAAACTGTCAGCATGCTTTCCACGCAAAATGTCTTTCGTCATGGTTTCTGATTGAGCGATTTGATTGTCCTGTTTGCCGCAGTCAATATTGGCAGACCCGGGAGAATCGAGCGAGGGCGGCAACCGCACCGCCGGTGCCGGTGCCGGCGCCGGAAGACGGGTCTGTGGAGGACGGATCGGGCATTACACCACCTGTACCGGCTCGACTTGTGGCTGGGCGGATGGCGGTGCGTGTGATGTGATGATGATGCCTGCTAGTTTGAAAGATGGCTTGTCCCTTTTCTTTTCGTTGCCCTTCAGTTACACCATTCAGGCGATTTGATAGTCATGCCCAATTGTTCTAGCCGGTCATCGTTCATGCGTGGTGAAGTTGCGGTCGTATGGCGAAGGCCGCTATGCACCGAAGCACACTATTGTTGGCCGAGTCGCAAAAAGCATGTAAATACCACCCCTAGTTAGCGTGATTCCGTGGCACAGGGGTAAAAGTTCATGTGCATGAGTAGTATCTCATGAGCTGAAAATCGCGAGGTGATGGCATAGTATCCATCGATTCCAATGCACAGCGTGATTCCTACAAGCCTGGGGAGGGCCGCGACCGACTGGTGGATGCGCAAAGCTTTTGATACCAACGGCGTGGTGATCTGGAGAAGGGGGGAGCATCGGCGGAGACGTTCGTTTCTCGTGCGGGAGGATTTACGCAGGCGCTAGTAAGCGAGTGTCAGGAGACATCGAGATCGCATCGTCATGGAGCCGGAGGTTTTGCACAGCTCACACAGACCTCAAGGTCTCGAGGTGGCGCGCAGTGAAGCTACCTTGGAGGCGCAGGGGTCGTCTGCATGGTACATTGGTTGGTACGAAAGCTCTGTATTTGATGCGGAATCGCCATGCGACGGTTGCTGGCATACGCGACTGCTGACAAATATCGAGGCAATGTGTAAACGCCGGCTTGACAACATGAATGGCATACAAGCCATTGGTTTGCTATTTTCTCGGCAAACAGCTGCATCGGAAGCAGAGGAAGAATTACGACAGGAGAGGCGACGGGCATGCTCTGTGAGTATGGGCGACGCCGCGACAGACATGGTCCGTACGGATATCTACTGCAAGGTACCCTCGTGCCCCATAAGGTAGCGTGTCTTTGGGGGTGGAGCTCCAACCGTTCTTCGCTTTGACCAGGGAGCCGACACTTGGCTGGGTTCGGTGAGCTGAAGGCTGGGATGATGAATTGGTGATGGAACAAGCCGGATGTGAGTGGACGGCGGAGCTTGTGTTCCCGAACAGAAGACATGTCAGGCGTGCCTGGGTCCAATCATGGCTTGACAAGTAAACGAAGTACCGGTAGCGATAAACGATGACAGGAACGGGGACATGTTGGTGAGACTTGGTTTAGTCGGCGCGCCAAGTGGCATCACATCGCGTCGCGTCGCCCATGGGAAATGCCTCTGCCAGAGCGAGGCGCGTTTCCTCTCGTGGGAATTGGCGGTGGCCCTTGGAAGAATGGCGAGCGGATATGACAGGCTTGCGGCGCGTGTGGTGAAGAGTGCAGACGAGGGAAGGGAAAGGCGAGTATTGGTAACTGCATGCCTCTGGCGACGATGAGGTCATGGTTGTGAAGGGGAATATCTGAAAAGCGAGTGGAGATGCCGGAGGCGTTGGGTCACAGGCACACAAGTGGAGTTTGCTCTCTCCATCATGCGAATCTTTTGCGGCGAATCTACAAAGGCAATGTCGATCCCGAAAATGGGGAAGGGGGCAAGCCAATTCGTCCACTCTTTTTCAGAGCCACGGATGTCTAGGCCCGGCCAAGGTCAAGCTCCTTCCTCCCGTATGGAAAATCACTTCAGAGTTCTTTCCCAATGTTGTAATGAAGGTAAGGTAAGTCACTTGCGCACCTGCACACTTGCCATGGAATCGGGTTGGAAGGAAGGAACAATGGAGGTGTCGTGCGGCGTGCGGCGTGCCAATGACGTCGAAGCTCCCGCCATTCGCCATTAATTTGGTCGAGGTGCGTCTGCATTGCTCGAAGAATGACGCAACATGTGTGGTCTGTGCTCTCCACACCTACCTCATAGCTCTCGAGTCTGGGGTCTTGGGGTCTGACCCGACCTAATTGCATAGTCCTTTCCTTCTGTTGCATGCCGTGAGGAATCATCCTCACTTACCTTTTGAGGCAAGCACTTTTTTCGTCTTCTCCGGCCAAACATGGACTGTGGCGTCCGCACCTGCTTCATCACTCGCTCGCCTGGAGGTTTCGTATCTGCTCTTCACAGCAGCTATATTCCCTACGGGCATCCGTACTGTATTCCATATCCTGCGCGTCATAAGGTACCTAAAGAGGGAGAGCATCAAGCAGGAAAGTGGTACCGTGCTGGGACCTGATCCATAGTAGAACGAGAGTGAAGGAGAAAAAAGGAGCAAAAAGAGAGTCTGGAACCGGCAGGCAAGCTTGAGCTCGAGCTGCCCCAACCTCTTACCTCATCTTACCCCGTCTTCTCATCACAAAAAGACCCAGAGGGGAAGTGAGTGATGCTTTTTACCTTACTAAGTAGCTGCCAGTTCCAATGACATTACCATCCGTCCCGTCCCTTCCTCTCGATAAGGTAGGTAGGTAGGTAGGTACCTTAGTAGGTTCGCGCCAAGGCACATGGCTACACGGCTCTTTGTACTCCCATCCGACCTCTCTCGCAGTGTTCGGTCTGTGGCCCCGTTGACCTCATCGACGTTTTCCATCTCTTCGTCTCCGCCTCTCTTGCTCTCTCTCTCTCTCTCTCTCTCTTCTACCCTCCTACCTTATTCTCACATCCTCCTTCACTCAATGTGCCAGATATGACCTGACAGACCACGCAGCGGCCCAACTTCACTCATCCTACACCTTCTACTCCACTTCTACTTTTCCACAAGGTAAGGAAGGTACTTAGACCTTGCTACTTATCCTCATCCTTCTTCTCATCCTCTCCCACGCGCGCCGCTCCAACCAAAGCACCGCCCTCTCGCAACGCCCCAGTGGTACCTCGTCCGGTTCGATATTCCGTCACCTGCAGTGGCCCCGAGGTTCCTCTACCTAATTCGCATCCATCTGACACCCGGCCATCCGTATTACCCTAGCGTCCAGAGGGCAAATTATCCACCCTTGAGCATAACCGTCCTGGAGCTCTAGTACGCGCTTCCACCTTCACCACCTTGCCGGACCAATTCTCGTCAGATCCGCTCGCTGCTCCCGTCATTGACTGCATGAGGAGCTTTTCTTCCGCCGGCGTCAATCGTTTGCTGTATCCTCAACCACTGCTTCTTGCCACGAACCTTCCTGTGCCGTCACTCGTCTCGCCCCTGAGCTCATCGCTCGCTTGTTTTTCCCACCCCCTTCGATACTCACTCGTACACGCTTTTGCTTTACTTAACTGCTCATACACCACCATGGCCGCGCCCAAACGAAAGAAGTCGGGCATCTCCATTGGACAGCCCACTCCCGAGTCTGCCAAACCCGCTCCCGATCATCCGGCTCCACGCCGGTCCGCTCGACACATCAGCGACGTAAAGCCAGTCACCAAGCCCGGCGCCGCCATGAGTCCCACTGAATCCGACCTCGCCAAGGACCAGCCACCGGCAAAGCGCCGTCAGCTGAGTCGTAAAAAGGCCGAGTCGGAGAATGGCGTGCGCTGTGCCATTAGAGAACTTACCGAGATGGAAAATCGCTTGCAGAATTCTACCAGAACCCAGCGTCTTGCTATCGAGGCAAGCAATGTCCCGCCTGGCCAAACCAAACCTCACTCAGAAGATTACGCCTACAAACCTCACTTGGCAGTTCATGCCTCCGATCCAGAGAAACTCGCCCGCATGGCTGAAGAGGAAAGGTCCGGAACTCCAAGCCTGGACGCCGCTCCTATCGAGGGTCCGGATGGTGAAGCCGCTGTCGGTGACGTCGAGGAAGACAAGATCCTTGTCGAGAATGCCCCGGAGAGAGGCGCCGGACGGGAGCCACCCGTAAACAGCGACTATCTGCCTCTTCCATGGGCTGGAAGGCTGGGCTACGTATGACCTTTTTTAAACTTGGATCTCGTGGTTGTAGACTAACACACGAGGCAGGCTTGTCTCAACACTTATCTCCGCGCCGCAAACCCACCTGTGTTCAGTTCGAGAACTTGTCGCATAGCATCCATTTTGCAACATCGTCACCCCCTTGCGGATCCATCTCAGCCGGAGCATGCAACCAAGAATCGGCCTGACGAGAACCAGCCTGCGGATATCGAGCGCGGTCAGAGATACGTCCAGGAGTTGGGTTTGGCCAACGCTCGGGACATTGTCAAGATGCTTCGTTGGAATGACAAGTACGGCATCAAGTTCATGCGACTGAGCTCAGAAATGTTCCCGTTTGCTAGTCACGAGGAATATGGCTACCGTCTGACCCCTTTCGCTGCGGAGGCTCTTGCAGAGGCAGGGAACGTGGCCGCACAGTTGGGCCACAGACTTACGACGCACCCCGGCCAGTTCACCCAGCTCGGTTCACCTCGCAAAGAGGTCATTACGGCCGCGATTCGAGATCTGGAATACCACGATGAGTTACTCGGCCTCCTCCGCCTCCCGGAGCAGCAAAATAGAGACGCAGTGATGATCCTACACATGGGCGGTACTTATGGAGACAAGGCATCCACACTGGATCGATTCCGCGTCAACTACGCCAAGCTGTCACATTCCATCAAGAACCGCCTTGTTCTAGAGAATGACGATGTTGCATGGTCCGTCCACGATCTTCTACCTATATGCGAAGAGCTTAACATCCCCATGGTTCTTGACTTCCATCATCACAACATCATTTTCGACGCAGGCCAGTTGCGTGAGGGTACCGAAGATATCAGAAAGATTTACGACCGAATCCAGGCTACGTGGACTCGCAAGAACATCAAACAAAAGATGCATTACAGCGAGTCGTGTCCAGGCGCCACCACACCTCGCGACCGAAGAAAGCACTCTCCGCGCGTACGCACGCTGCCGCCCTGTCCTCCCGACACAGATCTCATGATCGAAGCCAAGGATAAGGAGCAAGCTGTATTTGAGCTCATGCGCACATTCAGGCTTCCGGGATGGGATTCGTTCAATGACGTGGTTCCTTTTGAGCGGCTAGATGAAGTTCGGGCTGACAAGGGGGCCAGTAAGAAGGACAGTAAGAAGAAACCCAAAAAGTCCACAAAAAGGAAAAGTGATGACGAAGAGGGCGAGGAACCAGAGGAACCTGTTTCCATTGACGTGGAAGCGAAGACCGTAGCCCCTAAAGACTTCGGCATGGGCGGTCCGCAACATCGGGTCTATTGGCCTGAGGGCATGGAAGAATGGCTCAGGCCCAAGAAGCGAGAGGTGAAGAAAGCGAAATCGACACAGGTGAAGGAAGGGATCAAGAAGGAGGATGACTAAGGCGGGGCCATTATTGCCAAAATGTTGGAGGGTCGGTCTATAGGTACTAACAAACAGCGTGTACAATATCGGCAAGACATGCTGCGAAGCAATAGAGATAGGAGGCTTTGTACTCCACTGTATATTTAGCCCCGGATTGGCGCTGCCATTTCTATACAAAATAGATGCCATACGTTGCAAGACCAATGGTCCCGTTGATAGGAAACCTCGGCCTATGCTCAGACATAGTGGCACCGTTCTATTTGGCGATGCAACGGCAAATGAGGTGAACAGATCAATGACGTGATAGATACCGACTCGACTGATGCAGGATAATTAGGTTCAGGATGTCTATGAAAGTATCTCAGGAGAGAGCCGATGCAATCGTTGGTCAGACTCAACTAGGGGTGTAGAGTTATCGATTCGACGCTAGGAGGTGATTAAGTTACCTACCTCAACCCCCAAATTACAAATTGAACGGTTGATCACTTCAGATTCTGGTCAAAATCAAACTCATATACATTGGTGGGAGGGATGGTATGGCGAATATCCCGCGATTGGCTGAATGAGTGTGCTAGCTAGATCAATGAGAATTGGCCGCACATCGATGCCAAGCAACCCGTTGGCACCCGCGTCGAGAACGTCGTTGGTACCGATCACTGCCCAACATGCATCGCTGCTACCGTCCTATCATGATATCTCTCTGGCGATTGTTCAAAGTCCCCACTCGTTTCGCAGGGACCCCTCTACTGCGATAGAGATTGGATCAATTGAGCCAGCGCACCCACATCCGTCAACTTCGAGAAGGTGGTTGAACTCTCCATGACCTGATAATTGAGATAGCCACGCGGGCTAATGGCAACCAACAGTTCTCGGGTGCCGTAACCGTCAAATCATCTCTGCCGTGTCGTCAATTCGCGCCAAAGCAGGGTTGCAATGAATCCTTATCATGGTTGCAACAGGTCCGGGGGTTGAAAAAGCTTAGCTCGGGAGGAGATTGGATGGCGAGCAGGGAGGGGGGGAGGGTTCCATCACGGAACGGCTCTAATCTGCGCCGGAAGACGAAGAGAGAGCCATATCGCGGGGGGGTTCGATATGATCGGGCTGTGGGTTTGAGGAGGAGCGCCGCTCTCCCGGTGCGACTGTGGTATCGCAATGACGGCTGGACGGACCGATATCAGAAATGCTACGTTACGATCAATTGAATGCATAAGAGAAACATCTCCCATATTCCGGCTCATAGGCTGTGAGATACCATTCTGTATAGTCTGTCAACAACTCCCTCCCCGACATCTGTGCCTCCATGACCTATCCCGCCTGAAGTCGTCCCAACCCTGAGACACAACGAGACCAAACAATGTCGGCACACCATACCGCGCCCACGTCCACGGACGACGTCCAGAAAGATCAAAAAAAATCACCTTCCCTCTTTGATCAAACTCCATCTCGCCAAGAAGGGCAAACTCTTTACACCATGGAGTCGGTGGTCCTACACGACCCAAATGTGACCTTTGAAGAATACCTCTACTGGGCCGAAATCACGCGAGCCGAGGAGAAGCAGGCCAACGAGCGGTACCTCCACGCGAGGGGACCCGTGACGCTCAAGAGCATCGTCAACGACCGGTTCAGGAAGGGCGATGAGCATTCGAGGTTCCAGGGGAGCGGCAGCGAGCGGAGCGGGAACGAGGATATCGGGGCTGCTACTGCGGAGAAGAGCGGGAGTGGGAATGGAAGCGACAAGACTTTGCAGCCCGCGGAGAACAGAGTTGGCGTTGTTGTTACGCCCGAGGAGTGGAAGACGGCGAGCAGGGCAGCGAGGACCGCTGGTTGGGGCGCGGTGTTTTATCTCATCACGACGGATATCCTGGGGCCATTTTCCACGCCGTGGGTCTACTTGTTCTTCGTCCGTGACTGAATATCAACTAACACGACATCTAGCTGGGCTTTCGCGCAGATGGGCTACGGTCCAGGCATTGCGCTCTATACCGTCTTTGGCGTCATGTCGTTGTAGTGCGTCGCCCGTCATCTGGTTCAGCACATCCCGTATAAGAGCAGATATACTGACTGACGTACGTTAGCTCCGGCTGGATACTCTATGAATCCTTCCTCAGCCTCGACTCGGATCGGTATCCCCTCAAAGGCTACGGCGATCTATACTTCCGCGTCTTCGGCTCCAAGGCGCGGCACACCATCAACTTTGCCCAAGGTCTGCAGCTTCTACTCTTCGTCGCCGTCCTGATCCTGCAGAACGGACAGTCCATCTCGCAGATCAGCAAGGGCCCCAACGGTGGCGCGGGCATATGCTTCGTGGCGTGTCTTTTAATCTTCATGGCGGCCGGTTTCATTATAGGCCAGGTTCGGACGCTGCAGCGCTTTTCGTGGATTGCAAACTTGGCCGTGTGGGCGAATTTGCTCATCATCTTCATCTGGTGAGTCTTTGATAAGCCAACCACAATCAGCGACAGGTGCTCGGTTCAAATTGATGTTGACGGGAGACCAAACAGTATGGGCGTCGTGGCACACTCCCCTCCCAACTTCACTGCGACCCAGGCCTCCTTTGGCGACAGTTTCGGCCCCGGGCCCGTCATTACCTACGCCGGCACGCCCCCGCCCGGCATGGCCTCGGGTGGTTCCGGCTTCCTGGGTTCCATGAACGGGCTGAACCAGGCCGTCTACTCGTACGGCGGCTGTCTCATCTTTGCGGCCTTCATGGCAGAAATGCGGCACCCGATGGACTTTTGGAAGGGGCTCCTCTGCGGGGAAGTCTTCATCTACGTTTGCTACCTCGTCTTCGGGCTCTACGTGTATTCCTTCCAGGGCCAATACTCCTTCAACCCCGTCATGCAGAGCCTGTCGCCGTACTGGTGGCAGACGGCGACCAACATTCTGGGTCTCATAACGGGCTTGATCGCGGCGGGGCTGTACGGGAACATCGGCATGAAGGTCATCTACGTCGAGCTTATGCAAGAGTTCTTTGGGGCGCCGCCGTTGACCGAATCGGCCGGCAAGATGCTCTGGATGGCGGTAATACCCGTGTACTGGGCGTTGGCCTTCATCGTCGGCGCCGCCGTGCCGCAGTTCTCTTTGATATCCGGGTTCATCGGGGCGGTATTCATCCTCAGCTTCACGTACACTCTGCCAGCGCTGCTGGGCTTGGGCTATTGGATTCGGAAGGATGCCATGCTGCCAGAGGAGGAGACATTTGATCCCGCTACGGGTAGGTATGCGTATGTTGATGGTGGATTTCAGCGATACTGGAGGGGTTTCATGAAAAGGCCCATCTTCAATGGGTGGAACATTATCTACATGCTCGGAGGGCTTGTTACGACGGCGCTGGGCATGTACTCCTCGATTGAGGGCTTGATTGAGGCTTTCAACGGAAAGTCGCAGGCTACGAGCTTTGGGTGCGGAAGTCCAGTCTAAGGAGCTGGCTCAAGATTGTAACCTCGGCATAGTTCATCAGTTGCTATAGGATGGAATGCTTGCCTACTTACCTACTGAGCTGCGCAAGAGTCAACGGTATATTTCATCTCGAAAAAAGGTCCTATAAACGAGTCTAGACTCGCTTTAGTACTTTGGTCATTAGGACAGCGGTGTGCCGTCGATGTGAAGGCTAACTATATGTTAGACTGGGTATCATGTAAGCAAGCTCCAAGTTTCTCCGTCATCTTTCGCTACCCCACCACTTGGGGCTTGCCAGGACAAGGTACGTCGTGCCATGGCATTATCGGAAAACCCGTCGCCCACCGGTTCGGACCGGAAACCTCTCCACACCGCTGCTCTGCTGCTCGTGCCACAAGCCTTGAATTCCCACCCAGCCTCCATCTCCTGATAGCTTGTAACGCCGCCATGCTTCGCGGAGATGGTCTGGTCGTAAGGGCCCTCTTCGATCTTCCTTGGCGGCTGGCGTCTGGCTGGTGTCATCCTTGGGCGGTGGAGTGGGTAAATCAGCCTGCTTTTCGCCGGTGCCCTTGATCCACTCCCCTTGCACTTCTCGGGCTCTCTCGATGAGCTCGCCGATGAAAAGCTTCGACACTGACTTGACGGCAAGAGCGACGTTCGGTGGGACGGATTGCGAGACTGTCGCATTGACGACCTGTGTGGTGAATGTGTCAGTACGATGGCTTGATACCAACCAGCGGACAGAAAGATGGGCCTTACCCTCTTGACTACGGACTCGGTGAGTTTGGCCGCACGCCAGAGTTCGTATCGGTCATACTGTTCTGGATCAAAGGACTCCACGAGCATGGCACGGAGTCTTATCTCCTCTTGCTTCTGCTCCTGCGTCCTGACTGTAGAATCCACCAACGCCATGCGCATGTCATTGTCGTCGTCGTCATCGTTGGCGCCTTCCTCCTGTGCATCGCCTCCGGCGCCTGCGCCGCTGACAGTCGTAGGCGCACGCCCGCCTACGAGAGAGGGTGTTTGTTCCCTTGTCTCGACGTTTGTCTGGTTCTTGGGCTTCCTGCCACGCTTCTTCTTAGGAGGCGCGCTGACTTGGCTGCCGCTGACGACACTAGCGTTGTCTGCCGAGGGTGAACGTGGGAACGGGGAGCCGGCTTCGGGTGGGAAGGAGGTCTGGCGAAGGGGGTGCGCGGCGGCGGAGGTGACGGAGAGTGTCGAGGCCTTTCGACGTTTGGCAGAACCTGGCGGAGCGCCATCTGATGCTCGCTTCTTGTTCGACATGGGGAGCTGGGCGGGTGACGGATACGGTGGTGAGTGTGCGGTCGGCGAGTAGGAGTATGGAGGGGAAGCCATCGTAAAGGCTTTGTGATGGATCGCAAAGGCTAGTGGCAAGCGCCGGCAGGCGCAGTTGCTATATCGGAATGAGCGAGTGGTCCTTTCGTGGAGATCAAGGAGTGGTGCAATTGAGGAAGGCGATGGTTGGGTCGGGTGTCGTTGCGTTGCGCTGGGTCGGTTTGAACTCGTGGATGTAAACTCATACCCAGCTTTGAGCGTGAAGGCGCGCCGCGGTTGACGGATTTAGACACTGGAGTGGATGACTAAGATTGAGTTTTCCTCGGACAGCTGTCACATGACCGTTCTTGGTGCTCCGGCTTGGCAGTGTGAACTTGGAAGGCTCAGGTTGGAAACAAACGAAACAAACGGGCGGGTGTTAGGCGAGGTCCCACTGAGTTCCTGGACCCCTTGCGTCAGAATCGGAGGAGTGGGTACCTGACCAAGCTCAGTGAGCGTGGCTGCCACGGCAGGCCGCTGCGCCGGTGACTGGCAGACTGCAGCACGTTGCATTGCTGGGGAGGTACAGGCGCTAAACCACCCGATAAGATAACGCCGGCCGTAACCGAATTTTCTGCTCCGATTTCCCTCCAGAGTCTCGAAGGAGCGCAGCGGGGCGATCTCTGGGCGGACTTTTGTTCATCTGGAGCACCCCAATGTTCCCTCTCCCACCTTCGTAACCACCACCAATCACCACAGACAACTTTCTCTCCAGGGACCCAGATATCGCAATGACTCAATCAGAGGGTGTGGTGATCAAGGACCGGAAGAGGAGTCGAAGCAAGCACCAGAATGGCCACAGCGGTTCAAGCGACGGCAGCGAAGCCGAGACCGCGAGCCAGTCCAGCAAACGAAGCAGCAGAAAGCGCAAGGGTGACGACGATGCCAAAGTCAACGGCAACCACTCCAAGAAGCAGCGCCGCCCGAGCCTGAGCCAGCCTGCGCGCGACCCCCGAGACACTACGACGTCCAAGTCCAAGAAGAAGTCTTCCAAGCCCAAATATGAAGGTCTAGTAACGAGATCACCGAGCCCGGTGATTGACTTTGACGGTCTGAGTCGCCCGAGTAAGAGTCACGCCATTCTTAACCCCGCGTACCCAATTGACCAATATTCGTCGTCCTTCAGGCCTCGGAACCCGTGAACGACTAGACGAGTCCCCCGAGCAGGCCGCAATCCGCCTCGACAGGATGAAGGGCGCCGTCCGGACCATCCTCGAATGCGTCGGCGAAGACCCCGACCGGCCCGGCGTCCTCGACACCCCGAGACGGTACGCCGAGGCGATGCTCTTCTTGACCCGCGGCTACCAGCAGAATGTCAAGGATATTGTCAACAATGCCATCTTTCAGGAGGGCCACAACGAGATGGTTATTGTCAAGGACATTGAAATTTTCAGCATGTGCGAACACCACCTCGTCCCATTCACCGGCAAGGTTTGTAGAACCCGATACGTCCAGCGATAGATGACTGGAATGCCTGCTAACAAGTGGCCAAAGATGCACATTGCCTATATTCCCAAGAACCAGGTCATTGGCCTGTCGAAGTTGCCCCGCATTGCAGAAATGTTCAGCAGACGTTTCCAGATCCAGGAGCGTCTGACGAAGGAGGTCGCCTACGCCATCATGGAGATTTTGAAGCCCCAAGGCGTCGCCGTTGTGATGGAGTCTAGCCATCTGTGCATGGTCATGCGCGGCGTGCAGAAGACGACAGCTAGCACGATAACTAGCTGCGTGCTCGGGGCTTTCGAGAAGAAGGAGAAGACCCGGAACGAGTTCCTCAGCTTGGTGGGGTTGAAGACATAGACGGGGTATGCTGAGCAAAGGCGTCCTAAGACTCCTTGCTCAGACGGCTATGATCTCATTTGATGTTCTACTCTTTTCGGCGTTTGGTTTGCATGGGCATGCATCACGAATTGGAAAGACCATGTTTTCAACACTGGGTCAAGCATTGGCGATATTTTGGCGGGGGTAGATTTCATGAGAAGGGAGCTCAACGCTCGTTCTGCACTAAAAGAATTTTCAAAGCGCAAATACAAAACCGACTCTTGGTCGCAGGGCGGCTGACCTGTTCAATGCCGTTACCCGACAAAGACGCATCAATCCTGCGCCTACAGGCATAGTACTTGGTCTCTTCTTGTCATCGTGCTCTAGTACCCAAGCGGTGAGACGTCTCCCAGGCTCCCTGCAGCACTATGCGCTGCAAGGGAGCGAACGCCATGGAGGGGCAGTGAAACAAGGCCTATTGGCATTGACCCAGGTGCGAGTCGTGGCAGGAGACGAAGTGGTTTAGGGAAGAAAAAAGAATGATCTGAAGAGGGAATAGCGGTTTGCAAAAAGCCGTTGTACAAAACCTAAGGTATACAACAAGGCTCCAAAAATGGAGGTTCTCCCCTTCCAGAATCGAACTAGAGACCTTTCGATGACAATGTAACCATTACAGTCGAACGTGATGAACCAACTACACCAAGGGGAGGGATACCGGGGCTGAGCCCCGCTTGGTGAGATGTCTTGAGTTCCAAACTGACAGCCTAAGTATGGAGGTGCCCCACCGGAAGCAAAGCCATCGACATCCGTTAGGTCAACGCCGGCAACTGACGAAACAGGTTTGGCTTGGTCAACTGCAGCAGTGTAAGTAGTTAAGGTGGTATTACAGCATGAAATCTGGATTGTATTCATTAACAAGTGATTGATCGTAATAACAGACACTCCCCCCCTTTCCTCTCTCGAGTTCTGCATCTACACGGCGTGGATTATTTTACGGAGCGACTGCTTGAATCTCGCCTTCTCAGGTCCATACACGTCTTCTTGTGCTTTCTCATATCTAATTGATGCAAACTCCGTTTCGAAATCCATTTCGTCTACCGGGATAACTCGAGACTTGAGATAGAATTTGAAAAAGATGTAGAGGACTGAAACTTAGCATTCGTTCACTCCAGTAGTCTTGGAAACAGGAACCAGCAACTCACTCGCAAAAATAAAGACATTAAGGTAGCACGTCAAGAACCCCGAGGCAGTAAAGTTTCCGGTGGTGAAGACATCGAAGCCTATTGAATGATGGTGAAAGTTAAGAATAGCTCGATACACTACAACGGCGAAACAAAGACAGAATGCAAACTCACCTGAGAAGAAAACAACAAGGACAACCATGACGAGGGTGGCCCAAGATATATATGGCTGGCCAGGAACGCTGTATGGGAGCTCTACAAAGATGTTAGCCATGACTAGGTATGGGATAGAAATAGTAGCCGCGCCCCACGATGGAAAAACGTACCATTCCTAGAGTAACCCTGTGCTTTGAGCCCAGCGAAGAAGCGGAGGTATGTCACTTCAATCACTATCCAACCAATTAAGCCGGCAACCGTTGTGATGTTGACGAACCAACCAAAGACGACAGAGGTGTTATTGGCCACATTGAGATAGACGAGCGGCATGAGGACGCAGGTCAAAGCCACGGCGTAATGAGGTGTCCCAAATCTATTGCAGCGCTGGAGGATTCTGGGAGCATGGCCGTCGCAGCTGAGGCCGTATAGGGTTCGGGATGCGATGAAGACGCAGGCGGAGCCGCTGCTGATGGCAGAAGTGCAGACCACGGCGTTGATGATGGACGGCAAGACCGAGACACCTGAGCGAGTGAAAGCGATGACGAACGGGGACTGTTGGGCGGTTCCGGTTGAAATGCTCAAAGATGGGTCGTTGGATGGGCTATGTTTTGCAGGTTTCGTCAGAGAGGCCCTTGACTGGCTTGTATAGATAGGTGGGGTTCTCTTACACAATCATTCCAACAATAAGAATACTGAGAATGTAGAAGAAGAATACCCGGAAGAAAGTCTTCCTCGTAGCTGCGGGAATGATCTTCCTCGGCTGTCGAGTCTCGGAACCCGAAATGGCGACGACTTGAATGTTGCCGTAGCTGAAAGCGGCCGAGAGCAAGACTTTCCAAAAAGCCAGGAAGTTGCCAGCTGAGCCGGTGACTAGATAATTATTAAATGCACCGGGATTCTGCCAGTAACGGAAGCCTATCCGATCGCCGTTAGGCCCGCCACCAAGATCAATGACCAGACCACCGATGATAAGGCCGATGATTGTCATGATCTTTAAAGAAGCGAAAATGACTTCAGTCTAGCTGCTTTGTCAGCCACGTGTGCTCCAAATGAGTTCAAGCTCGGTCGAGAGCTTTCTGCAGCAAGTGAGAGATCTCTTACTTCACCATAGAGTCGGACACCGCAGAAGTTGACCGTGACTATGAACACCAGAAATATGGTGATCCAGACTCCGGGGTTTACCGATGTATTCCAGAACTGGATCAGGGTTGCGGCAGCACTGATCTCGGCAGGAACGGAAATCGACATGGTATACCCTATTCTCAAGTCAGCATCATGTTTGGGACAAACGTCTCGGCAAGAATTACAAAAGTTCCAGCCAGTGGCCGCACCAAGCGCTGGCTCAACAAATTTAGTCGCATGCCGAATGAAGCCACCGGTTGATGGCATGAAAGATGTAATCTCCCCCGTCGTATACGACACACCGGCGGTCACGAGACCCATGACGATGTAAGCCAGCAGGGCTCCGGCAGGCCCTGCAGTAGCAATAGTTGTACCGGAACTGAGGAACAGACCAGTTCCCTAATTCAGTGTTAGACCACCCAACTTTTTTCGCATCCCCAAAGATGAGCAGACTCACAATCATTCCAGCAATCGCAATCATGTTGATGTGCCGGGACTCCAAGTCACGCCTGATGCCCTCGCCATCTACGGGAATAGAGGCGCTTTGACCGGAACCGGAGTCCACTTCAGGCGCGGCGCCAACGGTGGTGTTGTCCTTTTCCTTTCCTTCCATCATGATTGACTTGAAAGTAATTAAATGGATCAGTACGAGAAAAACGAAATGACTACACACGCCTGTGGTGGCCTACGGATGCATCTCGTTGCGATTTCTTCCGAGCAACAGAGTGGGTTGTTAAACATTAATGAATAATACCCGTGCTAGCAACCAAAATCGGTCCTGATAACGCCCCCGGAACTGCCATTCAGGGTTTTAGGATAGGCGCAACTCCGCAGCCAATCGGCGCTGGATGACTGTCAATGATCGACTGTGAGTCGCCGGTGCTGGGATCAAGCTTCGGCTTGAGACGCCGGTTGATAAGCTCCATTTCGTCTTAGTGCGGGGATAGAACGGCTTCAAAGATCGGATAAAAGCTCTAAAAAACGCCATCCTTGACTTGACTACCCGGTTCAAATGGCTTTCAACGATAAGACTTTACAGAGTACCTAGGCCAAGAATCATGGCATCCACTTCTGCTCCGAGTCCCGAGGACGCCTTTGAGCTGTTCGACCTGCGGGTTGAGGTCGTTTGCCCACCAGGCAAGAGAATCCTGTGCGGTGCGAAAGAAGGAGATTACTTCACTCTGAAAGGCGAGATGTTGTATCTGCCACCAGAGCAAGGCATCAGCATATACAGCTTGTGTACGTTGAATTATTCGTACCATACTCGGAAGGCATGAATACTAACTCCCCATGCTAGCATCGGTGCTACCCCTACTCGCCGCAAAGCAACGAGTAACTTCTAAAAACGACTGGATGACAACGGATGCATTGATTGCATGTCCGGATCCTTGTTGTCCTTCCCAGCTCAAGATTGTCCGAGAAGGCATCAGAACTTTCCGCCATTCGGAGACTACCGCCGTTCCTTTGAAGAACACCGATATACCTAAATAGGCAACCAAGAGGAACGCTTGTACTCTAGTCCCTATGATCTTCAGGAAAAAAACACGCCATCTTGAGCATTGAAACCAGCTTCAGCCATGAGTTCAACCCAAGTTTCATCATTTGCAAAGTCCAAGCTTAGTCCGCCTTCCGCCTGGTTGAAAGCTCGACCAAGAGCTGCAAAACCAGTCTCGCGCACCATCTCCTGCCCGCCGACACCAAATTGCTCTTGAGACTCGGGAGTGTCTGTTGACGTGGGCGCGTCGGCCATGGGCTTGGATATTCTAGCCAAGATGTTATCGAGAAACCGTGACTGAAGTGCGCAGCTCGAGCCCCGGGGGGCGGCTTGTTGGGAGAAAACTAAGGCGGCACCTGAGATCGCATTTTGAACAGCTGGTTGGATTTGACTGGAAATTGAATGGGATGTGGATAACATGAGCTAGATTTCAGTCAGGCTGTGCACACTAGAAATAAAATGAAAAGGAAGCCGGGATGATCTCACCTTAATCAAAAATGCTGCACTATAAGCAGTCATGACGTGAACAGAGTCCTGGGCAAAGTATAGCCACGAAGAATGACGGCAGATGAGATGCAGCATCTCCAGGGCACTCGAGTAGCTGACCCAAAGAGCCTCCATATGGTTTGTCATGTTCTGATCAGAATGTGCCAAAATATCTTGTAAGGGCAAAGAGAATAGCTGCAACCTCAGATGGGTGCCATAAAACTGGATCAGAAAGGGATGGCAACCGTCTACAATGTAACGCTTTAGCTGGCTGGCTTTCGATACCTGGCTTTCGGACATACCTGTGTCAGCTACGTTGAGCCACCTCGACTCCCATTCCTCAATTCTGCTTTTGATGATTACAAGGAGAGATTCGAGGCTATGCAACTGTCTTGCACGAACTCTACTCGACCTTGGTCCTAGTAGCCTGAAAACCTCTGAGCTCAACAGTCGCAGGGTAACCAGCGCACCGAGCAGGCGATCGCCAGGAGTGGCTATTGAATCTTTGCACCATGTCTCAATGGACTCGATAAACTCACTTCGCTCAATCATCCAGGGCTTTCCTGTCTGCAAGCTCATGCTGCGTTTTGTCAGTTTGTGTGCAACGAGTGTCCTTCGGTTAACTTTCTCTCACCTCCGATCGTATACAAAGAGAATAAGCCAAGTCCTTTCGACGTTCCGGGCGTGGCGTCTATCCAAGTCTGTTGCTGCGTTTGGTTGTGCAACGGAATATGGAGCCAGCCGATGCCATCCCAGTTCCATGCCCATCCTGATCACATAACCTAAGAGCATCCAGGCACGGGTGTCTTCAGACTCTTTCCAATATGTCAAGATCATAACCGCTTGTGCAGTCTCAACTGACTTTGTTCCTTTCCGGAAAGTGCTCGCAAGAATATTTTCGGCATGATCACGAAGCTTTCTATACAGCGCTGGGTTGAAGGCTTTTGCAGCCGCAGCTAGAATTGCTGTGAGAAGGAACGAAGAATCTTGTCGGATCCGGCTAAAAGTATGCAGGCATGGATCTAATTGACTTATATAAGGATTGAGAGAATCCATGAAGCTGTCTGGAGGTTATTCGCCTGTTTGATCGGAGCAGACAGTGGGAGGAGAAGGTAGAGATGAAGACGCTTCGAACAGACAAGTGGAAACAGGCAGAGAACAGCCAAATTGTCGCTGAGAATACACTCACTTTTCGAACAATGACGATGCGATGGAAGAATTGAGGAGGCCGAGTTGGATTGGATCATCTAACGGAACCCTCGACTCTTCATGCTGTGCCTCTGAAATAGTCGAATCTGAAGCATTCAATATGCTTCCCAGCGAAAAGCTGCCGCGCGTTGCTGCACGGTTGAACAGACCGGCGGGCTGAAGGCTTCCGCTGCCCCAGTCTGGACTTCGTTGAATCGTCTGTGTCTGTCCACTCCTGTTTCCAGTCTGTACGGGTTGTAGCGGAGGCGACGAAGTAATCGGTGCCGTTGAGCTTTGCGCTTTGCGCTTGGAAATACTTCAACTGTTAACCCCTGTTATCCTCGCTGCTCAGGCTCTTCAAGCAGATACGCACCGAGTCCCGGGTTTTCTTCCTCGACGATGATCTTGGAAAATGCACTTTACCGACTTCCGGGTACAACGATCACAAATTGTTTCATTGTCTGCAGTGATGCATTTCATCTTTACGCTCCGGCACTGAAGGCATGCTTTGGAACTAATCGACGTCATGACTGTTAGTCGGAGGAGGCGTCGTTGTCATGACATACAATTAAGTCTTACACGGGCTTAGGATGCAGTGATGCTTCGGCATGGTGGTCCATTTTGCTGCTAGAGTTCACCAACCCCCAGCCATAGAAGTTAGAATGCAGGCAAAAATTGACTTGCGGTTGAATCGGATAAGGTCGAGAGTGAAATTCGCCGGCGCTGTGAATCCTTCGCGGATTTCCCTATCTTGGTCCACTTTTGCCCCCGCTGTTCTCCCTAGCCTTAAGGTAGTCTGATGTGGGTAAAGATAACCGAGTAATGCAATGGCCGGCTACGTACCATTAGATGGCCGATTCGTTGATCGCCGATGGCTTATGACAGTTGAGATGGATGCCGGAATCAAGGTTCAGCTTGCAGCCCTGCGGCAACATCGTACATTCCGTTGGATCCCCAAGGGGAGGCTCATCTGCAAACCGTCAAAACTGCATCGTGAAGATAGGTCTTGGAATTGGAAAAAAGAGATCATTGGAAACACTTACTTCACTTCAGAGCAACACGAACGAAATGGCGGCCAGTTCAGAAGGTCAAAGCGCCAAGACAGCGCACGTCAACATGATGACGGACACCATCATCACAAACCTCCCCGCCGAAAATCTACGGGTAATCATGCGGTCGCTGTTGGCCGCGCACCCGGAAGTCACTACAACTTTTGAGGAAGAGACAAGGACATACATCAGAGATGTAGCTTTACCAACAGCTCAAGAAGAGTTGTCTTCGGAGGCCTCGTTGAGGAAGACACAAACGACGATTCGTTGCATGCTTGGGTGCGGGCTCAGTTTAGAGAGCATTCCCCTCATGACCGGGGTGGTCGGGGGCGGCATCAAGCTTCTCATAAATCCAGAGACCACCAAGGAGGCCACTACAACTGTCTTGGCATCCGTGGATGGCGATATTGTCCAGATCATGACCGCTATTGAGAAGAGACTGCTATCCGCTGCACGCGAAACTCTTCTGGATGACGAGCGCGATGCTGTGACTAGTTTGCGAGATTCTCTTGTAGACTGCAGAACCATCACAGAAGAGAAGAGTTTGGAATATCCATACGCCAGGGCGCTTTTCGCAACGTCCATGCTTCTCGGAGTGCCACTTCCAGTGTTCGATCTGCTGTCAGGCAATTCATCAGCGCCAAGCGCGTCCCAAACCGGCCCCGTTGATGCAAAGGAGCTATTCGAGATGAACGGCTTCAGACTGCCTAGGTTATTCACAGGTCTTTGGCAAATGTCTAGCCCATCTTGGGGCTCTGCGCCGACATCTAAGATCATTGCACAATTCTCCAAGCACACGGAAGCAGGGCTGTCAGCTTTCGATATGGCGGATCACTACGGCGATGCTGAAATCATCTTTGTAAGTCTGGAAATGACTCCATATTCCTGCTAGAAGCTTCTTTCTAACTGGATTAGGGTCGCTTCCGTTCTTCATATCCTTTCAGAGATTCGACATTCGCAGCAACCAAGTATTGCGTCTTCAATGCAATGACCGTCACGCGTGCCGTTGTGCAAGCCAACGTTGCTGAAAGATGCCGGAGATTGCAGACAGACAAGATCGACTTGCTCCAATTTCATTGGCAATTTGTCAGTAGTTATGTGGTCTCACCCGCTGGTCCGAGAATGGCAAGCTGATTTTCCCCGACAGTATGAGGACCCTCAGTATGTTGACGCGTTGCGCTTTCTTGAGGAGGACCCGCGCGTCAAGACTCTGGGACTCTGCAACTTCGACACTGAGCACCTTGAGGTCGCCATAAACCAAGGCGTCAAAATTCACTCGAATCAAGTGCAGGTATGCTTGAACCCCAGAAACTCCATAGCCGATGGGCATGAACTGATGACTCCTAGTTTTCGTTGATCGATAGCAGGCCAGAAGTCCGCATGGGCAAGGTCTGCCAGGATAACGAAATCAAACTTCTGACTTATGGGACATTGGTAAGTTGCGAAAGAAAAAATAGAGTACTGAGTCGCTCGCATATATGCTGATATTTGTTGATATAGTGCGGTGGGTTCCTTGCTGAGAAGTGGCTAGGAAAGGGGCAGCCCGACCTCTACGACGAGGCGATCACGCCTAGCCAGCGCAAGTACTATGCTATGATACGAAGTTGGGGAGGTTGGGACCTGTTCCAAGATCTCTTAAAGGTGCTCAAAACAATCGCATCTATCTACAGCGTCAGTGTTTCCAACATCGCGACTCGCTGGGTGTTGGACTTCCCCTATGTTGGGGCAGTCATTGTTGGAACTCGCATGGGCATCAGTGAGCGCGCGGACGAGAACTTGGCAAGTTTGGGTTGGTCTCTGAGTCAGGGAGACCGAGATCTGATTGAAGAAGTACTGAAGAAGAGCAGGAGATTGGAGATGTTTGAGGCGATGGGTGATTGTGGAGGAGAGTATCGCTAGAAACTCATCATTGGCATAGTTCTCGGCGCTAAGACAAGCTTTTGTAAACCTTCTACCATTGATTAATCATGCTTCTTCGTTTGATATTCTGATAGAATCGCTCCGAACGTGGTAGTGGTGGTGGTGGTGGTGGTGGTGTCTTGCTGAGAAAATTAGTACCGATTCATAGGCCTGCGTATGGAAAGCATCAGAGTCCCATGTCCAAACGTGGCGCATGAGGGATAAGCACGAGTGACTCGCATCCAATCGTAAGTGAATTCGCTTTCGTTGAATTAGGTAATTATAAACACGTTGAATTTGGTTTCAGCGCGAACAGCTTACTCGGTTCCATGTTCTGTTCACAGAGTAATCTAGCCGCGACTCAACTCCAGCGACTGACTCTGTGGAAGATTGCTCGCCGAGAACCCTACTAGAACCTCATACCAACCATCTACAAACACCCAATCCTCAATCGAACTATCCCAAATCATGAGATCTTCTAATTTCACCACCAATTCGACAGACTTGCTTTCCCCAGCTTCAACCTCGACCTTTTCAAAAGCTCGGAGCAACTTGGGTGGCTCTTTTGCAGCGTCTGGGAATCCAACATAGAGCTGAATGACCTCTTTTGCCTTGTAAGTTCCCTGGTTTGACAAAGTCGTCCTGAGAACAACAGCACTATCATTTGATGATACCTCCATTCCAGATAGACTGAAGTTAGAGTACGTCAGCCCGTGCCCGAATGGGAACAACGGCTGAATGCCGCTTTGGTCATAAGCTTTGTACCCGACATAAAGGCCTTCTTCAAAAGGCACCTCGATATTCGTACTGATACGTACGGTGTCATTCAGGTTCTTTGGAAAGGTCAATGGCAACTTTCCGCTCGGGCTCACGTCGCCGAAGAGAAGGCGCTCAAGCGCCAGCCCTACCTGTTGGCCAGGATACCAAATTTCCATGACGCCTTCGACTTGCTCAATCCAAGGCATCAGAATAGCCGAGTTTGTGTTCAGGATCACGACGGTTTTCTTGGAGATATTGGCGAGCCGGCTGATGATGGCGTCCTGATCGCCCGGCAGAGATAGTCCAAGGCCGCTATCAGCTCCTTCAGAGATTCGATCAGAAGCGAAAATAATACTGATGTCCGCCCACTCGGCCAACTCATCGGCCGCTGAATTTCGGGTCTGGTTGCCGATGTCTACTCCAAGGGTGATGCCATAAGAACCGGTAGACAAAGAATAACCCATATCGTATTTCAGCAGAAGCTTGACCTCGGATCCTGCCTCGAGATATGTTGCGCCCTGAACGTAGTTTCCAAAGTTTGCATACGACATGTTGGCCACAAGCACGTTGTCCAAGTACAGCAGCGCGGTCCCCTGGCCATACATGGAGAAATGGTACGTTCCTGTTGTATCTGGGAGGAATATCGCCTCGTAAATAGCCGAGAAGACATCTGGGTACGCTTGCCAAAGAGCTGACGGGTATGTAGCAATGGTGATGTTTGGGACGAACTCGGTGGTGTTTACGGGGCCGGTGAAGTCGGTTGTCTTGTAGTACGTCACGTTGACGCCGCCGTCTCTGAACATACTAGAGGGGACCGTGGGAAACTGTCCAGTGCCAGGATATGCCTCGGAGTACTTGGCTGTAATATTCTCTGTGCCTCCTCGACGCTTGATCGCATCGAAGGGTGCTTGAACAACCATGGTAGAGTCAATGACAAAGCCTCCATGGTTTTCAGAGACTTGGTTCTCAGTTGTCGCCCCGATGCCAAACACAGCGATCTTGGAATACTTGTCTGAAGAGATTGGGAGGGTAATCTGGTCATTCTTCAATAGCACAGCGCCTTCTTCGACCATTCGCTGCGCGAGATCCAGATGCTCCTGGGTACGCACATGGGCTGTCGAGTCTCCGGTGACGGGATTGTCGACCTGCCCAAGTTTGAACATGTATCGCCAGACTCTCTGCACCATGTCATCAAGTCGAGCGTGTGGTATCGAACCGTTGTTGATGGCCTCGACCAATAAGTCGCCGTAGTAGGCAGGGAACCCGTAACTATCCGTCAGGTCTCCGCCGGGCATTGAGATATCGAGCCCAGCCATGACAGCCCCGACGGTGCTTCGCGTGGAAAAGTACCAATCTGCGACTACAAAACCTTCAAACCCCCATTCTTGTCGAAGAGTCTGGTTGAGAAGCCAGTCGTTTTCGCAGGTGAAGAAGCCGTTAAGGCGGTTGTATGAGCACATGACGCTCGCTGCATCTGCTTCTTGCACGCTAGCCTTGAAGGCGGGCAGATAAAGCTCATGCATCGTCCTCTTGTCAACCACCGCATCGACTGTAAGCCACTCTGGGCCGTTGCCGAAACGATTAGTGTCCTGGTTGTAAGCCGCAAAATGCTTCGGACACGCCAGTGCCCCCTGACTCTGGATACCCATCGTACCGGCAACCGCCATGCGTGCGGTCAGCCACGGGTCTTCAGATAGCGTCTCGGCAGCGCGAGCCCACAGCGGAGAGCGAAGGATGTTGATGGTAGGCGCAAGGACACTGTTGCGGCCTTTGCCCATGTGCTCCTGTGCAAGCGCCTGGCCAAACTCGTACTGTATCGATGTGTCCCAGGAACTCGCCGCCATAACCGGAGCCGGAAAAGCGGTCACATTGTCGAGAGAATTGCCGACTCCGGCTGGGCCATCACCCATGCAGATGTCGGGGATCCCGAGAGTTGAATTCCCTTGGATGTGTCCGATACAGGCGTTCACGCCGGTTCCGTTATCCGTCAGCTATAGCAACATCAGTATAAGCCCTCCAAACCGTCGATTTCATGAATGGCGTGGAGCTGGGAATCTGACTTCCGTGTCGCCCTGAACCATGGCTAGCTTTTGTGTATCATTGAGCTGAGATATAAAGGACAAGAGTCGTTCCTCAAATGGCAGTGTTTTGTCGAGCCAGAGCTGAGCCGCGAAGGCAGTTGATGCCAGCGAGGCGGTCCAAAGAGTAAAAGTCAACCTCATCTTCATTCATGTATTTACTCATGCGCGGAATTCATAAGGGACGACAGATCACGATGATCTTTCAAGATTAAGAGGCGTTGGTACGCTTTCATAGTTGACAATCCTATGAGCCCCCTTCTACTGACGTTCATTTCCCCTGCTTATCAGGTTGCATTGCCTACAATCACTTGATGACCTTCTTTCAAGGTTGTCCAGATGCCTAGCCCTGGACCGGTCTTCAACGGATAGTCCGGGGCAGTGGTAGAAGGCCGAAGTGAGTTCTCTTCTTTATGATATGCCGCCGGCGAACAAGCAGTCTTCCTGATAAGGCCATACGTTTCGGTACTCTGGAGATTGCAGTGCGGGGTACATATCTGGCTCTTGGGAGAACGCGGAGATAACTCTGTGGGTCTAGCAACAAGCATCCCCAGCTGCCTAGGTCAAGACTCATGTGCCGTCTCGGAGCAAAGGCGCCTGGGTATTTGTCGTTGCTTATTAGTCGAGTTAGCCGTACTCTTTACCGGACTGCCTCTTGCTTTTCAACATGTGAAACGAGATTTTCGGGCGCCGATCCACATTTCGGCTTCCACAAGCCGGCCCCCAAGGCCGGACATCCGGGGTCTCTCCGAAAAACCAGCGGCGAAGAGGTTCCGTCTCGGGAGTTGCCTTCTAGAAGACCGGAAGAACCATCCCCGAACATCAGTTCCCTCAAGACCAGCGTTGTAACACCTTTGAGGAAATACAACGCTGCTATCTTGCGAAAGGAACATGGATGAAGCCCGCAAAAGTTTGAAGGCGAGAATCGAGACGGGAGATGGGGACCCCAGCCGGGATTTGGTATCTCAGAAACAAAGAGGATGGCCAAAAAGTCAACAGCAGAACAGGAAGAGTTTCCCTTTTGGCCATCCCGATGCGAAGGGGGCGCGGAGCACCCTGTCGACGAACGTGACTGACAAGCGATGGCTGCTGGCACGAACACTTTGACGCGCCGTGCGTACGGTGCTGCAGATCCGGTCAAGTCATCCCCTCCCTCGCGTTTCTAGAGCGGCAGAGTCGGCCGAAGGTTGGAAGTTTTCCTCAATCACGGGAACTCTGATCGCTACGGCTCTCCGTGGCCATGTGCCTGAGTCGTGCGTAGTTTCACCTGGATTCTGATACTCGCACAAGAGCTTTCCCCCTCTTTTTTCGCACCAAAGCTTCAGAAATTTTCTCCTCCTCTCCTACCGGGGAGGCTCTTGAGCTGGGACCCGAGACATTTTGGTGCATTCTGGCTACCCTTTTACGGTTCGCATTCCACTCAAGCTCTCGCCTCAGCCACCCCCACGGCCGTGGTAGCCATCGTGTAAGTGGCTCACCGCCTACCACACCCACTGGGCTGCGGGAGAGTAAAAAGACGAGTTCATACGAGACTGCACACCACTATGAGGATTCATGAGCTGCTCGAGGTTGCGCAAAGACACTTGGCTTCGTTCGCCGGACCGCGGGAGTGAATCGGTTGTTTCCTGAATCGACTTCGCGGAGCACTCCTGGTTCACAGAAAATCAGCCGTTCGGCCAAAACACCAGTTGACGCCCGTAGAAATCGAACCCAACTTAACCTACCAAGCGTACCTCCGCTTCACACGCGCAGGCCACAGCTTGCAGTCTACCAGAGTTTATTTCCGGATGTCACCCCACCTTGAGCTTTCCTATTTACCTAATTTGTGTCGAAGACCGTGTGGAAGGCCGGCTTCCATTGACTTAGACGCGAGGCCACCGTCAGTGCCGCACATGAAGCTATGCACTATGAAGACGCCAAAGGGTACGGCCCGTTCTTTGCGTCAGTCAGCCGGTTGCAGCCGTTCAAAAGCCATCAGACTTAAGAACGTGCGATATCCCACATCTGCTATGTTTTGGGAGTTGCGAGAGGCCCGAAATCAACTTGATAGAACCCTTGGGAAAGCCCTTCACACGCGTGGGAGATGGCCGGCCGAGGGAGAAGAAGCTCGCACCGACGAGCAGTCTAACCTCTATCGGCGTATCCCGCTCTCGCTAAGAAACTCTTCGAGGGCAGGCCTGGATGATCCCGACAACACCGACCATCTTCTCGACGGTATTTCTCCTATCAGAGGCCTGCAGAGGAATCCGCGGCGAAACAAATCGGAAGTCAATCAGCGAGAATAGTGGCGCTGTGGGGGATCGCCAGATCCGCCAGCGCGGGAAGAGAGAGGAGCAGGGATCCGTCCGCACGTTTCACGTTTCATCTCGGCGAGCGACGTCGTGTCAGGCTGTGCTTGGGGGGGAAGGCTCATGGGCTGTAAAGTGTTTAACACCCCAGCTTCGGGGACAAGTTCCGTTTTACATCTTTGTTTTAAAATAACTCCGCGGCCTGATGTTGGTTCTGGCTGCTAGCCCGGGCAATTCGAGAAGGCTTGGCTGGTGAGAGGATGGAAAGAGACACGAAGCCCCGTGCCTCACACATCAGTCAAGCAGTGCATAGAAAGCTCGAAGGCTAAGGTATTGCACAGCCTCCATGGCGTGGAAAGTGAGGCTTCAATAAGAATCCGCGGGCTTCCCGTCAAGCTTGTGTGGTATAAGCGTCAGGCCCTAAACAAGGATGCCATCCCCCATATTTATGATCAACCTCAAAGCTTCATCCATCGGCAGTGGAATATGGGTCACGCCGATTCGTGCGATGCGAGTGGCCAAAGGACTAGGAAGTCATTCACATCCTATCCCGCCTCGAATCTGTGTAAGCCTGTTATGCCAAGTGCTCTCCCTGATCCATGCATTGACACCAACTACAAAGGCAGCAGTCAATGCGATTGTGGATCAGAGGCATACCCCGGTGAGCAAGACGTGAACAAGAGCCAGAAGAAGCATCGAGTCGAATCTTTTTCCTCGGGCCCCTCGCCCCCTCCTCTACCTCCCACTGTCCCAACCTGTGAAGGGGGTCAAAAGGTACGAGGGTGAACCGTGTGCAACTTGTGAGACGGCACCGACGGGTTACGCTTTTGGGAAGGCGATGACCTGAGATCCCATATAGTGTTACCGTCTGTGCGAAGGTTGTCTTGCCCCTCCCGCATGTGAGGGCATGATCCAGTCTGTGCCAGTCTATAAGCCTCCAACGTCCTACTCTTCTCTCCTCCTTGCCTTCGTCTCTCATGCTTGCTGGCCAAACACGTCGAAACACCCATCGTATGCTTACATCTGAATCTCTGGAAGATTATCACCACCAGCATCAATCACACACACACACCCGGTACCCTCGACAGTCAACAAGATGAAGTTCACCACCGAGATCACTCTCCTCACTCTGGCCATGGGCGTCTTTGCCCAATCCGCCACCAGGGTTCTCACCGAGCGTGACCTAACCGCCATCCAGGGCGTCATTAAGGAAGTCGGCAACTCACTGAAGGACTTGAACAAGGCTGTGGACGGTTTCAACGGCGATATCAACGGCCTCACCAGTGCTGTCTCAGGTTTCAATAAAACCCTCGTCTCGGGCACCGACACGGTCAAGAATACGGGTGATATTACCCTCAACGATGCTCTACAGCTCCAGGGAAGTGTCACCGGACTTCAGGACGACGGCAAAGCCCTCACCGGTAATCTGAAAAAGAAGAAGCCCGATTTCGAGAAGGCCAACCTCTGCGGTGCCGTCGCTTCACAAATTGGCGTCGTCGGTGACGGCGCCAAGGGTCTCATCGATGCTGTCGTCAAGAAGGTTCCTGCCAGTGTACAGAGTGTTGCCAGCTCGCTTGCCGGCGGCTTCGCTGCAACTTTGACATCAACCCAGCAGGAATTCGCCCCAGGCAACTGCACCAACGCCAACGGCAAGAGCGGTGGCGTTATGAGCGGTGGTAACATGGACGGTGGCATGAGCGGCGGCAACGGAAGCTCCAACGGCGCACCCAGGACCTCCTCCCCCGCCAAGGCCAGCGCTGCTACCGTGTCTGTCGGCCTCGGCTCCATCGCTGTGGCGGCGTTTGCTGTTATGCTGCTGTAAGCGGATTTTCTGAGGATAGGACGGGGTAGGCGTTTGGGGTCTGGACGGAGACCAGTGGAGGATATGTGGGAGATTTGAAAACTTTGTGTCCACGAGGCCTTTCCTTTTCTCCGTAGCCATGATGGCGAACTGTCGAGTGTTGTTTCAAACGGGCGCAGGTAGACAATGCGAAGCTTGCTTTTTGGTATATGACATGTTGCCATTTTAGTGAGACTGATGTCCTGGTGCCGCGGCAAGTTGGTAAGATTCCCCCGACAGGATAATCATGGGGCAGACCTTGGCCCAGACTCTGGGCACGATACTCAGCATGACGATACATCTCGGCCCAGCAGCAATGACTATTGTGAGGCGGTCGTCCTGGACCGGAGACCGGACTCATCCCTGGACGCTGTGCGGAAGACGGACGTCGAAGAAGGCAAGTCATGTAACGCGATGTCGACAGCCGCACCTGAAGCCGAGCCTGGCGTCTCATTCGCAACGAAACTGGTCCTTCCTGCATACTCTCTCTCGCGCAACCTCTTCCTCGCCCACGGCAACAAGTTGAAATACCCACCACACACAAAGACCCCGCACCAAAGCACAAACTCGCTCGTGTAGATGACGATGCCTAGGACATCGATCCGGGGTTGGAAAAAAATGGACGCGAGGGAAAACACGTCGCCGGCGGCGTCGATGGCGACAAAGATGAAGGAGATGCCGCGCACGGTGCGGTGGAGGTAAATGTCCCAGTAGTGCCGCAGGACGCCGGCGGCGAGCAGAGCGGCGGAGAGTGTGGCCATGAGGATCATGGGCCATTCGGTGCCACGGTCCTTAACGATGCGGAGGCCGATGATGAGGGCGACTTGGATTCCGGCCATGGCGGCCGCGATCGGGGCTACGACGGCGAGAGAACAGAGGATTGACCAATTCTGGGGGTCGACGTGAGTGACTTGAGGCAAAAATTAGGAACATTTCAGAGTTACTCTTTGATAGTAAAAGCACTGGATCCAAGTTGCGAGACTCAGAAACGTCAAGATCTGGGGCTGGACCTGCAGCGCAACGTTGAAGTCCTCGACAATATTGTAGACGCCCAGCGGCACGCCGGCCCAAGCCCAGAGCATCATCATCGAGGGCTGGAGACCGACAGCATTATGGCGTCGGTAATTGATGACAATTTGCGGAATCAGCTAGACGAGGAGCTGTCAGTGCTGAGGTCTTGGAAAACGAAGTCGAACACGACGCACCTGTATAGACCAGCAGACCTGTGAAGGGTGAGCCTGGCTTCAACAAGACTGAGAAATCGGGGCTGAGTGTACTGCACCGAGTGTACCGAGAGCGTTCGCTGCGGCTGGTATGTTCATGACGACGGGAAGACGAGTTAAGTGTCCCTGTGTCCCTTGAAAGTTGTCAACTGGATAAATGAAATTCCAAGTCGTGAACAGTTGAAAGTCGCGGCAAAGGACATCAGAAGCGTTAAAGGAAGCGTTAAAGAAGGAGTCGCCAATTGGAACATGACCTGACCTGGTGGCATTTATCCGCTATCGGCAGTGTGCGAGCGGGAAATGAGCCGCCAAGCCGAACTTCAATTCGAGGAAAAGGTAAAAAACTAAGCTCTCCCCTTCCAGAATCGAACTAGAGACCTTTCGATGACAATGTAACCATTACAGTCGAACGTGATGAACCAACTACACCAAGGGGAGGACCGGGGCTGAGCCCCGCTTGGTATGGTCTGTCAGCAGGTCTGAGATCTTAAGTATCCATCAAAATTAACAAGATCCGACACCACAAAAAAAGAAAAGTCACAGCCCAAGAGGATTTTCAAGCAGCATTCCTACCCTAGAGAGAAGAGTAAGTTCTCAGTGCTGGCTGGTGTGCCCAACTCAGTATTCTTTTTTTCTCTCCCGGCATCGACTGAAGTCGCCAACATCTGATCCCAGCCGGCTTTGCAAAGTTCATGCATGCAGAGGACACCTCGGTTGAAACCGCGTAACTAATTCATTGACCATTCTCGCACGGCACTGCGTCATGATACTACAATCTTCTTTTCATACAAACCATCTCGACCAATTTTCATTCTCACTCATCCCACTCGATCCTCATCGTAGTCGGCACAGGCCAGTACGAGCTCTGGTCAGCCGTCATGAAGCTGCGCAGGCCCAGCCAGGGCTCATCCCTCTTGCTGGCGCCATTTTGATTGCCAACAGGCAGACCAACCTGGCCATTCCACGTGCCGGCAGGCATGTTCTTGAGCTTTCCACGCCCTCCGTTTCCGTTGGGCGTCTTGTCGGCCCTCCTCAGTCCCTTGAGGCCCACAATCTGCTTGAACAGACTCGTCTGCGCCACGCGGCTGATCTCCTTACCAGCACACCAGTGGGGGCCGAGACCATAGTGGACGTAGGACTCCAGAGGGCGATCGAGGCGCACTTCGTTGGGGGCCTCAAAGATTGTCGGGTCGCGACCGGCGGTCATCAGGTTGCAAAGCACCTTTTGGCCCTTGGGAATCTTGACCTCGTACTTGGTGCCCTCAATATCGTCGTTGACCTTGGGCGTGCGCGAGGTCGGGTCCTTGGGATCGAGGAGGCAAGGAGCATAGTCGGTGATGACCTGGGTAGTGACGGCCTCGCGGTACACGGCAACGGTACCACGGAGTCGGCATCCCTCAAGCATGCTGCAATAAAGTCAGAAAGGCGCCCCAAAATAGTGAAACTGTGTGTCCAAGACGTACTACTTCATCAGCTTCTCGTCCGCCTCAGGCGTGTCCTCGTGGGCTAGCCTGTACAGATCGCTCAGGTGCTTGTGACCCTCGCCGAGGTAGTAGTCGATGCAAAGCGACATCACCTGGGATTGGTTCGTAACATTGGCAGTGACGACGGGCATGATGGTACCCCAAACCACCTCCTCAATGTCCTTGCCGTCCGCGAGGAGACGCTCAATGAGATGGTTTCCGAAGGTGGGGAGTGAGGCTTCTCCTTCTCTGATCTTGGCGACAATGTCCGTGATCAATCCAGCCTTGGAAATAGTCTGACAGACGAGGCTCACGAGCCGGCCCAAGCCCTGGCCGAGCTCGCGCGCAATCGTCCGCAGCTTGAAGCTGTTCCCAATGTCTGCATCCAGGAAAACGGACTGGAAGAGAGTGGCGACAACCACATACAGTTCCTGGTCAGTGTAAACACCCCACGGCGAGTCCTCATTCTTGATGGGCAGGCAGAAGAGGGCGGCATTGAATCGTGTGTTTGTCAGGTTGATGACATCCCGGACAATGTCAACCTCCCTGACACCCTTCTTGATGGCGAAGCTGTTTTGCTCCAGCAACCGGGGCGTCATGTGGGTGTACCATTTGAACACTTCCTTCTCCCAAGGACCCGTGATCAAGGCCTTCCTGACCTGAGTGCGGTTCTGTGTGTTGGCCTTGCCGTCACCTGCCAGACAAAAGTCCTTGCCGTACTCCTTACCAGACTGCGCCACCAGGTGACGGATTGCTTCGCCCCAGACAACCTTGAAGTCTGTTTGATTGTACAGAATCTCACTGACTGCCTTGTGAGAGAAAATAGGAATTAAGCTGCGCTTGGTCACCGGCTCCTTCCAGGAGTAGAGATAATCTCTGTTAATGCTCTCGAGGATCTTCTTGTTCTCCGAGGGCACCGTCAGAGGGAAATGCGCGTAGACGCTGTTCTGCTCAAATGAGTTGGGGAAAGCGCGGTACACCAGCTTGTACAGGACATGGCTCTGGTCAACGTTGAGGTCGTAACTGCATTGGTTGAATCTGTCCACAAGTTAGCGACTGTCATCTTTGTCGGCAATTCAAAAATTGAGCAAGACTGACCCCCAGTTGGTCAGGTTCTTTGGTGTGTAGTCGACGGTGTAGAATCTGTCACCACGAACCAGGGCAACTGCGTCAGACAAGATAGCTCTGGTCATGGTGTAGCCACCACATAATCCACTTCCCGGAGCGATGGGAGGCTTGGCCTTCTCGGCGATCAATCCGGGGTACAGCTCAACTTGATCGGGAGTGCCATAGAGATATCTTAGCTTCTTGACGACTTCCTTGTCCGGATTGATGTCCTCAAATGTCGGGTGCTTAGTGAGGCCGAAGTGATCACGGAATTCGTTGAGGGTGGCGACGTTCCAATTTCGCGCGTTCATCATGCCGAGCACCTCAATCGGCTTCATAATCTCTGGGATTCTGTTGGCGCCATAAGAGCCAGCAACGTCTTCGACAGATTCCTTGAAGATCTTGACTAGATCCTCTTCACGGAAGGCACCGTCCTTGCCACGCTTCAGGCCAGCAAAATCACGGTTGACGGGGTCATCGTCGATGCGTTTCTCCCAGTCCCTCACAGCGTGACCAAACTCCTGGAGAGTAAAGTCCTTGACTTCCTTGGGGGGCTTACTGGTGTCGTTCGGTAGCTTGAGTTGCTCGCGGAACGCCTTTTCGGTCCACTTGGCGTCTTTGGGCGAGATGGTGCAATGCCATCTGTAGATGAGGTTGAACTCCACTGATACCTGGTTTCCGGTACCCTCAGGGGTCTCGGCTCTGAGGATGCTCTTGCCCTCGTTGGTGCGGGGGTCCAGAGCCCAGCTCGAGGATGAGCGGTTCATATTCAAGATGGTGCGGACGTAGTCGCGGAGGACGATGCTGACATAAAGACCGCATGTGATGAGACGCGCTGTTTGAAACAGGTCGTTGTCGTACTTGACCCAGGCATTCCAACGATCAGAGAGAGCCTTCTTGTCCAGATACTGCTTGTGCTCCTCGGAGGTCTTATCGACCCCCGCGGCCGGCTCCGCGGGGACTTCCGGGGCCTTGGCTTGAGGATCGATAGGATCGCCAGCGGGCCTGTTAAATCGGTTGTTTTCATTGATGCTATATCTCGTTAGCACCACTTTTATTCGAATCTGTCTTGGGTGGAAAGTCTCACCTTGCAAGCTGTGTGACGATGTAGTTGTGGAAACGGTTGAACATCATCAAGAGAACGCCGACGCCAGGGGGGAAGCCGAGAACTCTCTTGGAAGAAAATGAATCAGGCTTGAGTCTGCCGGCCAGCTTGGTCCTGACCAGATCTTGCTCCTCTTGGTTGCGACCGTAGAGAGGAGAAAGATCAAGGTAGGATGATGTCTTGTTGACGCCACTCAGTCCGTCCTATCGTCCAGCCTCTATTAGCAAAGTTCTAAATCACCATAACCCGAGTGCAAGTTAGGGTAGCCGGCCTGGGAGGTAGTGTCTCACCGTTTGGAAGATATCATGGGTGATGATGGTAGCTAGGTAAAAGAGGAAGCTTGAGATTTTGTTGGGGTGAGGCTTGAACTCTTCGCCTCTAGCAAAGAGCATGTCAAAGACAAGGCTGGGATCAGGCTGGTTGGGAGTCTGGTAGGCGATTGGCGGGGCTGACCGAGCATATGCTGTGCCAGCCGCACCCATCGCTGGGCTGTGGATGTTGTTGTTGGAGCCATCGGCTTCACGGAACTTGAACTTCTCGTCCAGAGTCGTCATTGGCGGATGGTCGATACCATTCCAAAGCTGGTTGATTAAGCCATACTCCAGCCTCTTGCCCTTGACGGTGCCGCGGGGCAACTTGGCGAAGAGCTGGATGAGGCGCTCCAGAAGCAAGTCATTGTCGTCAATTTTGCCTTGTAGAGCAGTAATGCCAAAGTCGGCCAATGTATCAATGTCCTCAAAGCCGAGCTTCTTTATATCTTGCAAAATATTTGTTGGCTCAGCCTGCTGCGCAGTGGCACCAGGAGCTGGCTCGGGATGCGGAGGAACGGGGGAAATGGACTTGTGAACGAGATCGCGGGCTGCCGCCAACTTCTCCGATACCTCCGTGAGGAGGGGCTGGTGCTTAGGGAACTGCTCCTGAGCTTGAGACATGCTGGCGGATAGTCCAGTCGACTGCAAGTTGTAGGAGAGAATAGGTGACTTGAAGGGCAATGGGAAAGATTGTTCACATGGGTAGTCTCTGTCCAGGGGCGGACGCGTTCCTTCATATACGCGAGCGAAGCCCTTTTGCTCGATGGACATGGCGGCGGACAACATTGTCCGAGGCAGGGCAGACATGGAGTTACAGATACACCATCCATGACGAGGCGAAGAGCAATCGAGTGAGCCAGCAGACACTGTGTTACATGGTGTTGAGGATCAGGCTGGCGACTTCCTGTCGTTTAGTCCTCTTGTTGGCGCTGAGGTCAGCTCCCGAAGCTCCACAAGGCCGTCATGGGTTGTGCTAGGCAATAGCGCAAAACGACGAAGCAAATGTTTCTGGGCTTCCCGCTACTAGTTTGGTCGTCTTGTAGGGCTTCGTTCCCGACTTCGTTCCCGACTTCGTTCCCGACTTACGCCAATCACTGACCAGTCTTGCCCGGATGAAGAAGTCGAAGGTGATGAAGAAATGCGCCTGTTGACTAAACATGGACGACGATTGGCCGGGATGCGAAGCCGGGGGCCTACGCTCCCCCCTGCTGTCGTGCGGCGCCGAACCAATAATGGTTGATATCGCAGGCCGACTTCTGCATCGTGGGGGCAGCCAGGGCGCAGCTGAATGTCCCCTGCGTGCCTGCCTACAACTGAGGGTACGGGGGATGGGAAAACAAAAGCAGTAAGGGTTGCAGAGCTTTCCCCTTCTGCCGAGCTTGGAGATACGGGAAATAGCAAGCACTGTGCGAGACATTAGGCTAGTTGAGAATTAGCTGAAGTCGTTGAGTTCCTGATGAGGCCATTAACATGCGCCATTGGCCAATCATTGATGAGACGATTCGTATGCCCGGCCGCCTTCTTCTTGGTGGGTGTCATGCCAGTTGAAGGGATGACTCTGTCTCTGCCGGGATTTCGGTGAATGTATTGGCGCCAGTGGGGGAGATGAGATCGTATTTGCGTAATACTACAACTTCACCAGTATGAGTCGATCTTTGCTGAGCTTTTCAACATGTGACATTGTCGTAGATTGGCAGGGACCCATCAAGCCTGCAGCTCTTATGTCTTCACTCTCGGACGTGTTTGCCGTAATGCGTACTTCTCACGGGAGCTGCCTCGTCGACCCCGTTCAAGCCCCCGTCAATCCCGGTCGGTTAGGGCGTAGTGGTGAATGGCGGTTCCCGATTTTTGACAGAGATGCAGGGACTTGAGAACGCCTAGAATAGTTTAGCTCGGATCAGTTGGGCGTGACCACGACCGGGGCCGTTGTTGGTGAGAGGCTGAGAGCATGGTCGGCGGCGGCAACTGTGCTTACCAGCCTGTTGTGTTGCGGAAACAGCCCGGCTGCGCGAGTTACTGGTGGCACAGCGTTTTCTCGGTGTGAAGAGATATTGCAACTCTACATCAACATGCTTCGACAGCCCCGCGGGTTACTCGAGTTCGTCAGGGCCAGCCCCGAGGGTGATGTCAGCTGCTTGGCGATGGAGGTCAGCACTCTGTGCAAGCCATCCGAGCCCCATTTCTTTTCTCGTTCTGCCCTGTGTGGGGACCTACCTTAGGCGGCCAATGCGCAGTAATCCTTCAGCCGCCCACTGCTGCTGGGACCTCGGGCCCCATGTCACTGGGCGATATGTGCCGCTGGGCGGTGCAACAAAGTCCGCATTGCAAGTAACCTAAGATGAGTGGTTGCTCTCAAAGATCAAGACCAACCTGCCATGGACGTCGTCACCGAAAAAGATGCACGGGATGATCTGGTGCCCGCAATATCTGCTGCCGTGCCTCATTTCACAACACCAACCGTACCGTGCCGTGCCACCACCGAGTAATTCCACAAGACAGCAGAATGCCGACTCTTTTGATGAGACCTTTCCCCCTCAAGGGCTAGTCTATATCCCTTGAATTGCGGGGTCTGAGACACGGGATTTCGCAGCCATCGACAGGTCCTAAACGGAAAATAGAAGACGTTGTGTTGTGGCTTGTCGATGGAATTGAGCATCGAATTTCCGAGGCATCAAACAGCTTTCAGAAAAGGGGGGGAAAAAAAGGAAAAAAGGAATTAAAAAAAATTCGGTTAGCCTGGGCGAGGTGGGAAAAATTCCGAAATGCAGAAAAACTTTTGACCGGCATAGTAGCCTCGAATGTGATGTCTAACAAGTTCCTCTCTTATCCTTTCTGACCTGTGGAAGTCGGTTGAGGATTGTCAAACTGCGCTGGCAAGGCTGGGTAGCTGGGCCAGTGCGCCCTGAATGGTCCGCTAATAGTAAAGCGTTCTGGAGACCGTAGGGCTGAAATGGTGCCTGTTGCATCTGTCTTAACCCTGCTCGCGAGACGCCGAGTTCGTGGCCATATAGACCGGCTCCATGCAGTTCGGGGGAGCCGGTGCGGGATGGTGTCGTTTTATCCTGCGGTCAGCTTACATACAGCATAAGCGTGTGCACTAGGTTCCGTCGATTGCTAGAGAAAGAAGCCCATGATCGGTAGATTGGCCGCTGACAAGGAGGCCAGTGGCAGGACGGGAAGTTGAGAGTCTAAAGCAACGATACGATAAGGTATGGTGAGGTAGGTATTCGAAGTTATTTGCTCCTCACGCAGGCCGGTTGACAGTTGAGGGAGTGCAGTGCAGCGCAGCGCATGGTGCGGTGGAAGACTGGTTTCTTTAACGTTGAGCCACCTGAACGCCACCTATTGCCCAATGACGCTGGAGGTTGTCGTGGCTGGCCTCCGTCGAAGCGGTCAACGGCGTCTGGCAGGCGCCCAGAGCCTCAAGAACGTTTCGAAGGTTGGCGAAGTGTGAAAGTCCCTATTTGATTGCTACTACAGCTACCTTAGGTATATGGAAGAGCTGGTCAGTGTCAAGTAATTAACGAGTGGCGAGCAACGAATGCTTGTGGCTAAGCGGTGCTGGCCATGGCTCAGATATTGATAGTCCCACAATACAAGAAGAGTCTTTCCATTGTAAACAATTTTTTGGAAACATAGTCTGGACGACCTATTTTCATCGGACCCATGAGAGACCGTGGAAGGGAAGTCGTCCCATGGCTGCAGTGCTTGAGCGTCCAAGAGTGGAAGATGATGTCTCGAGGATGGCCCAGCTAAGCCACCTCGAACAGAGAGTGTCTGAACTGGCTACGGCTGAAGCAACACCGGCCCAATGTGCCTGCGTGTGCCTGCGTGTCCCTTGCTGGATGGTATTGCGTGCTCGTAGGTCCGACTAAGTCCGGGTCTGGTTGCGCTGAATCCTCAGAGGCAGCCTGGCGCGGACGAATGTCCAGTATGTCTGGGTCGCCAAGGCAGGTCCGGGTATGAGGCATGAAAAGGGGAATTGGGGCCGGGTTGCCAGGAATGCGGTGAGACGCGTCGACGTCGTTTGGTGCAAACCTGGGTCGAATGAGCAATGCAACTGTTCCAGAGCGGCACGTGTATCCATATGGGTATGGGACGCGAGAGGTCGGGTTTAGCTGCCGATTGTTTCTCGAGGTGTGAAGACAGGCAAATACCTTACGTCGGGTCGGGGGATAAGTCTGTCGTTGGAACATTCTGGTGATTTGCAGCTCCATTGCTTCTTTCCCTGTCCCATGTAGAATACCTAAGCGCCTGCCTGGGAACTTTGTATTCTGTGACTTGGTCATGGCGGATCAGTTTTGGGAAGGAGGATCACCCGCCCGGTGAAGTACGACGGGCGTGACGTACCTTGCGTACCATAAAGCATTAAGGTACCTTACCTTATCCCAACCACGGCATGGTTGGTCGATGCTCTCCCACAGAGAGATACCTTTCAGCTTCGACACGCAAAGGTTTCGGTCGCATCGTCAGCTACTTATGTACTTAATTACGGAAAATGAAGCGATGATGGCTGGATGAGAGAACCTTGGTGGGTTGTGGCAGTGTTAGACCAAAAGCACTTTTCCGTTAGGCACGTAAGTATAGGTATATGACTGCGATGGAGAAATTGGAGACTGGAGATTGACTTTGAGAGTCGTATCGGCTAAGGACGCTTTGAGTTTAGACTGTTGAGACTCAGGGTCCCCAATATGAGGACCGCTGTGGTCCTGAGAACGTGGACTCGGGAAGCAGGAGCCACCAGTGGAGGCTACGACCCACCCCACTTCCTAGGTATGTAAGGTAAGGTACTGGGAAGTTGGAAGTTGAAATTGGAGGCCGGGAAAGAGCACTCGAGACTGTGTGGATATATCTGGGGGAAGGCAAGAGTGGACCAGGCAGGGAGGCCCGTAGGTAGTAGGTCGGTAGGTACCTTTCCTCAGGTGTTGCCCTTAGGTTGTTATAAAGTTTCTTCCTCTGCTTCATGAAGCCTGCACGACGGAGGCAACGAGGAAAGAGACGTGAAGACAGCACGAACAGATAGGTAGGTAGGTACAAATGAGGTAGTCTGGTTGCTTCCTGCCTTCCTGCCTACCTGCCTTAACTCTGCTCTCAAGTTGCCCCTTCTTTCGATCCCTTGCACCTTAACCGTGCTTCATTGTGCCTTAATCATCCCCTCCTTCTGTTTCTGTTTTCAACGCCTGGCGGGGGGTGATCTAAGCGAGTCGTTATTTCACCGTCTCATCTTACGGATACTTACTTTCCTTGCCTACCCGAAGGCGAGGCAAGATCGTATCCGTGTTTCTTCCTCGCAATTGCAAACCCGACGAGTTACCTACGAATAGCTGGCAAGCCGCACACACGAGCTGTGCCGCATCGTATCTCTGACACCCGACCCGACGCCTCTGCGAGTCCATCCAGGCAAGGCACTCAACTCTGAACCCTAATTCCTCAAAGTCAAAGGACGTCAAATAGCAATGTCTGGACCTCGACAAGCAAACCTGAATCCTCGCCCATTTGTCCATCCACTCACCACCTTCCCTCACTCTCCAACCCTCGCTTTTCGGGCCTAGCACGCACTTCCAAACCCAACAGACAAACTCAAGCAGCCGACCTTCCAAGAGGGATCCCGATCCTGCACACCTCAAGCAGCGGCCCATTCCCTTCCTCCTTGCGGTTTACCCCCTTGTCCCTGGATAGCCTAGCGCCACCTGTTAATAAACAACTTGACGCCAAGCTCGCCAAGCTCGCCAAGCTCCCGCCAGCTGTGCCTTCTGGCGGCCTTTTGCCGCCAAACCCAATCTCGAGCCGAGGCCTATTGTGTAGACGGCAGGGCTATCGTGGTTTTTCCCACCCTCACCTTTTCCCTCATCCGTACGGATACTGCCCACCTTGTTCCCTGTCTTGCATTGTTCGCTTCCATTTGTGCCTCGTCGCTGGATCGTCGGTCCTTCTCGGTTCGTCCTCGGTCGTACGTTGCTTCGAAACTCTGCCTCGAGCCACGTCTACTGTGACATCCGACGCCTCACACAACCCGCCGTCGATCGAGTCCACGTTCAACAGCCAGCCCGCGCGCAATAGATCAAGGCGGCAACGACAGCACATCCTGCACACGCGTATTCATTGGGCCAGCAGCAACCCCGAAAACTCCTCTTCAAAGGGATGCCATAGCCATCACCACCATCATCGCCATGATCCCCCTCGTCGTTCGTTCCCTCCGGGGAGCTGTCGCCCGCATCTCCCCGAGTGCATACTCCTACTCCCCTCTGAGTAACGTCAACTCCCATTCCGAACCCTCATCGCCCGGCGGCTCGACCCCTCCCCCACAAGCCAGGTCCCTCCTCGCGAAATTGACGGCTATCCTCTTTTTCCTCCTGCCCTCCTTCGTCCAGCGCCGACTCCGACCCAACGACTTCAAGCACCGGCGCTTATACCCCACCTCGTGGCTAGATGGTCTGCGCGGTGTCGCATCACTGATTGTCTTCTTCTGCCACTTCACCGAGAAACACGTCGGCTGGTTCACCGCGAGGGCATACGGAATTCCCGACGAGAACGATCATGTTGCTTCCTCCCCGCTGCAATTGCCCTTCATCCGCGTCATCTATAGTGGTCGGCCCATGGTCCACATCTTCTTCATCATCTCGGGCTTCGTTCTGTCTCTCAAGTCGTTAAAGCAGGCAAGGAAACACGACTACGATGGACTGCATCGCACCTTGTCTAGCAGCATCTTCCGCCGTGGCTTCCGCTTGTTTCTGCCCACCACTGTGTCTACCTTTATGATCCTCGTCATGATCCGCCTGGGGTGGACGGGACAGCCCTTGCCCACACTCTGGGAGCAGCTGGTGGACTGGAAGAACGCAGTATGGAGAATCACCTTCAGCTGGCAGTGGGATATTACCCAAATTCTGCCCTATGATGTCCATCTTTGGACAATCCCCATCGAGTTCTCCCACTCGCTGCTTCTATTCGTCGTTCTGACTGGTGTGAGCCGCATGAAGACGTACTTGCGCCTCGCTTCAGTTTTTTTCATCATGATCTACTGCCTCAAATGCGGCCACTGGGCCGGCTTCGAGTTCCTTGGTGGCATGTTTCTTGCCGAGATCGGTCTGATTGAGGAAGCTCGTCAGGAGCGAAAGGCGGCGGCTATACAGAACAAGGAGGCATCTGACATGGAAGCTTCCGCTGTGTTGGACTCGCCTTCTAGCTCCCTAGCTGTACGCGTCTTCAAGACATTCCTCGTTGGCAACTTGGTCTTTGCCTTGTTTGTGGCCGGTTGGCCGAACCAAAAGGCCGACATCACGCTGGGAATGTCCCCGCTCTGGCACAACACGATGGAGCCCTTCTTCACCATGGGCGGTGACCTCGTCTCCTTCCCCTGGTACGCCCTTGGCGCATTTCAAATCGTTGTCGCCTTGCAACACATCCAAATATTGCAGAACCTGTTCGTGACGCCACTAGCGCAGTACCTCGCAGACATCAGCTACGCGCTCTACCTTGTCCACGGACCCGTACTCGACGTCTTTTCGCATCGCTGGATGCCGTATATTTGGGCACTTGTTGGTGGTAGGGACGAGACTGGCATGATTGGGCGTCTCGTGGCGTGGATCCTCGGCGTGGTCTTGCTTGGTGTACCAACGGTCTGGGGTAGCGACGTCTTCTGGAGAACCGTCGATGTCAAGAGCGTAGAGCTGGCACGCTGGATCGAGGGTCTCTGCACGCGAGACGCGTCGAATTAACCATCCATGCGGCGGGCGACATCGGACGTGATAGCGTACGTGGGATATCGGCGTTGGAGGCGTTGTATAGTGTGATTGGGTGTATCGTTGGTTTCGAGTACACCTAGAGACAAATTGACATTCAAGTAAATACTCTCGCACAGCGCTCAGTCATTGGGTCTCGAATTTGTTTCTCTGTGAAGCAGAAGGAAGTGAAGGAAGTACGGGTTGGGCCTTGGTTAGCGCGTGCCTCTTGATGTGGCGCATTTGGATTGACAGGTCGTACAAATCCAACGTAAGTAAGATGGCTTAAAAAACAAAAGTAAGATGAGACGCAAGCCTGATCAGCTTTGGCGACACAAAAGGAGGGAGAGGCCAGTCTTAAGACTGAGGCACATTGGAGATCAAAGAGAACAGCCCAACTACCTATGGGTAACCAGGAAGATTGGCCACTTGGGACGGGATAGTGATTGACGATCCGGCCGTCCCGACACGGTGGCTTCATTGGACCCGTGAGCCACTAGGCCATTCCACACGCCCCCTATGCCCTTGCCAAGACCCAGAAAATACGTTGCAATGGCGTCGATAAGAGCAGGTTTGATGGAATTGATGGGATGGGGACGGACGAGTTCGGCCTGGCTGCGATGATGTAATCAGGGCAATGAACGGGTAAGCCTTTGGTTGGTGAAACGGGAGAGAATATCTAGTGAAAATACTAGTAGACGCTTAGGTTGATCGAAAAACCGTAGGGGCTCTACGGAACTGCGGCGTGGCTCAAGACGCCGGTGCACTCGTGCCGAGATGCCATTAACTTCCTCCTACCTCTGGGGCGGATAAGAACGCCCGGAAGTGAAGCATGGCTGTGCTGTCAGTACGCCCACCCATCAGCGTTTCTCCCTCGTGGAGGGCACTCTCCTTTTCCGCCGGACCAATCGCGCTACTACGCATATGCTGCTACTCAGCAACAAACTATAGGTACTTGGGTATATGTCCCCTTGCGATGGACTGCCATCGGTGGCTGATAATCCGGTACGTCCCGGGAGATTTGACAGTGCTGCGACGGGGTCTGTGGGTTTCCGGAGGTGGAGGAGGGGGGAATATCGGGGGCCGTCCGTTGTGTTTCGATTGAATCCACGGTGCCTGCGCCGGTGTGCCAAGGAATATCTGCCGTGTACCTAGGCGGGGGGATGGTTGTCGGTGTCCTGATTGTGTTCTGGCATTCACCTCGGCTTGGGGGTACCAATCTTCTCTAATGAGCACCGGATGTTGAAGGGCTCTATCTCCAAACTCCGGGCTGACTGAGGCGATCCCTGGCTACTCCCGTACTTTTCATTGGAAAATCATATGCGCCACGTCCGTCACGAGTACACAAATCTATCGGCGATAGACGATTTGAAAAATTGAATGTACGATGGAAGACAGGTCATAGGTCCTCCGTCACCTAACGCCGATGGGACAGTTTGCCGCAATTCTTGATACAAATGGACACCAAAGAAGTAGTGCCATTCCGCGCTGCATAGCCAGGGGCTCATTGGCTTATGGCTATCTCTTGGCAAGAACGGGAAGCAACCAAGCTGCAGCTTCCTGATTTCGTCCTGTGGAAAGCACTTCTTTGCTTTCGGCTCCCACTCGTGTCGTGCGCTTGGGGTTTGGAGTTAAGAGGCTTCTTATGTGCGGCTGCAGATGATGGCGTCGGTGGTTGTTGTGCTTGCCAAAGGATGGTGACCAGTTCTTGACCAGGAGTCAGACGGGAAATGTAAATGACCTCAGGCTTGTTTCTATTAACTTTCTATAAAGACGAACCGTCATCCAGTCTACAAGGAGTACTGCTCACTACGGACTTTCGACGGCTTTCTGATAATTTGTGCAAACACCTAAGTCTGAACAGTCGCGTTTACCAATAATCCCCCCAGAAAACCCCCCAAAGAAGCAAGCATGGCACCCACACGAGGCCGCCAAACAACGGGCACCGAGCTCGTCGCCGAGTACGCCTCACACATTGCCGGTAAGACAATTCTCGTGACCGGCGTCTCCCCCGGCGGCCTTGGCGCAGCATTTGCCCAAGCAGTCGCTGCCGGCTCTCCGGCCCTCCTCTTACTCGCGGGCCGCAACACCGCCAAGGTCCAACAAACCGCCGACGCCATTACGTCATCTCACCCGTCTGTTGCTGTGAGGGCGCTTGAGCTGGACCTGGGCTCGTTCAAGAGCGTACGCGAGGCGGCGGAGACGGTGAATGGGTGGGACAATGTGCCTCATATCGATGTGTTGGTAAATAACGCGGGCATCATGGCTACGGAGTGGAGCAAGACGGAGGATGGCTTCGAGAGCCAGTTTGGGACGAATCACCTGGGTCCATTTCTCTTCACAAACTTGATCATGAATAAGGTACTCGCGGCGCAGGAGGCGAGGATCGTGACTGTCAGCAGCGACGGGCACCGACTAAGCCATATTCGTTGGACGGATTACAACTTCAATGTGAGTATTCCCGTTCTTTAGATTGTAGCTGCAGATCCTGATTCTGGAGTTGCAACACAGGACGGCAAACACTATAACCGCTGGATCGCTTACGGCCAATCCAAGACGGCCAACTGCCTAATGGCTCTCTCACTCGCGGAGAAGCTGGCCAGCAAGGGTCTCTTGAGCGTCAGTCTGCACCCGGGTGTCATCTTTACCAATTTGGCGAACCATTTGGAAGGCTTTGATTCATTGCGTAAGTGAAGCACTCGTGGGAGCAGGGGTCCCAAGAGACACACGACTGACGGCAGTGCAAACAGGAGAGCAAGAGATCACGATGGGGACCAAGTTCATGTGGACAGATTTTGACCCAAAGACAGAAGATCAGGGTATCGCTACCCATGTGTACGCGGCGTTCAGTCCGGATATCAAGGGTGAGTCAACTAGCGAAGCTTCTGAGTCGGATAAAGATACCGGGATCTAATGCTGCATAGGTTTAAACGGACAGTACTTTAACGACTGCCGCGTTGCAGACCAGTATGAGGAGGAGATCTACCCCTGGGCGAACAACAAGATTGAGGCGGATAAGTTGTGGAAATTGAGCGAGAAGCTTGTTGGCCAGGAGTTCAACTATTGATTACCGAGGTAGTTTCAGGATCAGAGACCCCCTTCCACAAGAGGTTCACCTCTGGGGATTCAGCTTGAGTTGGTTCCCGAGATGCGCGAAGACATGACCTGTCGTTTCTGCTGGGCGCCTGATAGGGCCAACCTCCATGGGCACGCGAGGTCCAGCAACTAGAACCTCTAACAAGAGCGTTCTCAATTCACCGTTGCGCTGTCGTATCATTCATATGTTCAGATCTTACATGGATATCGACTTTCTCTCTCTCTAATTTTCTACTCTAGCGTTCAAGGTGTTGTGGGAATGACATCACTTGGCTCGGGAGGTGCTGTATAATCGCCAGGGAGGGTATCGACGGGAGGAGCCTGTTCTCAAATGTCAGCAGTCATCCGTGTGAGGCAAATCAGTACAACAACTTCTACTCACCTGAAGCTTCTCCGCCCATTCTTGTATCGCTCCGTAGTTCTTGCACATATGTTTGGTATTGAAGTCAGGAAAAGGAGCCGGGGGATCGCTGGCCCAGACCTGGCCCAGAACACCGGTATCGACGTTGCAGACCAGGACCTGCCTGATGGTGTCTAGACAATGTGCTTCCGAGGGGTCAGCCGTTATTGTACATCTCGCAAGGATAGTTGCCACGTACAGACGTGAAGACGCACAATGTGCTCCTCGTTGGCAAAGGCATGAGTGCCCATCTTCTTATAGTAGTCATAGTTGTAATAGAGGGATTTCCGAACCAGGTTCTGCATCAAACATCAGCATTAAGCGAGCAGTGCCGAGTCCACGTCGTTGACATACCAAACAGTGAAGGTGGTGCATTCCCTCGACGTTGACAAAGAAGCCCGCGCCGTACTTTTCTGATCTCCTCACAAAAGACATGTCCAGGCCGCTCCTCAACCCATCTTCAATTGAGATGACTCCGGCGCGGTCTGCAGATTGTGAGCCACGAGGCAAGAAAACATGGCCTGGAATGTTACTCACAGTCCACGCCCATCGACTCCCACGCTGCATCAACCTCTGGTGAAGCTTGTTTCCTAAATATGTCTTCCTGTAAAAATGATCCGTTGAAGTGCTTCCAGTCGTATTTGACATCCACGTCTTTTAATACAGGCGACCATTGCGTTGTGTGAGCAGCACAGGCGCCATCCAGGTCCGCCATGTCCGAAGCCATGTGGGCACCCATGCGCATAGAGATGAGGTTTGAGACGATGTAGACCGCTGCCGCGGCTGCGATCCTCCAGCCTCGTCTTCGCTGTCTTCCATGTTCCCTTACGTCCGGAGCTGATGACAGGGACTCAAGATCCTCTTCGGATTCGTCCACCCGATCAGCGAGCGGTTTCGAGTGGGGCTCGTCGTCTTTTTCATGCATCATGGTTGCGAAGAAATGGATATCGAATTGGCTCACGCCTAGCAGGGAGAATAGTGAAAGGAGAGAAACCAAAGAATTGCCAGAAACATTTCGGACGAGGTTGAAAGAGGGGAAGAATCTTGAGTGATCGTGATCCAAGGGAACCTCGGTCGAGGGAGCAACGGGCAAGACGGAATGCCTAACGACTCTTGTCTGACATGAGGAATGCTCGCTAGCCTTCCAAGCATGGCTCACACATGTCCATGTAACTAACAACGATGAGGCGTCTATATTGTGGTGCGCCGTCAAGGTTGCCACGCGAATTCCGAAAGCAGCTGGAATGCTCAAAACTCAAATCTCCCGCTAATAAACCCACGACACCCACCCGTCACGACCTAGATACCAGATTGGCATCAGAACACAGCATCCGTGGCAGGAATGTCGCCTTCGATAGCCTGGCTGCAGCTGATCCGCCGGCGCATGCGGCTGATTGTTGCGAAGAGAGTCAGCGTGGCAGAGCGATGGGAATTGCTGCTTCCCTCGCTGGCATCCTGGCACCTCGCGCTTTGCCAAGCCTGGGAAACTCGGCACGAGGTCTTCTCAGTCCCAAAAAAGAACGGGAAAACTAGAGGCAATCGATGGATCGCCGTCTCTAGCGTGATGGATGTCTCGCTTGTCGACTGGTAGACTGGTGGTTTGCAGCTTTGATGCCTGCGGGCACCAATCGCAAAGTTTCCGTGCCTTTCCCCCGTGGCCTGACGTGATGCCAGATGGACGGTCTGGGGTAGTAAGATCTCGTATCTGTGGGAAGCTGACCAGTCTACAATGTCGCCAGTCGCCGTATATGTCGAGGGACTTTTGGAGCTTCGTATTGAGAATCATTCTGAGAAGGTAGTTCTCACGCACGCAATTGCACAATCTGCTAGGATCTGGTGTGATCCCTTTGGTGTGACGTGGGAGAACTCCCAAATCGTCGAATGCTCCTTTCAAGCCCAACCGAGCTCGTGGTGGATCGTCGCCATTGCTCTTCCGAAGACCCCAAATCTCGTCTCTGGCCCTCACATGGCCTGACTTCATTTCTATCAACGCTAGATGTTACCCACACTGTAGGATCCCAGCCCACGAAGCCACCGGTACATGCTGCCGTCGCAAGCACACTGGCTCGAACTGACCAGGATCCTTGCCGTCAGGATAAACGTGAGAAGGAGGGGAGTTTAGCGGCCCTTGTCGGGACCTTGCCGAGAGACCTTCGTGTGCCGAAGAAGCATGGACTCCTGCATGGTTGTGTTGACTCATGAATCTGCATGAGGTAGCGGGATGGGAAAGTTAAGGATTACAGTAAAAAGACGACCTCGCACCACAAACCCACCACGGCCACTCCCAGCTATCCACGCTGCCATGTCTTGAAGCCACCCACACACCCAAGCTTCGACATCAGTCGCTAAAATAGCATGGACTGCAGGGCAGGGGCTGACACTAACGCAACCGCTTGTCCCGTAGCCAATTCCGTGTTAGTAGGGCTGATCGCCGTCAGTGTGCAGAATTAGAGGATGCCCCCCCCCACCAGAGACTTCACTTCGGAGTTTGCTCAACTTGGATTCAGGCTATTCCATTCTGGGTTTCCAGCGTGCTTGATTTCACATATCACGATTTTCATCAATGTCAGACACTTTCCTCAGACACTGCTGATTCAGCCCAGTAACCGTGAGGACGGTTCCACTCGTGTTACCATCCGCGATTGTGTCAGTCACCGGTATCTTAGAAGTCGGCCCGGATCGGATTTTGTTGTAGCTCACATTTTGGGTTCTGTGACTGGGTGACAAGACATGTTTTGCAATTCAAACCTGGAATACGAAGTGCTCACATCTAGGGCTTGATTCTGGTTCAATTTTCAGCAGTGGCAGTCAACCTGATCTTGAATGCATAGACGAGGCTTGACTGACAGCCCACTACGACCTTTCGGAGCTCCCTTGCCCGTCATGACACCCATATGCAAAGATTTCTGCACCATCTACACCATCAAGGATGCAGGAATACGAGGATGATCTCTTAGCCGAGTCCTATCTAAGCCCTCTAAGCCATGCGAGTCCCCCTTTTAGCGTAGTATACGCATCGCCCGATGGCTTCGAGACATCGTGAAGCTACTCTTTACATCCTGCGGCCGTTCCGGACGCATCCGGATCGTCTTGTGACGCCATTCACGACACATTCAACCGCTCACACTGTAATCTATCTTGTAAGTCTCCGCATCAAAGGTACACGCACGCTTTCAGAGGCATCACTTTTCCCACTTTTGCGAGCTCTCAACTCAAGGGCTCCCTTGCAGTCGTTCGCTTTAGCTCGGAGACCCTTCGTTCAACAAGGGCGAACGCCATCTCAACGATTCCGAGGTCATCAGCACGATGCCAGATGCGGTGTATCTCCTCATCATTTGGGCTCAAGGGTGGCCGGCGCAGTAATCATGACAAGGTACCAGATTGCAACATCGTCCGCTTCTTCTATCTGAGCTTGGCTCTTCCATAAGTATTGCCCATGCTCCTACCATTACTCTCAAAATCCCTCTCGTCCTCAACGCACATCGAATAATCATCTCACATAATCAAGTCTTCAGGCCAGAGGCAATTCAACCAGTCAATCCACTTAATTCACATACTTCTCTTCTTCATCACTCGCAAATATGAAGGTATCCGCCATTATCATGATCACCGCGGCTTCGGCTGCCCTCGCCGCTCCTGTTGCGGAGGCCAATCCCGAGGCTGCTCCCGCCCCTCAAGCCACCTCAGGCTACACCAACTACGGAAAGTATGACTACAGCCAGTATGGAAGCTACGGCAGCTATCCGGCCCCACCGGTGTCGAGCCCGAGCCCGAGCCCGAGCCCGAGCCCGGTTCCTCAGACGTACAGTGCTTACGGCACTTACACCGGCTACAAGCGCGCTACCGACTGGGTCAAGAGCTGGTTCGAGTAAAGGTCACATAACTTTCGCAATGCGCAATAGTCACATTCCCTAAGCGCAATCCACCAACCTATACATTCTCTCTCACCATCTACTTGGACACGATGCTGGATTGGCCACTTGCAGAGCCTGGAACTTGACGACTATGATAATACAATCCGGGAGATGGTCAGAAGATGCAACTAAAAGGCATGGGACTTTAATCATAATATAGAGTCCATGTATAGTGCAGTCAACGAAATAAACCGTGTGTCATGAATCTAGCCATTGATATTCCCACATGAATGATAATATGACAGTTCATCACATTGGTACATTCTGTTACAACTGTTTGACAGTACTCACAGCCATCAACGGATTTCGGTTCTATCCAAGGGAGCTTCTAGATGTTTCTATTGGTTCGTAGTGGAACCGATGTTGAACGTATTTGCCGTCTGTCTTTTGAAAGACAACGCGGTTCATTGCCTCTAATTTCATATTTTCAAATCTCTTTGCCAGAGTTTTAGCTCCAATGATGGCCTTATAAGCAGTGATCTTTTCGGAATATCATTACTAGTTATAATATAAAGTCCTGGCTAAATTGAAGAAGAACATACTGATGCGTATTAATATAGTTTTCAGGCGCAATATAGAAAACACTTTGCAGCAGGAAGGTTTCATCCACCCCACAAACTCTTTGCATGACTGCTTCATTTTCTTAACTTGATATCTACCTGGGCACACACACGACTCCTTCGATGTTTTGTCATTCAGTAAAACAGCCATAAGATCTTCTTCTCTGTACTTCTTGGACGTCATAGCTCAATCCTTTGCAAGAATTATTTGAAATCCGAAACCACAGCAAAAAATTATACCAGCAAGTACAACGAGCAGAAACAAGTAGCAGGAATTCAAACCGATACGGCATGACTGATCATACGTACTTGAAGTATTGATCGCTATTGCTACGATCTCTATTCCCTTGATTCTGAGTGCTTTTGTACCTTGCAGTCTGCTGAAACTTTTGGGGAGTTATGGTAGCTCTGCTCTGACCAAACATACATCTAAAATTTTTGCCTCATTCTTGACTAAGACCAGATTTTTCATTTTTATCTCAAGCCCTCAATGGAATTATAAGGCCTAAAACATCAGTCTCGTTTGTCATCGATCCGGCTGGGAGTTGGAAATGTATGACTTCCAAAGACTGCTCAATTTGAACGGCATTACTTCAAATATGTACCATAGTGTTGAATCGAGAACCATTGTCTAAACAAAGTGTACAGGCTCAGGCCTTTATACCGGTTGAAAATGAGAATCTCTCGAGCTGAAAGCCCTGTCGTCTTTCGTCAGAAGCAAGATAATGATAATTATTGTCTTGCCATTCCGATGGGGTCTCAGCACGCTGGAAAGCTTACTTGCGTGAACTTGAGTCAGAACTTCGATTACTCTTGCATAGGGGATGAAAGTAAGATACAAATACTTGTATTGTATTGTGGTATGCTGAGACGTATCTTGTAACCTCCGAGATATGATGCCCGCGGAAAAAGTTGAAATGGATGATGGCTCATAGGCTGAGAAACTTGAGGTTAAACCCCTTTCACATTATTGATTTGATAAACCTCAGTGGTAGCAGAGATGGTGCTGTACTATAATCAATAGTTAACAGGAACAAAAGTGAACATTTAGTGTGCGGTTTTCTCACTTTCTGTGACTGCTTTCATTCAAAAAGTACTTCCGGGTATGTAACATGTAGGATGTAGACAGAAACTGTGGTCGATGAGACTTTTCCAAGACATAAACAAGCATCTTGTAACCATATAAACATCGCTGCAATCATACAGGACAAAAGCCCATTCCCATTCGTAGCATGAAGACACACTTTATTCAAAATTACAGTGGCCGATGGTACTAGTACTTGGACAAGGAATGAACAAAGAGCCGAGTTTGAAGTTTCAAAGACCTCAGCCAAGATCAATTTAATTCGTGAGAGGGGTAATGAAGCTTAGATCCGAATATCTCTTAGTGTGATTATGGTAGTCATCATCAATTTTGTGTATATATGCGCTTACACATCCTCGACTAGGAACCCTGTATTTAGTGTTGACTTCCACTACTTGGCATGAGTTCGTAGTCCGATGCTGAAGGCTACTTAAACGATATATCTAGAAGCTGTAGCAAGTTGTGAATAAAGCATTGTACCACAAAGTGAACAGAACCTGACAAAATTATTCAACTTGCAAATCACTGGTGTAAATCACTGGGACAACAGTGAATCTGGCGATAACTTCATATCAGACTCACACTGCTTGGAACGGTTCAGGCAGCCTCCTAGTAGCATCATATATCCACCTCATCAGGCTCAGGAATCGAACGATACCGAATGTCCAATCAAGTGTAATGAAGAATCGCAGTGTTAAACTCAATAATGCACAGCTGCTATGTCGCAGCCATGAGCGCCGCGTCTCACAAGTTGCCACAAGCTAGCCAGGTATCCATCATCATGCAGACCCCCCACCCCCTTTGAGAACAGACCCATTCCACGATTCTCCCAGAAAATGCTTCGAAGTTTTCCCAAAGCCGGCGGCGTCGTACCGGTGTAAGCCCATGGTGTCATGCAAGGGGGCGAACAAACCCGTATTACACATCTGCAACAAGGGGGGAGGCAGAGAGGGGCAAATCTCTTAGTGTGCAAACACTTCAGCAGTCTTCAGATTTTTCGAGAAAATAAAGAGGCTGGGAATTCTTCCGTCCCTGATCCAAACGTGGTTTGGCATTCTCCCAGCCTCCTTGTTTTCGTCCCTCCTATCAATGTGCAGCCCATCGGCCGAGATGTTGTCTGAAACGCCGACGTCCCTGCACGTCGCCCGCTAGCATCGGAAGCGAAGTGCCCCACCATGGATCTGTTTGCCCGCCGGGGGATTCAGCGACTGCGGCGCATCGGGCATTGATGATGATGCAGAGACAAAGGCAACAGCAAGGAAATGCCAGAGGGATACAAGAGAGAAGAAGTTGGTTTTGAAATTGTGTTACCCAGACCCAACCACCGCAATTACACGTTGGAGAAGATTCCTCAGTCTACTAAGTAAGTAGCGCTATGCCATACGATGCCGCTCCCGGCCGTTGGGTGACATGCTGATGAACATGTCTCATCGCAATGCACACAATAAGACGAGCTGTGTCTCATTACGTCTCTTAATGATACGGATGATGATCTTTGATGAGTTGGAAGAACAATGGCTGTCTCAAAGTGTGCCAAAAGGAAAAAAAAAGAAAGAAAAAAGGACTGGCGAACTACGACTGCGCCATCACTCGGCGCGCTGCGGCGCCAACGACAGCATGGCACCAGTGACTAGATGATTGCTTTTGGTGGAGCGTTTCACCGGATTGCTGTATTCTGGAAGGAATGTCGACCTGCAGCAGCCGAAACACATGATGAGAATCAATCTTTGATGCAGAGCCCCGAGGAGCGGTGGCGACTCAATGACCAGCCTTCTCTGCTCGCCCAGGCTGGCGAGGCGCAAGAAGCGAAGAACAGCTTCGGCGAAAGGCCTTCAAGCAAGGGCAGCTTGCATTGCCTAGGACGTATCCGCGTCCGGGGCTTGCATGTCACAGGCAACATATCTGTTATTAGTGCGGGGAAGCGCTGCAAAGAGGTTGGTTGGTGATTGTGAATTAGGGTTGAAGACGTGGCTCAATCAGCACGTCGTCTTCTTGTACGTGCATGCATGAACTACATTGGCGAGGGCAGAGACGCTTGCCAATCATATCCAAAAGTGCCACGGGCTGTCTGGGAGAGACCTGTAGGACGATTATGCTGAATGAGCACTCTCGTCATAGTACTTGTTCACACGAGTTCAGTAAGCGCTGGTGGATGTTTTGCGTCAGATTATGCGAGGCACATGGGAGAGCCTGCTGGACCAAGTAGTCGGGCCCTGCAATTCCTCCATGATGTGGAATTTGAAAACATTACCCGGACGAGGGAACTTTACTTCAAAACAAAAGCGACTGTGACCACACGTTGTGTTTGACGTGGCGATGTTGGGGCCCTGATGCTTTATCCTGGTGCAATCTTCTCACCAAGTACGCCAATGGGTAGCGAGGGAGGCCCGGAGGATGTGTGGCCAACAAGACAAAAATGACACTCTGACTGAACCGACGAACTGAAGCTCTAGGATAATGGCCGTGGTCCGGCCAAAACCTGGAAGACGGCGGACGAAGAGAGATATTCCCAGTCAGTGGCGAAGGTGGCCAAAGACTGCCGTCACCTCTATGATGTAGGACCAGTGAGTGATGTATTCGTACGCAGGTGGAGGGGGTTGAGGTGCATTATAGGGCGACACTTGGGATGATGGGACGTTCAGAAGCGCGGAGGCCCGCAAAGTAGGAGACCTGGACCACGGGTGAGGTTAGCAGGCCGTGATGGGAGACCTGGCGTGCCATTCTCGCGGATCTGCGGGCAGCTGTCAAGTCCGATATAAGAGGGGCCGTTGAACAAGACTATCGATGAGGTATGAGGTCACTCGTCAAATAAGTGGTCTGCAAACTGGAGATTGAAGGTCCCGATACGAGGTTTGGCAGAGTGGCAGAGCAGAGCAGAGGGTAAACCCCTGCATCGGAAGGGCCGCACTGTCTGAGTGAGGGCGGCTAAGCCAACGACGGCGGGGGACTAGACTGGCGGCGGCCAAAACTGTTTGATGGCGAGCTGAGATGGAGAGAGAACAGGGATCAAACATATTGCAAGCTTGTGCTTTGACAATGGTAGGATATGGTTTGCGAGAGTAGCGATTCCTGTTCATTCAAGGGAAGAAGCATGAATGGATTAAATGTACGTGTGCGGTGGGTTGCGGGAGCTTTGGTCGGTAGTTCAACAGTGCCCAGTGCCCACGTCAAGGTTGAAGTCCACGGAACGAGTGAGATGAATGTGATGGCGGTAAGACCTGGTACCCACCTAAGCAAGGTAAGGTAAAGATATCCGTAGCCAAGATGATCTGCTGAATGAGTTGCAGCCTGCAGAGACGTGAGAGTCGAGAGAATGCGATTATACGTACGGATACATGGATGGGCAACTATCATTTCGGGGCGCGGGTGCCCACTTGCACTGCCGACGGATGCGAGGATGCAATCATGCAAGGGAGCCCTGGCTCGCAGTGATACCTACCTAGGTGATCATCAATTTACAGGTATATGGACGGGTAGGGCAGATTCGCGCGAACGTCTCTTACTCTCCCTTGAATTCACCATCCAAGTAGCGCTCTTTCCGGTTGGTATCCGTAATGCTGAGGGAGACGGTAAAGTAAGCACGGTAAGGTACCTAAGGCAAGGTAAGGTGCCTTGAGCTGGGAAGGCAGCCCCATTCAGGTCGCTTGCCCACATATATCTTAGGTACCTCACCTACCCTTACCAGGGAAGGTAGGTACCTACGTAAGGTAGTAAGGTAGGTCGAGGTGGGAAGGCGTCGTTCGCTAAGGCAATGTGGGTAAGGTAGGTCGTCGCAGCTCGTGGCCCCGCTTATTCGTCGACGCGTTTAATTGGCCATGCTTCGCGGTAGAGAGAAGTTGTATTCTGGTCGAGGTGCACGGTGCACGGTGCACCTGGCCACTGCTGCCTTTCTTCTTGTTCGCGCCAACCAATCAAATGGGCCAAACAGCCTGTCGCATGAACGTCGCTTTCCCGTGGACCCACCTTTCCGACGAGTCTCTCTTTCCACCTCGCCTCAGACGGGATTTTACGTGTGTCGATATTTCCTGCTCCACTCACAGCTGGCCCGCCGGGGCAGGGAAGGCACCGACTTTCCCTGATTGATCCCAGTATGATTAGATGTGTCTCTCACCTGCATTGGCCCATCTCGACACGTCAGGAATACGACGTCTCCATTGGCCTTGTCACGGAACTCTCGCGTTTTACCACGTCGCTCTCTGTCTCTCTCGGGCTGGCGCTTCCAGTCCCTGTCTACCCATCCGCATACCTACCATTGTACAGGCTGTCCGTGCAGGCTAGGTAAGGTACTCAACACGTCAAGTTCAGCGTTTGACTCCCGGAACCGCCCAATCTCGCACCGGCACACTGCTGAATGCGCCGTCGCCGAGCCCGTCTCCCACCCGTCTCCCACCCGTCGTCTCTCATCCGTCGAGGCTTGAGCCTGACATCTTCATTCGACCTAAACTGTTCAGCTTGCAACTGGCTGATCAATCTACTCTGTCCCGTCCCCCCATCCCACCCACGGTCCTATGTGTCCGTACTCTGCCCGGCATCCCTCGCACACCCCCTTGCGGCCTTGCCCTGGCACACCATCTTCCACGTCCATGATCCATCTCCGTCTCCATCGGCAGAGAACCAACTCACTCCACCCAGACGCCAGACCGTGTTTGCTTTACGCTCGTCCGCGTCTCTTTTAGAGCAAGGTACCCGTCATCCCTAGCCCGCCCTATTCTTTCCACTCACGCGAATCCCGTCAAACAAGTATCTTTCTCCAACTGCTGACAAGTCGCCTAGACGTCCTTACAGCAGTAGACTCCTCTCACACCCGTTATTCTCGACATACCGTACCGTCGCTTGCTTCTCTGGGCTGGGCACTGAGTGCACTGCCTGTCTCTGCTCCTCACGCAGTAGCGCAACTCAGCTTCAAACCACTTTTTTGGCCCCAGGGCCTTGCATCGAGCGACCAACGCCGCCTGCTACCATCTCCATCGGCACCCATCCAACAAGACACCGCCAAACCACTCGTCGACACACTCGGCCCAAACCCAGGCCTTACACGCCCTTCTCTATTCCACCCCCGGTTCCGTGCGCGTGCCCTCTCTTCCTCTCCGCGTCTCTCTCCCGCTCTCTCGACCGCATCTCAATCTCAGTCCCTATCTTACCTATACTGATCCCTGCTCCCTGCTCCCTACCGACTCTCGCCTCTCTCGCCCTCTTTTCACCCTCTATTCCCCCCCTTCCGCCCCACGCCAGCTCGTCGGTTCCGTTTCGGTCACTCTCTTCCTGCAACCAACTCGCTCGATTCCTCTGCGCGCAAGAGAACAACAAATAAACAACAAATAGACGCACTCACTACTCTCTCTCCTAACCCCTCTACTGCCGCCCGCAGAGCTCCAACATTGTCGAGTCTGTCTGGCACCGACCTGCTTCCCCAGGGAACCTATCGAAGACGGGACGCCGTAATTACTCCCGAGTCCCCATTCTTCACGAATCGAGCCGACTGTTGATCGCAGAGCAACCGGGACCCAGGGTCTCAACTGAGAGCCGCTGGCTGGGTTGCTCGTATTCCCGAAGCACCGCTCCGCATCGCACTGCGGAACCCCAACACCTCGCACATCCACTCGCCTCGTTGCGCGCACAACCGCTTCGATCCACACACGATGGCATCCATTTCCCGTCAACCATTTGCCCCCTTAGACGGCACCCGACTGCAGAATCTGACGAGCATTAAGAATAGACAGAATGGTATGTTTGATCACTTCACGACCAAACACGCCCATTCCGTTCCCAATAATTATCTTATTCTCTCGTTTTGTATTTGCGATACCGCGGGCGCTGCGGGTGGCTCTCAATGAGATTCACCCGTCATACTGCTAGAATGCGCCGTAGCCCCCAACTTGAGCACCAGCCTCAGAAACTATCCAAATCACTCGTAATATCGACCGCTAACTAGTTCAGCAGCTGTTTCGTCCACTGCTGGCGGCAAGCGCAAAGCCTCAGACAGTGTAGAGCCCGATGACTTCGAAAACGTCGACCCGTTTGTCTTTTCCAAGCGATCTAAGAGTTCCGACACCTTCTACCCGTCCAAGGATGTCCTCAAGCCTTCGTCCTTTATCCTCACCAAGGCCGCGCCCCTCGCCGCAAGTCCCCTGTTGAACTCCTCGAGGCCTACCCTTCCTCGCCCTCGCAGTCTTCTCCAGCCAAAATCACCGTCAGCCAAGATCAACACGGCTATCGCAAAGTCCTCCCCACTCTCGGCTCCAGCTGGCCGTTCGCCGACTCGCGGTAAGCGATCTGGTATTCTCTCAAACCGTCGCCGAACCGCTGGTCCCTACACGCGCGTAGACCCGCCTGCCTTCAACCTGCCTTCATCCGCCTCAGCCCCATTCAGCCTCGATGCTGCCCTCAAGGGTACTATCCCGAGCTATGCCGCCCGTGCTACCGTAACCACATCCTCGCGGAATACGGTCAAGGATCTCGACGAGCCTGATCTTAAGGCATCTTGGTTCTTCGACATCCATGAAGACACGCCAGAGCAAGAAATGACCAACATGTTGCAGCATGGCACTTGCGTTCTTGACATCAGCTCCGACGAAGAAAGTGAGCGCAAGGCCAGCAGAGACCGCGCAGAGGGTCGCGACAAGGAGAATGTACCACCTGTCGATGATGTGAGCCAGACATCTGCACGGCGCTCGGCTCGTCATACCAGTGAAGATGACATGATTTTTGAGAAAGAGAGGATAGCTTTGGGCGAGATGGATGCAAGCGAGTTCTATGCCTTTGGTTGCGATGAATCATCCGTCATCATCGTCCCCGCCGATGATGATGACGAAGAGCGCGATGCGGCCCCTCAAGCCGCCGTGCCTGAAATCAAAGAGCGCATTCCTGAAACCGAAGCAACCCCGCTTGGAGTCCCTGTAGACGAAAATGGTGTCGACGAGCTCATGGGCAAACCCACCGAGACAGCAGCCAAGGCAGCCCTCTTGGAGCCTATGGAGGGCACCGGTGAGAGCTTTGAGCTGTGGGAAAGTGGAAGCGCCAAAGACGACTCCGAAGTGGCAATTGCGGACTGCTGATGATTGCTTGCTTTCCATTTGCTCATTCATGGTTCGACTATGCTTCGCTTCCAACTACACACCATCTTTTAATTACGGGTCCATGATGAATGCGGCGTTTGTAACGGTTACTCGGTATTTTGAATGGGCGAGCAAGGACCAAGCGACGGGAACCCCTAGGACACGTTTGGTGTAGGAACAACGGATACAGGTGTCTATATGTGTACAAAGCTGGGGTCGGAGTATTGTCATTGTTTGATTTCCGTTTGAGTGGTTGATATCCTCATCAACAGAGTGCAATTGGCGCTTCGATTTTGTGCTCTTTTGAAGTTTGAATGCTATCGTTGTGATGCACACTTTCCGAGACCACCGAATTGGCTTTGGCGTAGGTTTGGCTTCTCTATCGGCGATCTTTTCTACCTAGCCATCAACTTCGGTCGCGTAAGTGAGCACATCAGTTTTGAGCATCGTCATCCGTTGTCGCATCACCATATCATCCGGGTTGCCTCTAGACGCCGTCTGGCGTTGGTCGGCTATCTGATTCCACGTGACAGCCGCCCACACGCCCTGCCCAGTCGCTCCAGCGCCCGTATTCCGGGGCTCCACTCGGCCCGCAGGTGCCCACTGCACCTTCAGTCCAGAACCGCACCACTCGACGACTGTCGCATCTCTGACCAGCTCAAGTGTTCGGCACTCGAATCCGCTCATGGGATTATAGGACTAGAGATTGAAGCATCGAGACTTACTGCAAAGCGGCATCCCAAGTTTCAATGGCATCGATCAATGACCTCGCTACGGCGGCCATAGCGACGTCGGCCGCAACCGGCGAGCAGGCCGGAGATGCTCTCCCCGTCACCACGCCTCCGGCGGGTGTTGTTCGCGGCGCCTTTATCGCCTTTGAGGGTCTTGATCGGAGCGGCAAGACCACGCAGGTAAAGCTGCTTGAACAACGGTTGATTGAGGAGGGGAAGAAGGTCAAAGTCATGCGGTTTCCGGGTGAGTGGCAGCCAACTTGGCTTCAACAACATTTCGCTTTTTTGCTTCTTGTATTATCATCAATTTCTCATTGCTAATGAAACGCAACTCGCAGACAGAACAACCCCTATTGGCCAGATGATTGATGCGTATCTCAAAAGCTCAGTCGAGATGGAAGACCACGTCATCCACCTTCTCTTCAGCGCCAACAGATGGGAAGCAGTGTAAGTCCTCTTCGTCTCACCAGACCACGCACTACCCGACACTGCATCGCCTTACAAACCTTGCATCTAATAGGAAAAACATCCAAAATCTACTCGCTTCAGGATACACCGTCATCTGCGACAGGTACTACCACTCTGGCATCGTCTACTCCGCCGCGAAACAGAACCCCCATCTGAACCTCCACTGGGCGCGCCGGCCGGAGATTGGCCTTCCCCGGCCGGATCTCGTCCTGTTCCTCGACCTCGAGGAAGCCGTCGCTAGAGAGCGCGGCGGCTGGGGCGGGGAGGTGTACGAAAAGGCCGAGTTCCAGAAGCGGGTGCGCGAGCTGTTTTGGGGGCTGAGCCTAGGGCGAGTCGGGCCTGATGGGGGCTTAGGCGAGGAGGGCAGGGTTGATCGAGAGTTCCGACAGGAGGAAGAGGACTTGGTTGTCGTCGATGCTGGAGGTACTCTTGAGGATGTTGCCGAGGAGATTTGGAGAAAGATAGGGCCCAGGGTGGAGGGTGTTGAGAAGGGTGAGGCTGGGAGCACGGTGAGGGTTGTGTCATGAGTTGTGTTAAGCAAATGCCCGAGAGCGGAGGAAATTCTGGCTAGCATTATCAAACATGAATTGGGGATGCTAGGAGATTCTGCCTTGGAGACAGAGATTCCCCGGAAATGAGCATGGCGTCTTCAATACCTGGAAAAGGTGTCTTGATAGAGCACTCGGAAACCCACAAACATGAGTGATTTCTTGTCTTAGAAAAAGGTTAGGAAAGCTGGCAGCTGACGTGAAATACTCCTACATAATACTCATGTAATGAATAGGCAATTCCCCATGTCCTCCCTAACCAATAGCCTTGAGAAGTGGCCAGAACTTGACAGAAAGCCTGCACTTCTCATCCAGCTTTGTGGAATTCCACACGCTCATAACACTCAAAGTGTTGTCCACATTTCTCAATATCGCAACATCGAGTGGTGCATAAGACGATCCCATGACCGGCCAGCCAGATCCGTCAGACGGATTCTTGGCAAAACGTGCAACGACGCCCCTCAAGTGCTCGTACACCGCGTACACCTGAGTGGTGTAAGGTATGGTATCTGGGTCGGTGAAGAGAAGAATGATCTCTGAGTCGTGAAACTTGCCCAATCAGTCGTACTCTTTAGGCAAGAGATTTAGGGTGGTCGAGGTATTGAAATAGCAGCGCCAAGTGGGGATATTTTAGCAGGCTACTGTTGACGGCAGTATGGATTGAAGCTGTGCCTGTTTGTCATAAACTTGTAGTTTGGTGAGAGTTCGTTGAACAGAAGACATACGCAAGACCAGAGCAAGTCAGTTTAAATGGCGGAAGCAACATCGAAATCGGCTTTGATCCTAGTATCAGAGTGGTACGAGGACACATTCATGGCTGGATCCTCGGAGGCACAAGAACAGGAGGACCTAACGCATCGAGGAACGCCATCATATTCACTTCGTCGTTCACCAAGGCTCTCCCCTCTTCCTCCACTGTCCGCATCAGAACCGGAACCTTGACAATATACTGATGAGGTATTCCGCCTGGACGGCTTTCACACATTTTAGTTCACCTAATGTATTGGCGCATCCCACTGCAGTCAACAGCCCCGTACAGGCCTCGATCCCGGGTGATGGAAATGCAAGATACCTGAAGCTCATTTGTCCAATAGACATGATTGCGGCGCGGAATGGGGTCGAAGAGTCCTTGGCGTATACTTTGAGGTGGCCGTCGATAGAAAAGGCGCGAGCGGACTGACCCCAGATTGTCACCTTGGAGGGTTCGTCACCAAAAGAGGCGATGTTGTCTACAACCCAAGTAAGAGCAAGACGCTGTTCGTGTATACCTAGATTCTTTTCGCTTGGCGGGATAGGAGGCGAGGCGGGGGAGCCGAAAACTGAAGAGCATACCTTAGTTCTAGAAGACGAAGACTTTTGCAACCACATGTAGGTGAAAATGATCATGGATGATTCAAAGCGTACCGTTTGCGTGGTAGTTTAGAGTCACGGCGATAACGTCTGCATATGCCGCAAAAGCAGAAAGGTCGAACCTGCCGTAACCCAATGGCTAGCAACCGCTGTGGATGAAGGCAACCACCGCAGGCCCGGCGTCAGGGGGCGAAGACATTGATGCTCAGGCAGCCTTCACTTTCGGGTGGTGCTGGGTTGTTGAAGAGATCTTCGAGGAGTTCAGGTCTCTGGCCGAGTCCTTTGGGAGGGACCTCGAGTCAGTAAACTAGGCGGGGGAGCAGACAAGTGAAGCTATATTGTGCCACTAATGCCAAAGCTCTGGAGACACGCCAGCCCAAAGGCTGTGGCGTTGATAGTGTCTAACCGAGGCTTCGGCGGCTGAGGCAGGGAGAAACGTCTAGGTTTTGAGGCATAAGGTATCCCTAGAAACCGATTTACTGGATATATCGCCTTTAGACGACTCGCCAAGATGCCTTGGATCAGACCTGCGGATATCGTGGTTGTTGAAAGGTTGTTGAGGCCATGGCTGACGAGACGACGGATAACACAAGCAGGATTTGGACTTTTTGGTTTCTAAACTCGCAGGTCTTATAACCCCTCGCATGCAGTCTTTTTCTAAAACGGTGGGGAGATTTAATCAACTCTCACGGGGCATTGAACATCTCGTGCAAATCATGTCAAGCTCATTGGAAGCCTCAAATGCTATTCCGCAAGACTTGTTGATAGTGGACGGCGACCCTTACGCACACCCGAGTCAGATATGCATACCCGAGCGTCTGGCCCAGGCGATTTAAACAGAACGCGAAAAACGAAGCCAAGACAATGCTTACATCGGAGGGGCTGAGCGACGTTAAGGGTGCGATCCCGGCCAACACGAGGTACAAAGCCAAGCCATTAAAAGGAATTTTGGGGTCCCGCATATATGCGGCTGGAAGTGGTGGAGGGGGTAGCTTCAGGGTCGAAAACGTAGACAAGGAGAGGATCATCTTGCTATCCACAAGGTATTAAGGAGTGGTGGTTACCGAAATGTAGATGAGATTGGTTACAAAAGAAATTCATTCAGGTGACTAATGAAGATGACAAGAGAACGCTTCGTCTGCTCATGCCCCGCACGCAATCTATAATCCGTGACCCGTAACCCATAACTTCGCCTTATCCAGACACCCAAGTAGTACAAGTTGCTAAGAAATCGCACCAGATTCAAATTCATCTGGATTTTTATGATAGCTCGGCCATCAGACATGTTCTGGACTGTGTGTAATGATAATCGAAGGCAGAGGCGGCTTCAACGCAACTCCGCGAGTGTCGAGCCTCCCATCGAGCGTGTCTGTCCCAACCGTGGAACCATAGTCGCTCAACGAGCCGTTCCGCCGCACCCCGGTATCAACGGCAAGCTGTTCCCAGTCTTTAGCCCACGCCGTTCCAGGAGGAGGGGGACATGGCTTGTCCTTGTTCGCTCGCGGGGCGAGCTTACCGTTCCCAGGACAGAGGCATTCAGGCGCCGTGGCAGGGGTAATCTTGATGGCCGGGGTAATGGAGGTCTGTTCCAGCTCGGGAAGAGGAGGTAGCGGCTCTGCGATGGGAAGCATGATGCCGAGGGAGTCCGGGTGCGGGTACGGCAGAGGTGGAACTGGGGGAATTTGCTCTCGACGTCTGGGATAGCTGGCCTTGCGGACGAGTTTGGCTCTTACCGGGGCCGGGACCGTGTGTCGGTGATTAGCGGCGAAATAATAGTAAGCCGGGGGGGTCAAGGGACGGCTGTTTGTACGGCTTGAAGGCTTTGCTTCCTCATCCTTGAGATCCTTCTCAAAAGCGCTGACCAGACATGTCACAGTGTTACGCCGCCTGAAGCAGGGTAGCTCAAACGGGTGTGATGCGATTTCCAGCACAAGAATGACTGCGATACTGGCGATTCTAGTCAAGAAGTGTCAGTACAAGGCGGAGGTTGACTCTTTGAATTCTCAAGTTGTAACATACATTCCGATGACAGATACAGAAAAGTTCAGCTCAGTGATTGGACTTTGTGTCACGAAACCGGGATAATGGGCCAATGCTACCGATGATAGGATCACAGCCGGGATCCAAAGCAATAGACCTAGTCGGGCAACGATGACAGCCCAAGATACCAGAGGTGATTGCAGAGACTGCCTCTTCACCACCTGGTAGTTGCGGAACGACACGATAATGTGCAACACCACGTACATGGGGGATATCATCGACTGCGCAGACTTGTCAGCCGACATTCCAGTGAGCCACAGCCGCAGAGGGCAGCACTTACACCGAATAGGATGAAGCTTTGACTGAGACAGTCGCGCTCGCCAGTTTTTGACGGCCGAAACTGAAGAGCTGAAAGGCAAAGACCTCCACCAGATGCGAGGATCATGAGAAACAAGACAGCGATCATGACAATGGGGAGAGGCTTGGGTGGAGACTTTATGGAAACATCGCTGCCCGACATGGAGGACTTTGTCTCCAGCGACTCGACAACACTGACAATGTCGTCGCCTTTGAGAGAAGGGGCCATGGTGGAAGGAGGTGAGGTTCGATCGGATACTCGACTGTTGCTTGAATGTCCATCATCCATGCTCTGGTGTTCTTCTCCGAGCAGCTTCATATATCACTTGACGTGGGATGGCTGGTGTATTGGCGATGGCTGCCAGCACTTGCTGGTGTGGCGGGCGGGCGGACACCCAACATTACAGCCTCAGAAAAAACCAGACACTGGTCACTGGGGTACAGCGGCCGTCTGGGGTGGCTGTAGGCTGGACTAGGGCCGTATCGGAACTTGAACGTCTATAAATCCAATACATTCCAGAGCATGGCTGCTACTGTAGAGCGTCAGACGCCCCGGAAATCACTGCGTGGTTGGCAGAGACAGCTCAAAACTGAACCATCCCCTTGCCAGTATCAGTAGACATATCAATGACGGCCCGAGGCTGGTCGAGGATTTGTTGCTGGACCGGACAGCTGTGGCTTTCAGCAAAGTGTGGAAGAACCATATGCGCCACTTGTCCGCGATGAGTAAGAAACTGGACGTTGTGTGAAGTGGCCTCGAGGACGAAAAAGCCAAAGTCAAATAGTGCGTGGTCTGGAGACTCCGAATTATGATATATTGATGGGACAATTTGTTTCCAGATACAAATCCTGCTGCCAAAGCTAAACACTGGCGAGTATCTAAATGTGAAATTACCATGCATGAGTGTACCTTAAAGATATAACGAGCGGTCTTAACGAGTTCATAGCCATGGAGAATATGGCCGGGTGTGTTACGCGTCCGACATAACGACACATAGCCTATGCCTCTACAAGGGCAAATCACATCTCCTCTCCCAGCCGGGCCCCACGGTCGCCTGCCCAGTCATCCCGCTCGTAGAAACGGAACACGAGGTCATAGTCCTCAAAGTCGTGAACGATGCGGTCAATGCGACGATATCCACGGACAGGGTCAACAAGACGCTGGACGGCAGTCGCATGAGAAGCAAAGTCACCCATGCCATACGGGTTGGCGCTTTTGCCCTTGGCCTCAAATAGAGTCACACTGAAACGGCCAGGCTTGAAGATGTCGACGACGTGCTCGATGATCTCAGCCGTAGTACGGCCACTCTGGCCTCCAGGGACGTTGGTCTCAAAAGAGGCGAATGAGCAGTTGGGCTCCGGAGTGACGTGGACGGTGAAGTAGTGAGCGGCATTTCCGCCCTTGCCGTTCTTCAAGGCGTCCTCGTCGTCTGCGATGGCAGGGACGACACCGTTGGCAGAAAAGCCACAAGGGCTAAAGAGATAGGCGTCGACACGAGCTCCAGGATACTTGCTGGTCGGATACACGCTCGAGAGGCCGCAACCCTCAGAAACGACAGTTCCAATAGCGTGACCCTCGGTAGTCAGAGCCTCAGTAGCGGCACGTTCCCTATCATTGAGGTCAGATTCGCCAATGTTCTCAAAGACGTCGACATGCTCCTCGCCCGACTTGTCATGAATCTGAGACATGTCACCCAAACTCTGGTGTGCATCGTCCCGAGCGGCCTGAGTCTGCGGCAAGTGCAACTTGTCGGTGGCGACCGCACTCGCGTGCGACAAGTAGAACTGCTTCGCGTTTTCAGGGTCGAGATCAGTCATGAGAATCTCGAGGGTCTCGTCGCTGCGCTCCTCGAAGCCGCTGCTGAAGCTGGCCACGCTGCCAGTGGGAATTCTGGCCGCTGACTCGACAGCGGCTTCCGCTTCGTCAGGAGTCTTAGGGGGCGTCAAAGTTTTGTTCGGTGTGGTAATGTAGAGGTACCAGTGATCCCCGTTCATTTTACCGACCATGTAGGCGCTGCCACCCTCGAAAAGGTCATCCAAGTATTTGACCTCGGACCTCCAGCTACGATGGGGACCCTGCTGACGGTCGGGGAACAAAAAGTTCTTGCGACTGTAGAAGACGCGGTAGGGGGTCGCAGCAGCCTTGATGTTGGTGGATTCCTTGGCGTTATGGAATGGGAACCCGGCGTGTTCAGCCGCGATATGGAGGAGTCGCTGCAAGCCCAGTAGGAGGGTTGTCGTGCCGCAGGTCTTGAGAATGAGCTTGTGGGGGAAGACAAACAAGCTGGACTCGGACAAGAGGTAGGCGTCGACAGAGTCGGACTCGAGGACGGACAAGATCTTGCAGTTGACCATGTCGAGCATGGTAACCCAAGTGTCGGCGGAAACTGCTTTTAATCCATTGGGTTGGGCGCTCACGGGGAGCGACTCGGGGCCAGGGGCAAACCACACTTCAAGGAGCTTCTCGGGACCTAGAGAACATGTCTGTCAGCAACTTGGAGGGGTGGAGGCTTGTGGTTCCTAGGCCATATTACCTTCAAAGGCGTTGCTCGAGTCCAAATCAGCAGCAACATCATGGTTGATCGTCAGATGAGGAGTAGCCTCAGCCGGAGAGATGGCGTAGTCGTTGGGGACCGAGGAGTTGACCATCTTCTGCTGGAATAGCTCGTGGGGCGCAACCCGGGAGCTTGAGAGAGAGCAGGCTTAGACGACGATGACTTTCCCGATGGAGGGCTAGAAGTCCGCGGGACACTAGCTACCGCTCAAACGAACTTTGCGGCGTTCGTTTGAGAGAGTAGGCCCACAGGATGGTGGACTTTTTTGGAGGCTGGCGGAGCCAGCAGCAAACGAGTTTTAGTAGGTGCAACGTCACTTGAGGACGTTAGGGAGGTCGAGCGTTGAGGGGTAGGAAAATAACCCTTAGGATCGGAATTGTGTCTTGTTGCTAGGCCTCGCTCTGGCAGACACCGATACCTGTGGTGGAGTATCGGACCTAGCAGACGAGGTTATCTGCGTGATCGGAGTTTGGTGGGTTGGTAGGAGAGAAGCGTTGTAGAAGCGCGGTGCGTCTATCGAGATATTTTATGCTAGGTGTTTAAGCAGGTGTTATCTGGGCCTGGAGGAGGATAATATTAGCGGGATGCGCCGATGTAATGAAGTAGACCAATGGCTGACAGTTTGGTTTGGCGAATGTGTAGAGAGTGTGCTGGACAGTAGTCCCCTCGAGTCTTTCGAGGGGAGTGTGGGAGGCTTACTTTGCAGGCTTGGAGAGGAAGCGTAGGAGGTCGATTCGGTTCATAGAATGGCCAGGAATCGGCTGGGGTCGCAGAGCGAGGGGCAGCGTGTATGCCACCAGTGTAAAAATCACTGTTGCAGGTGCTAAGTTTGCGTGTTGATCATGGAGGGATTTGTTGGATTGAGAGAAGAGGCTCGCGGGTCGCACAACCGAAGAGATATGCCGGCGTGGAATAGCAAATGGTCAATTTTGAAGCTCTGGGAGAGATTCCGTCGTGGTGGCTGTGGATGTTGTGGTTCGCCGTGGAGGGGAAGTGTCGTCTGGTGGGTTTGAGAAAAAATAAAAAAAAGTTGCTTCTGCAAATTGAGCATGGGGCGACCCCTCCCCGGCTCGCTCTCCACACAAAATTTCAGCCCAAGCTGCCAGGACGCCCAGGACTCCCAGGAGCTTGCACCTGTGGCAGACGGATACCTACCTCAGGCAAGGTACTCTAAGGTACTCTGGTAAAGAAGACAAGATTACTCTCTCTCATGTACCTCTTACTTGCATACCTTGAGTATTTCCCGATGGCCGTCGCTTCTTTGGCGGTGTTTTTTTGTCGATTCTCCGCTGCAGACGGCTGTTTCGGGTATGCCCTTTGCTCTCTTACCGATAAACCTGTCCTTTTGCCTCCAATTCCTTCGACTTTGCTTCGTACTCATTGGGGAGCTATACCCGGGAAAGCACGGAGACGACGTCCTAGAGATTGCGAGACAGGGAACGACGTGACGGATTGGCCACTACCATAGTAGGTACGCTGCAGGGGGAGGGTTTGGGGGGTGGCCGACGTGTTTCGCTGAAGAAACGGGATGGAGACGTCATTTTCCGCGACGCCATGCCTGGACCTAGGATAAAAGCCACCTGTCGTGAAGCGGTAGTCCGTAAGTAGGTCCCAAGTAGCCTGGATTCTGGAATACAGTCATGCTGGAGGTACAGATAGAGTCAGCCAATGTGCCCGAGTCCATTCTGAGAACCTGAGGCAGAATAAAAATGACACGTGTAAAACCACCCTTTGATGGAATCAATGATGGGGAATGGGCGATGGTGCATCTGCTTCCTACGATACCAAGTACCTACAAACGCAAAGTTGTTATACATGCGGTGAAAGTCGCCGTTCTTTCCGAGCCCAGGTTTCTAAGGCAAGGTACGGAATGGGTACCTCCCGATCAAGTACCGCCTTTTTTTTGCGGGGCATCTCCCGTCCGAGGCGCCGGGTATCTCCCCCATCTCGATGCTTGCTCACGTGCCCCCAAGCCACTCGATGTCTGGACCGTATTGATACATCGAACGCCGTCGAGAATGACGGAGTCGAGCCCGGCACCGTGGAGCAGCTTGGTGATTTGCATCTAGTGTTGACCAGTCTTCGACTTCCAGTTCCCCAGTATCTCGGATATGTCTTGGGTCGTCATCTTGCTACCCGCGCCATCGTCCCAAAATCTCGTACGGTGAGGTTTTGCGGTTGCTCCCAACCCCTGAGACTTACGCGCCCAAAATTGGGTATCGAGTCGAGCGTCTTTATTTCAACAGGAATCAAATACCCGAGGCACGGCGTTTGACCATGCGATGCACCACCCGAGCTGACATTGTGTATCGTCCATGTACTCATGAGTGGGCTTGTGCCTCAATCGTAGTGATCAGCTTTGATGTGATTTCGCTGAAGATGTGGGACAGCGAGCAGTCCTGATATTTCTCGACAAGAGTATCGCCCTTCTTCTCGCCCTCCTTTTCGCTGGCATGGCCAATATCCTGGCCGTGTATGTGCGTTCCTTGAGGATATTGCGGCCTCCTGCCAGACTCGACCAGTTCGCCAAATTGGGGGTCGATGGGAACAGTGCCGAGGAATGGCACGGAAAACTGCTGGGCCATGACAGCTCCTCCGCCGGAACTGAAAATGTTGGTACACTCGGAGCAGTGCGGGCAAACGAAGCCGCTCATATTCTCAACCACACCGAGCACCTTGAGACCGGTCTTGACGCAAAAGTTGAGCTCCTTTTTGACATCCGCCGTAGCCACCGCCTGAGGCGTCGTGACTACAACAGCACCCGCCACCTGTCCGGGCCGAGCATCTCGCAACAGGGTCTCGGCAAGGGAAATATGCTCGTCGCTGGTGCCTGGAGGCGTGTCGATGAGTAGGTAGTCGGTCTCATCCCACAAGACATCAGAAAGGAACTGCCTAACCATAGCTGTCTTTTTGGGCCCTCGCCAGACGACGGCATCGCCACGTCTGGGCAGGAGGAACCCGAGACTCATCGCATGGAATGAGCCAATCCTCTTTTCTTCGATGGCGTCATGGACCGGCACGGGGAGCCAACCTCCAGGGGCCTGCTTCACCTTCTCGGCTTCAATCGAGAGCATGCGAGGGATTGAAGGTCCAGTAAGGTCGACATCAAGGACGCCGACAGAATGTCCTGCGAGGGCGAGAGACAAAGCCAGTTGCGTCGTCACTGAAGACTTTCCGACGCCACCTTTGCCCGACAAGACCTACATTACCAGTCAGTCGACAGTCGGTGCTAACACGAATGAAAAATGAGGGGTCATACCAGCACGATGTGTTTTACTTTGGAAAGCGACATATCGACGATGTAATATTCAGGATAACAGATGTCTTGACGACTTCGGAACTTCAGAAGCGAGGGAGAGCGAGAGATGCGCTACGCAGATGGTTAAGTTGGAAAGGAGCGTATCAACGGAGTGGAAATCGAGGTTGGAGCCCAGGTCGAATCCGCCTCATTTGAAATCAAAGCTGTGATTGTTCTCCACCCAATAGCAGTGTGAGCGTGAACGTGTGAACCCGCGCGGTTGGTAAGCACCGAAAGACGACCACAAGAATAAAAAAATTTGCCTCCCGCTGTGAGTTCAACCAATCTGCGAGACCCGGGAGATACTATTGACAGCGTTTGATACATTCTAGAAGAATTCCACCGCATCCCTTGGGCTTTTGACCGGCTCCCGATCCCCATCCGCAATCGGCGTGATGCAGTGCGGGGGGGGGGGGATGCATTCCTTAGGTACCTTATCTTCTGCTCAACGCCTTAGCTAAGTACCTACCTTAGGTAAGGTACCTAGGACCCTATCGATCACCTCATCGATTATGACGGCTGAATATCGGGTCACACCGCGAAGGGATCTCCCTACAACGTACGCGGCTGGAACCGTGCCTTAGAACCCACCAGGTCAACGCCAAGCTCCAATCCCAGACACGCAGTGAGTTGGAAGTTGAAGTAACTCCTGGGCGTGCACGGATGCTCTCCGACACGTCCGGAATCCACGACGGGTCGTCTGGATGCCAATTCTGGATTTGTGTCTGCGACGCTCAATCCGTCCCTGACCTAAGCCAGTCTGATCTCCCATCTCAATCTCGTAATCTCCGTCTTTTTTCCACGTCCACATTCTATTCGCGAAGCTTGTTTCTGCTGTCGAGTTACTCTCTAACACTAGCGTTTCCACTCATTGAGACATCGCCTTACAGTCCACTCTTTTGGAACTCCCTCTTTGTTCCAGTTTCGGTTCTGTCTGTTGCCCAGCTTGGGCTTGCCATCTGCGATCATCCGAGTCGCGATTTCGCCAACCAAGAAATAACAACATGGCCGTCTAGCCTCCTCTTCAATCGCAACACCTTCACTTGCGGAACGACGCAGTCATCCTCGACTTGACTTTATCAACACCATGAGTTGTAGTGCCACACTATGGACGATCCGTGGGGCTCCCCGTGGGCATCTACTGACAACGCAAATGCGCCGTCTACCAGTCCCTCCAAGAACATCATCGAACCTCCGCCACCCGCCTTTCTCTCCACTCCTAGCAACCTGAATCTACCTTCCAGCCAGTCAGCCTGGCTTGACGACGATGCCTTTGGGGATTGGGCATCTCCCGACCCGGGACAAGCTACCAATGCATCTCCGTGGACTTGGGGGAACGAAGCCACGCCAATTGAGGGTCTCACACCGAGCTATGAACCCAAGCCCAGACGAAAGAGCAGCACGCCCAGGTGGCCTCGAAGCCGATCACCGTCGCCGGGATTGAGACCTCCCATCACTCCCAACATCGCACCTCACAGCGCTTCTCTGGCCCAGCCTTCGCCAGACCCCTGGGCCAACCACGTATCGACCTATACTAAGGACGACCCCGAACCGTTAGCGGATCTCCCCCATATACCAGATGTTCCGCCGGTCACGCACGAACAATCGGAGGTCGGTGTGGGTTTGAAGGATACGCCCAATGCTTTTGAAAAGGGGTTCACTGCCCACGAAACAATAAGAACACAGTTCGCTGAGCCTCTCGCTGAACCAATACAAGAATATCTGCAATTCAGCGAGACCCCGATTTTCGATCGATTCCCCACCACTCACGAGCGTGTTCGCGATACTGCTCAATCATCAGGCTCAGCCTCGGCCTCATCTGTCAATGGCGACGAAAATGACGAAGACGACGAAAACGACGAAAACGACGAACTTCCAGAAGCGAGACACGCCGATTCTCCAATAACATCTATCGAAGATAATGTCCTACCCAAGGCGACGCAGAGGAAAGCCTCTGGCAAGGTCCTGGAGCTTGTTGAGATGTATGATGGCATCGCCAAGCGAACCACAGATATCCCTGAGCGGGCACCTTCATTACAACGTAGTGTAAGCCGAGACCTGGACGTGGGCCAGGAAGATTTATCTGGTCATGAATTCAACAAAGACGGCCGGATAGAAGGGAATCAGGGGCTACAGGGATCTCGTGATACATCGGAGTCAACACAGGAGGAACCTTTTGACGAAGGCAGCAACGCTGCACAGGAATCTGTTGACAATGGCAGACCGACTCGTCCCGACCACGAATCCTTCAAGGTTGATCTCCAAAATCTCGAGCATCTCCTGCCAGATACCTCCATGGATGCGTCGATATCTCCCGAAGATGTACCAGATCGAGTGATTCAGGACAGCTTCGCAAGCATTTCTGAACGCAAGATGTGGTATCGGTTGTCTCGCCACGAATCTTTGCGCAAGCACAATGCGGGAGACGACGACAACTACGTTCGGGTCAACTGGGCAAACTCCACACTCCGGCAAGACACATTGAAGACTGTTCGTCGATGGATCGAGGAAGATTCGTTCGGAGGGCGGCCTTTCCGTGGCGGGCTGGCACGAACTGCAGGCGGCAAAAGCTTTGGATGGGATGCGACAACGGCAGCATCTCCGGTCGATCTCGACAGGGTATTCGGTCGCAAGGCGAAGCGGAGAGCGCCTGTTCATCGGCCAACGCACTCGATTGGAGCCCTGCCTTCCTTATCTGCAACCCCTATACTGCCTGACACTACGGGGGGGATGCCAGCCTTGGGACAAGGCAACGGCAATTGGCAAGATCTCGCGACGTTTGGCTGGAGCAGCGGACCTGGCGATATAAAATCGACAACAGGAACGGCGATGCAGAAACCTCGGGCCGCGGGTATACCGCTCCCTCTCGCCTTCACTGGCTTCGATAACACGCCAAAGTCCCATGCGTCCCTGCCGGCGTTTATTAAGCCGATCGCGCCAACTCCTCTACCAGCAGTAAGAGCCACAAGCTTAGAGGAGGTGGATGATGCGGATGCTGATGCGGAGGACGATGACTGGGGAGACATGGTTTCTCCAACTACGGCCGAAGCAACGGATTCCACTTCCCTTCCCAAGACTAGTTGGGATTCCTTCTCGACCAACCCGCTAGCCGATGTCACGAGTATGCCGCCTCCTGGTGGTTCCCTGACTAACCACCCGGACGCCGATGCACTCCGCACCGGGAATAACAAAGAAAATGATTCCCGTAACAAATCAGGAGTGTGGGATTTTGGCAATGTCATCAGCAGCCCCGCCCCCGCCTCCACATCATCTGCGGCAGCAGGCTTACCCCAAAGCCAAGACGGCCCTCTCAGCCCGTCGATATCCACATACACATTCAGGCCGGCGTCTACGGTGAAGCGACCACCGAGCCTCTCCATCGCAGCCACCCTCACTGGCCAGCTGGATCCAACGCAGTCTACTAATAAAACCGGCATATCTGCAGGAGGGCCTGTTGAAACCCCACGTATAACTGGCCGTCAGACGCCATCCACGGCGCAGCCCAATACCAGCAACGAGGATTGTGATCTTGTGCAGCAGTTTATGCATGGGCTACCGGACCTATCGTACATGCTGAAATGAGCTTTGTTCTCTGGGCCATTTCACACTACTCACAAACAGTGCCTCAACGTAAGCTCAAGGTAGAAGCATGAAGGGACGGAGCATCTTCATTCTTTCTCATCATCTAGCCTTACATTATACATGTATATTGCATTCCTTCTGGCGTTTGGTGAACATTGGAAAAATTGGAGATCTGCATGATATGCTAGGCAAGGGCCTCAGATATAGTATATAGGGAGTGCCCATACAATCTGTTCGTCTTAAGCAGCGTACATATTCGTATGCCGAGGCATACCTCGGCAAGCCTCGCGATGACAAAGCTCCGTGTTGAAACCCGAGGCATCGCAAACCTCGGAGGCGTATGACGTGCGGCCAAGCCATTTTGCGTGGCCGAGTGCATCCACCTATGGGTTATGCCAGCGGGTCGTATGGCCGGAAAGGATGGGCATCCCCCGTGTCAGAGCCCGACTCGCGATCCCGACTTGCGATCCCGACCTTGATTGCCGTCTCGACCGTGATTGCCGGACGCAGTGCCGTGCGGGGGACCGCGGGGGGTTTAGAACACTTGTTGCAGGCTGGCTGTGTTAACGGGGCGTCGTCTGGTCTTAGCACTGGCTCGAAAGGATTTGAACGGGGGGGCGTCGGTTCTCCGCGTCCCGCGATATCCACTGGGACAGGGTTCCAAAGAAAGTTTAATGCATGGCGTAGCGTTACGGGTGTCTCGGTTTTGTTGTCAGCAATTTTACAATGGCTGCTGCTGGGTCCTCACCGTCACACGAGAACTCCAAAAAGGCCCGGCGTCCACATGTTGGCACTGTTAGCCTTTTCCCGCGCAACTCTAAATTTGCTTCAAGTCCGTCGAAGCCCCTTTCCCTATATAAGCTCGTTCTGACTGCTCGTTCCTACCCATTCACGCTGAATTTGCAGTGTTCTTGACAAGAAAACTTTAACAATGACCGTTCTAGAGCTTCTCATTTCGCCTTGGGCACCGGCCCTGCTGGCTGTAGGTGTTGCTGTATACTACCTCTACCCTTACTTCGTCACATTCGGTTCCCTTCGTGGAATTCCGGCACCGTTTCCAGCTCAATTCACCAATCTATGGCTCCTCTCCGTCGTCCGGCGTGGCAAGCGATACATCACCGTCCATGAGATCCATGAGAAGTTAGGGCCCGTGGTTCGCATCCAGCCGAACCATGTGAGTATCGCCGACGACGAGGCCATTCAGACCATTTATGGTCACGGCAACGGCTTCCTGAAGGCGTGAGTTTCTTCTCATTAGTCGCTGTTCACTCGGTGGGCTCCAAGCTCACGTCCCGAGCTAGAGAGGATTCAATGTTGAATACGAAGACTGACCCCGCAACAGAAGCTTTTACGACGCCTTCGTCTCCATCCAAAGAGGACTCTTCAACACTAGAGACCGCCACGAACACTCGCGCAAGCGTAAGATTGTCTCGCACACCTTCTCCGTCAAGTCAATCGGCCAATTCGAGCCGTACATGCATGAGAACCTGGTCCTCTTCGTCAAGAAGTGGGATGAGCTCGTCAAGAACAATCCAGCCGGCGCCAACATTGATTGTTTGAAATGGTTCAATTACTTGGCGTTTGACATTATTGGCGATCTGGCGTTCGGCGCGCCATTCGGTATGATCGAGGCTAGTGCTGATATCGCCGAGGTCCGCGAGTCTCCCACCAGTCCGCCCATTTACGGGCCCGCCATCGAGATTTTGAACCGGAGAGGCGAGGTTTCTGCCACTCTTGGAATCCTCCCCGAACTGAAGCCTTGGGCAAAGTACCTCCCGGATCCGTTCTTTAGCCAGGGCTTGGAAGCTGTGCAGAACCTGGCGGGCATGGCTATTGCGCGTGTGAAGTCAAGACTGGACAATCCGCCTGATATCAACAGACTCGATCTGCTTGCGCGACTGATGGAGGGACGTGATGACAAGGGAGAGCCGCTGGGCAGAGAGGAGCTCACAGCAGAGGCCTTGACGCAGTTGATTGCGGGTAGCGACACGACATCCAACTCTTCCTGCGCGGTTCTGTACCACGCTACGAGAACCCCCGGCGTGTTGGAGAAGCTGCAGAAGGAGCTCGACCAGGCCATTTCTCCTACCTGTGAGGTCCCGACCTACGATATGGTCAAGGACCTTCCCTACCTCTCCATGGTCATCGATGAAACCCTCCGATTCCACTCAACCTCTGGCATTGGTCTCCCTCGTCAGATCCCGGACAGTTCACCCGGTGTCACCATCCGCGGCCACTTTTTCCCCCCTGGCACCGTCCTCAGCGTTCCCTCGTACACAATGCACCACTCCAAGGAGATTTGGGGCCCGGACGCCGATGACTTCCGTCCCGAGAGGTGGGAATCGCTGACGATGAGGCAGAAGAATGCCTTTATCCCGTTCAGCACTGGACCCAGAGCCTGCGTTGGAAGGAACGTGGCGGAGATGGAGATGAAGCTCATTGTTGCCACGTGGGCCAGGAGGTATCGCGTTGAGCTGAGACAAGAAGGCATGGAGACGAGAGAGGGGTTCTTGAGGAAGCCCTTGGGACTGGATATCAACATCAAAAGGCGATGATCGCGCGACTGCTTATTAACGAAACATTGCCTCGGGGGCGCCTTAGATTGTCACGGCAGGGTTTGTAGCACTTGCACATGCTTCCAATTCACCTGAATCACCATTTCTTTCTCGAGCTCATGTGACCGTGGAAATCCGTGAACCCCAGGTAAACTGCATCTTGGGTACAACATCCAATCTGCTCTGCACCCTCCCAATTTGGCCGTGGCTAGAACTGTACCTGGTTTCTGCAAAGTGTCGCATGCGACTTGGTGCCCAGATTTCCTGCTTTGGTCCAAAGGTTGAAATGTTATAGCAAGTTGTGTAATTGCTGGTGTCTCCTACGGTCACAGAGACACCGACATTGTTGCTGCGCCATCGTTAAGCTTCTGGCTGTTTGATAACCCGAACTGCTCGTACGGCAAACACTAAAAATAGTCCGCATGCCGGCGGGATAAGATGATTTAACATCCGATTTCAGAGTTTTGGTCAAGGGAAGGTTTGGCCAATTTACTTGTTAACGCTTAAGACGTGACCAATCGTAGGAGTTAAGTCTCTCTTTTAGGTTTGCCCCGGGGCCCATTTATTCGGTGTACATTCCCGTGTATATGACCGACATTAGAACTCGCCCTGGAAATCGCCCTGTGCCCACTCATTGGAGAACCATGCCAGGGAATCCAAACCCATGGGTTCCATGTTGAAATCGAGACTATCAAGTGCGCCTTCAAATGCATTGTTGACCTCCAGCGAGCCAAGGGCCGTAGGCTGTGGTGGTACAGGCGCCTGCTCGTCTGGCTTATTGGATTCAGGGACCTGTATATCTTCCCACGCGCCGATGCCAAACGGTCGATTGGTGAGCTCGTCGGCCGCCGGTGCGCCTCTATCTGGGTCGTCCGCCAACTGTACCTGCTTCGCGCGGGTAAGGCGGACACGTTTGGTACCATTGCCGTTTCTTTCGTCTTGGGGCTCTTCGCTAAGCAGCCGGCTAGGGGTAGCCTGTATCGACAGACCATGGTCCATAAGGCGTTGAAGATCGGCTTGCTGGGCCCAGAATCAGTATAATTGTTGTTGAGAGACGACGAGGCTGGTGGTACTTACAATTGAAACTGCAGCTGTTCCAGAACAACAGCCCTTGGTTACCTCGAGGCAAAGTGAAGCCTTTTTACGAAGGAGATCCGGCGTGAGACCGTACTCTTCCGCGTTCAGATGGTAGATATAGTACAACATGCGGACACATTGATACGCGCACACGGGCATATCGAGGTCCGCGACGGGGTAGTGGTCCAATGCTCTGACGGAGGTGAACATGTTTGACATTTCCATCGCATGCTCATAGCACTGGCGCTGACAACCGGCGATGAACTCGGGGCCCAGCCGTTCGGCAGCCGATCGAGTCAAAGAGTCGCGAAGCCCAACCAGTCCTATCCGGAAAAGATCGCAATTGCATTGCCGCAACCAGACATGGATCATGATGAAGACGCAGAGGCGTGGAGAATATGCCCTCAATCGCAGGCTGTTGTCGGACCAGCGGAATGATACAGGCAAGCGCTCAGCAAAGTCTGATAGCTCCTTTGCAAACGATTGAAGTTGTTCCTGCAGGCGTCCGAGATCGTCGTGGGAACAATTCGAAGCTCTTTTGGCGAACTTGAGAATCCTGCCGCGGAGCCAGAGAATGCGTACGTGTAATGCTAAGCTGCCAATGTCGTCGTTTTCGGACTCGTCGGGACTGGGTACCAAGGGTCGCAAAGAAGGCGGAGCAAGGTCGAATTCAAAGTCTCTCTCGTTGCAAGGAAGGGAAATGTGAATCGTCTCTGGCGTCCACAAGGTGAGGTCACGATATCCTCCGGCCATGCCCTGGTCAATCATGAAGAGCGCCCACATGAGGCGACGGCGTGATTCCTGGGCGAGGAAGCAAAGATCTGGGTTGTCGTAGTTGAGTCGGAGAGCTGTGGCGAATCGGGCCGCGGTGGCAGCAAGCATAAAGGCGCTGGAGAAGTGTCGAGTCAAAATGCGATACTTGATTATGAGAGCAAGTGTTTGCACCTTAATCGTCGAAGCATTCTCAAGACCTTTCAGGATGAGTCCTTCGGATTCATCTACACATTTTTCGCCATATTCCCTCGTTCCCGGGCCAAGGTCAGTGAGCATGCTCGTGATGCCAATGAGAGCGAGCAGCAGCGGTCGATCCAGTCCGCCAACGTTATGGCGCTGCATGAGAGAGGCTCGGTGAAGGAAGGACAGCATGGGAATGTGATGAACATGGCGGAAGAAATTGTCCAGAGCTCGACTTATCAAAGACTCGAACTGAGGATCAGGTGCCGACCTGAGATCAGTCAGTGGATGCAAGGATGGCATAGGTGAGTTGAGACAGTGTGAGTGAGCTTACAGATCATGATTGAAGGTACTCGGGGTGTTGGACGCCATGGCATCGGCCATGGCTGCGTCAGAATCGTGCGCCGCATCTTCTCTGGACAATGACCGACGGTTCTGAGTGTCACGGTTGGTAGCGGCCGCCGAATTCGATGAGGCTGGTGATCTCGCAATGTGGCCAATGAGACCGGGGGGGTTGATGCTCAGCCGAGTGCGTTTGGAAGCTCTGTAGACGCACTCGATACCTTGGGTGCGACACCGATCACAAGCCGGGGTGTGGCCGCTACATCGAGCTTTACGTGAGTGACAGCTCTGGCATGCTTGCCGGACACGGCGTCTCGGCAGGGGAAAGGCGGGAGCGGCAGCGACACCATTAGCATCTGAAGTTGGGTCTTCGTAGGTGCATGAGAAACCTAGGCGTTCGCAGTTGCTGCAGATGTCGCGTCGGCCATCGCAGCGGACCTTACGGGCCCGGCAGGTTACGCATGTTGTCGCCGAGGACCGCTTGGTCGGCTTCGGAGACACGGACGAGGCTGCAGCTGCGGCTGAGGCTGTCACGGTGGTAGCTGCGGCGGCGGCCAGGTCTGCGGTTGTGTTTGCCGTCGTTGAGGCGGCGGCGGCGGTGGTGGCAGCGGCTGTCGGTGGTCTGTCGGGTCGGAGGCGATGTCCCAGGTTGTCGTTGTTGTCATGGTTGACGCCGTTGTTGCGGATGCTGTTGCTACCGTACAAGTCTGCCATTCTCCCAATTACCTCAATCGGCGCGCGCCCTCGTTGCTCACCGGAACTCGGCGGCGCGTACAACTGACATGGAGATGGATGAGGCTCGGTCTAGGGCTCATGGATCGCCCATTCCGGAGAGGAATCGGCGTGGGTCTCTCCGTGTGCGCACCGCGTGTCTACAGAATTCGTACCGGATTGCGACTAGGTATGCAGGAGAAATCCGGGGAATAAGTACACTGTGTGACTGCGCAGCTTACTTGACGTAGGGCAGAGTAATAAGATTGAGAATTGACATTCAGTCGGCGATACGGAGGACGGGGAGAGCGTGGGAAGAGAGCACCTCAGGTGACGGGGGGGATTGGCTAGGTACCTAATGGCAGGCGCTCCGTGGCTGAAGTGCGAACTGTGCATGTGTCACTTGGCACCAGATTTGTTCTCAGTTGAGCTCCGGCAAAGGCTTCTCCCAATAGTTACACTTCAGCACATGTAGGCACGTTCCTGGTTTCTGGCACCGTCATCCATGGGTAAGGTAGCCACAGCCGGGCCTTTCGGGGAGTCTCTGGACCCTTGGTTGTGGTGGGGTCGGCTCCCCTGTTGATGCCAACGCAGTTCCCCGAAAATCTCTCCGGGGCATGATCTAAGAGACATGGAGCGCCTCCCCTCGAGTTAATTCAACCAAAGTCAAGGCAAAAACTGACCTGAAAAGCCGGCCTCGGCACACTTTGGCCACAGCAGGCGCAGGTCTTTTTGACGACTTTGTCCCACACTCCGAGCCACACCAAAATAACGGTGAGGAGATTACCCGCGTCAGTTAGAGGACCATCCGCTATTAATTAGAGACCACTCCAGAAAGAGGGACGGCTGTCGGCGACATGTGTCGCATGAGGTGACTTACACCTGAAGAGACTTTTGCCAACGAGCGAGTCGACCTGGCTGAACAAGAAATCGAGCCTCAGGAAACGGTTCTCTCGTTCTCCGGCTCAACCCCAGGCGCAAAAGCTCATTGAAACTCTTTGTGGTCACGCGACACAATCGAAATAACGCGCGCTCAACGGAAGGTTGACACCGAGCCCGGCTGTCGGTCCAGAGACACCGAGCCCCGTTCCCGACAGCCGCTCGCCCGAGATCTCCCAACCACAATTGTTTCTGCATCCCGCACGCAATCGCCTTTCGACCAATACCCTGAGCTCTTTTTAATGTGGTTTCAGGCTTTGAGCCACACTCTCAGATGTTTAATGGACTTGCGCCATGGCTGCTACATCGAGGTCAATACCTACCTGTTCCGCAGCCCCGGGCAGCTGACTTAACCACCCCTCACCCCTATTGAGCGCTTCACCGCAGGTTTTGTCCCTTTCGTCCCTGAAGCGGGATACAGCTCGGCAGCCTTGGAACGTAAGCACTGAGCTGTGTGCGGGGTCTGGCTAAGATACTTGGTGGTACAACTTCCTATGGACACAAGCCTGGAGGTACAGCAAGTCTTTCCGATGATATCTCAACAATACACGCGTACCATGATTAAAGTAGTCTGCATCACGCTACTTTTTCGTGGCGCGTGGCTTATCACAGGTTTCGAGCTACAATTGACAGGAGCCCAGTTGATTGTGGAAATCACAGAGGACCAATTGTGTGAGTCATTGAGAAACAGAATGCATTGTACGGAGGTATGCTTCGCGTTCAATCCGGATTCCGCTCCGCTACACCGAGAGGGCGGTGAGAGGGTCCCGTTGAGGCGGTCCAGGTGTGGTGGCGGTGCGGGGCTTGACCGAAGCAGACGGGGAGGGGGTTCTGGGCTGTCTTATCGAAAAAACTACACCCCACCACAACCCCGCGATAGAGAAATTTCCATTTTCATTCAAAATCATTCGCAGCACCGCCGCGCCCAGCCAGCATACGGATCTCGAGACGATCTTCGTCGGGCAATCATAATACACAGCAGCCGGTTGTTTTGAACACAAAATCCTTCACCCACAGTAACCAAAATTCAACCGCCATGATGTCCAACGATGCTATGGCCGCTCCGGCGGTCGCAAGCCCAACTGTGGCTGAGGAGCGCAAGCCCATTCACGCACTTGTTCTGGATACCGGACCATTGATCAAGAATGACCCTCCTGTCAGCACTTTGCTCGCACAGGCTGACGAGCTCTATATGCTGCCTTCCATTGTCGACGAAATTCGCGATGTCAGCACCCGCACACGAGTACAGACGACCCTCATGCCTTTCGTCATACTCCGCAACCCCCGGACCGACAGCATCAAGTTTGTTTCCGATTTTGCGCGCCGCTCCGGTGATCTAGAGGTTCTCAGCAGACCCGACCTACACTTGCTTGCGTTGACATACGAGCTCGAACTTGAGAAGACTGGAAGCGACCAGAATCTAAGGCAACAACCGGGTGCGCGGGCTGCCAATGACAAGGGACCAAGCTCCAATGTCCCGGTCACGAAGGCTGAGGTTGGCACAGGGTTACTGGGGAATCCGGCTACTGAGGGCGAAGAGGTGGCAGAGCCGAGTCTGTTACATGACGGCGCATCTATTGAAGAGAGTGCTGAGCCGACACAAACAGAAACCCAGCAAAGTGCGGCATTGGAAACCTCCTCGTCGGACGCCGGGGCAACACAGATTACGCAATATATGAGCAACCTCGAGGTGGATGACAAGACAACATCTGAGCCGGCTGTCTCGACCGTTGCCGACGCCAACGAAGCTCAAGGGGAAGGATCAGACTCTGAAGACGGCTGGATCACGCCGTCTAACGTAAAGAAGCATAAGGAGATGGATAGCAAGCTGCTACAACCGACTGCGCCTGCAATTGATATCAAGGTCGGCATCCTTACCTCCGATTACGCCATGCAGAACGTTGCCCTGAGAATTGGGCTCAATCTGCTGTCGCCGTCCATGTCACGCATCACCCAACTCAAGACTTGGGTTCTTCGATGCCACGGATGTTTCCAGGTCTGTAAGAAAATGGACCGCCAGTTTTGCCCCAGCTGCGGGCAGGCCACTCTGATTCGCACATCTTGCACGACTGAGGAGGACGGCACCTTCAAGATCCACCTGAAGCGCAACTTCCAGTGGAATAACAGAGGCAACGTTTTCAGTATTCCCAAGCCCACAGCTGGTACAGCCAGCGGCAAACTTTCTAAGAACGTCGGAGGCAAGAACAACTGGGGTACCAACCTTATCTTCGCTGAAGACCAAAAGGAGTACGAAAGGGCTGTAGGTGACAACCGTCGGGCTCGGCGGAGGGATCTAATGGATGAGGATTACCTCCCGAGCATTCTCACAGGTGACCGCCAAAGCGGCGCCAATGGAAAGGTGCGACTGGGCCCGGGAAGAAACATTAACGGTCGCAAGAGGAGATAAGAGGTAGTAGCTGGTTGGAAGCTGATGTTTGTATGTTCCGCATGATACCATGACACCTCAAAAAGGCAAAAAGGGCCACTCAACGGACAGGTTAAACGGGGTGGGAAGAAGAAGAAGAACAAGGTTGGATTTTAAGACGTGTGACTCTGTGTTTTGGAATTGCAGAGCAATCTATCGCAACGCGGACCGAGTAAAAAGACTCCGATTATCCCCCGAATAAAGCCTTTCCCCAACGCCTACTTTTGTATACCAGAGCTTTTATTTACGAGCCTCTGACATTGCCCAAGGACTTCGTTGCTACCGCTCCGTGCTAAACCATGCCTCATGCTCCTTCCGTTATAGATAGGCCGTTGTCAGCGACGCATGGTATCGCGAATGAGCTGGGATCTATCGGCCGGGCATCGGGCTTTCGATTGCTGCTTGTGCGATTTACATAATTATTCGGCCTCTGGAAGACATGATTAGAGTGATTCCAGTTCAAGAAAAAGCCATAGACTTACTCTGCTGGGTCAGGAGAAGGTTGAAGCGGCGCTTCAGCGTCACGCGCTGGCGCGACCACTTGTCGTCGGGAGAGAAGCGAGCGGGGTGGGCAGATTTGGTGACCTTGCCGTCAACCACCTTCTTGAGGGTGTAGATACGGCTACCCGCCTCATCAAGAGTGTACATCAGATGCATGGTGTGAGTCGGGTTGCGTAGGTCGAGTTGGGCCTTGAATTGTCGGTGGAAGTGGTGACTGCTGTGCTACGCCTGGCTGGAGAAACTTTTTTTTTGGCCTTGCGATGGGGATATTTCGGAGCCACGTGACCTTCGGTCAGAATCCAATGGATAAGACCAATTGGGCTGCTCGGTGTGAAGTGGGGCGATTTTCCCAGGTTTCGACATGAGACCCAAATGGACGAATGTCACAAATCCATGGTACCTTACTGCTTCTATGGGGCGAAACAGAGATTTTGCAATCAAGTATTTCAAATTTCCTTTCCTATCTCACCGGTTGGTCTGATTATGAAAACTGCGCATCTTTTTGGGTCAAGTCTTGCTTTAAGCAACATACCCTCTTCCACAATCTTGATCGCCAACGCAAGCATTTCCAGCAGCATGGCCTAGTCTTGTTCACGGAAACACCAGATCTGTTCTCTTCGATTCCTCACCAAATGCATGACCCTTACTGAGTCTTCATTGAATTAGTGATGGTGTCCCATTCCCTGATCCTTGAAGGGTTTGATGCTGTTGCCTTTAGGAAACGAAGGACCTAGCTTTGGTGAGCGAGCACACTGAACGCTGCGCAGTGATGTACCTACCGAACTTTGGGTGAACGATATAGTTGTCCTGGTACACGTCTACTGTGTTGATCCGAGAATACTCCATAACCTTGTCAAAATCAACGCACTGGTGCGGCGCCGTCTGATTGACGATAGGGTGCGCGTCAATATCGGTCCACATGTGAGTGATGATGGAAATGTCACCACGGCAAGCTGCACCCATGCGAAGGACCTCGAGACAGTGTTCTGTTGCTGTGTTATTGGATCAAGACTCGATTAAAGTGCAGTGCTCTCAGAATTTTGATGCCAAACTTACGGTTGTGTTCTCGGTTTGTATCAATCTCTTGTTCAGTTGCATTGGGGAAATAGTACTCTGGAGACAATGTTTGATAAAGACGCTTCTATATATTTGGTTAGCTTTGCTAATATTTTCGACAGCAAAGGGAAACTCACAATACAGTGCAGCTCGTGGAAGACGCTCAGCATACCGAGGTACCCGCCATCGGGCAGCTTGACTGCCTCACGCTCCCGTCCCCAACGATGGACCCAACCCTCAGAAACTCTGATGTTGTTATCTATATGATTCAGATCAGCGCTGGGTCGAGGTGTATTCAGTGGTAACTTACACTGTAGCAAGTCCCTCCATGCTTTGTCTACCTCCGGCCTTGGTTCACCAGTATACTTGCCATGTGGCGGGCCCTGAATAGGGAAGACTTCGAGATGCATTTCCTCGCCAATAGCCTTGGGAGGTGCTATAGTCTAGTAAGTTTCAAGAACTGGGACACCAACGTCATGAGATCTACCATCTATCAAACCAAAGGCCCCCGACCATGGCTTGTTGGGGAGTAGGGACACAACAAATATTGCGGTGTAAATGGCTATTAAAATGGCATGGAAAGTCCACACCCCAAATCTGCGGAGCTTTGATGTGTACTCTGTCTTCGGTGCCGCGTCTGCGGCCTCGACGGCTTCCAGGCTCGACGCGGCGCTCTCGTCAGAGTAAACAGCTGAGTACTCCTTGTTGTGTCGGCCCATCTTGAGCTGACGTCTTGAGGGCCTTTTCGGGATTAAGAATATTAGGGGAATACAAAGGACGAGAATGAGGCTTGCAAGCAAACGAAGTAGACAAGATGCCCCCAATTCTTTTACAAAAGGAAATGGACAAGAGACGTATGATACCAGGTGGAAGGGGGAGGAAACCAGGTGACGGGATTGCGAATTGCCACCATAAAGCGTTTTTGGATCAAAGCTTGAAGGATTCGCGAGGGATTACAGACTTTTTCATACACCCCACCGTAACAGAGGCGGGCTTATCCAGTGTGGTGATCCATCCGGAACACGTACCAATGAATCATCCTCTCCATCAAAATTGGAAGGTCTATACAGTTGCGGTGACCTTATCTTTGATGGGGGAAAAAGTGATCTGGGCGTCTTGAGTGGAAGGCGCGCGAGCGTGTCGGTGCATCCGAATCCTTCAAGGATAATCACTATACCCAGATGGAAGACCCCCCGGTGACCAAGTCCTATGTCTGACAGCGGCTCGCTTTTCGAGTCCGCACCAGCCAATCTAATATCAATACACAACCTTTCGTGTTTGCCCCTGTCGTCACATTGCATGTGAGCTTGGCCTTCGAAACAAGGTCAATGAAACCTCCTCACCAAGAGCGAACTTCTGCGCTGGATAGGTGTGACAAAGCCAGAACAGTTTCCTACATACTCAAGCCAGTTAGCTTCTTGATACCACCACACCTTTCGGCTGCATTGCGTTCTTGAATTTGTGTACCCACATATTGAGTGAAAATTGTATGCTCGATGTTTGGAGGATTTAGAAGTTGGCATGTGTAACTCCATAATCTACGGGCATGAGACTGACCCGAACCTGCTATCGGAGACTGGCTTGTAATCCAAACACCACCCAAGTGGATCACAAGCCTCTCGCTCTTCCTCAAGTTCTATGCACCTCAATCCTATGGCTGTGGGGCGACAAGCTAATTCAATTTGGAAGGTCAACAATGGAGGTGCTAGTAAGCCTGGCTCTAAAAGGTTACCTTAGACGCGAATGGAGACTGGGGGAAATCCTTCAACATCTAGCTTACTTCCTTTACCACCATAGAAAGCCCGGTAAGATTGAGTCTGCACAGTTGTACAAATGAAGCCACAATTTCCATTTGTGACCGGTGAAACTACGATTTGTCAGTCACGGGAGTCACCACACTGCCACCTGCCTCTTTCATCTCACGGATCAGCATGCAAGGTTCCAGCTCCTGACTATGATTTATCCAGTCCGAAGTCTCTCCGGAATCATTGAGCCCGATTAGATTATCACAGTGAGTGTCAATCATAAGAAAGGGCTCAAAGGCTGCCAACTGTCTTTCAACTAGGACTCTTTCACTTAAGTCCAGTCTCATTCGGCTCCAGATCTGCTCTTCAACTCAAATATCAGTTCCGAAACAGCCTTTCAATTCGCCGCCTCACGATATGAAAGTTCCCGTCTTGTTGACCGCTTTGGCGGCTTGCATTGTTGCTCTGCCCACTACTCCACGTTCAAGTCATGGTAAGTGACATACTGAAATTATTCGCTTGGATTTGGTTTCGTATATTAATAAAAGACAGTCCGAACTAGCGTCGATGAACCCTACTTCCCTATGGAAGCCCGAGCAGAGACCAGTGCCGATGAGTCTTATCTTCCAATGAAGAGGGCAGAGTCCAGCGCCGACGAATCATACCTCCCGATGAGGCGCGCGGAGACGAACGCTAACGAGTCTTACCTTCCTATGAAGCGATTTGAACCCAGCGCAGACGAGTCATACGACCCCATGAAGCGCGCCGAAACCAGCGCCGATGAGTCCTACCTTCCCATGTAGACACACGTCAAGCCAAATGTATCCGAGGCTTTACACTTCGATATGAATTTGAGGCAATAATAGTCATTCGAGGGACAACAGGGCTCAAGAACAGTGACTCAGCCTCGGATGCCATAAGCTGTGGAACGTACCACGAGATTTTAATTATGTTCTGTTGTTATTAAGGCACGAAATTGATGCAGGAAATCGTTCTTAGCAACTCAAGCATACAACATGTTGAATCTCGCAATCTCGAGTTAGACTAAATCAAGACTATCTGCATTGTGAAGCTGCTGATTGAAATTTGGCCCTTAACATCTTAAAAGAACAAGCTCGTCTAGACACGTCGAACCGTACTCTCCCCCCCTCCTCATTCAATGAGAGTAATTCAGACGTCGGCTGATCTCACTTGTTTGTCACTATCCTAAATTGATGATGGAATTGTGATTCAAGTCAATTTATCACTGCAAAATACTGTATGACGTTTAGAGACCAATAGGACTCTGGTTCATTTGTATGGGCTTCAGCTACCAACTTCCCAACGCTCATCCATCAACACAACCTCCTATTGAACAATTGTAAAAATTATTGATGAGGAGAAGGCGCTAAGATTTGATTATCTAAATAAAGTTAATACATACCTTGAATAAAGGATCTCGTAGTATCCGGAACCCACTTCAGTTGACTCCCCCCACCCAGGGGGCAGCGTGATGTCAGCCTTTGTGTTAAGGGGAACTTCGACAACCATGCGGAAGCCATTGCGATGCAAAAATTTTTCCTCTTCATTGTTTTTGAGCTACCATTGAACATTTATTTCCCGGTAAAGCGAAACATAGTTCAAATTAGCACTGGTAATGCTCCCGCAAGTGATCGGGGTGTCAGTAATTTGTTTCCAGCGTGGTTCAGCGGGGGCAATGCCGCCAACGACCTGTTGCACCCAACTGGCAACTGAGCTGGATGCGTAGTGATTCAAAATAGCCATCTAGCCAAGAGCGATGCCCCCTTTGTGAGAAGACTGTCCCGTCTTTACGAAGTGGTCGTGCCATTTCAGACTACCCATACAGCCTGGAAGGCAAACAGGTCTGAAGAAACATGTGATAGAAGTCCTCAGTGGCGCCGATATCTTGGAGGGGAAATCCTAGAGGGGGTGTCCTTGCAAAGTCCGTGCCGAATAGGTATTAATTGCCTGCGACGATCTGTGGTACCTTCTCGACAGCAGCTGATCATTGCCCTTTATCTATGAACAGACCGAAGTTGAGAGCCATGGCATACGCCATCTGTGTCTCATTTGCGAGAACGCCATTCTAAACCCAAGTATCATGAAACGCTGCACTTAAATGCTTTCGCTGACTTCGATGCTGTTCTGCTACGTCGCCTCGTCCAAGAGCTGCATACATGTTTGCCATAAAGTTGGTCATGTTGATAGGATACGCATCGGCGACCATATGCTGCGAATCAGTGGAGTTGCCGGGAGCTTCAGGAGGGGCCTTCGGGTCGAGCCAATCGGCAAATTGAAAAGAGCCGCGATTCCACGGTCCAACTCTGTTGCGGCTGATACCTAGATGCCTGAGATTGAGGGTATTGCTCTTCGAGAAGGCCTAGATCACCGAATGCTTGGTAAATATTGGAAGGATTGGCAACTGCAACATTCCCTCAAACTGTATTAGGATCGTTGGGATGGTGAATGGGGCCATCATGAAGTCGTTTTGTTGCATCTCTGACCAGGAATCCTTTTTACCAAGGTCTCCAAAACCCGGCGGCATTGTGCAAGTAGTTACCTGTGGGAGCAAAGGCGTGAGCATCACCGCTCCACCCAATTCGCTCATCACTCTGTGGACTGTCGGTGGGTATAGATAGGAAGTTTCCCTGTATGGACCAACGCGCTTTGTGATGTAACTAATTAAGAAGCTGATTTGAACGGTCGATCCAGCCCATTTGCTCCATGACGCTGTGGAAACCCACTCAGCAGTCAGAGAAGTCTCATATGACCAACCATCATCGACTTGAGCATAAAGAAAGCCATGAAAGGTAAAACGCGGCTCCTATATTTGCGTGCCGTTCCCATGCAAGATGAGGGATTGAGTCTCTGTGGAAACTCTTAGCGGTCTCAGAGAAAGCTCACTGTCTTCCAGAACCTCGGTATGTTGACGAGTGATATTTGTTCTGCTAGGCCCAGAAAACGTGCGTCGCAGCCAACCCACAAGATCCTGCCCGGAGCCGGTGATCGTTTTGCCAGGAGGAGGCCAGGAGGAGACGCAAAGATACATTCATACTTTCTCTCTCCTGCCTACTCGTCTGATGGGAGGCCGATCGGGAGGAATTTAATATCTTTTGGGGGCGGGCAATTCCTTCACCTCCAGCCTGTCATCGGCGGCAAATTCTGCGGATGGCCATGCCTCCCGGTCTGCCTCAAGTGTAGAGTCGTAATACTCGCCATTGTGAATATCGGACGTGATAAGGGGACCGGTATTGACTCTCCAAGTTGCGTCGCTCGAAACCATACCCTTGGTTCACTCTTCAATAAGTACCCACCAGAAGACTAGGAAAGCTGATGGTATCTCCAAAGTTATTTCTGACACCACCACCGTATCTCAACCTACTTGAGAACTAACCCTCGCCGGCCACAACACCGATGACATTGTTTCCACTTGACACAAGCTCCATGACGTCGTGTGTGTCGTAAACGTGGCGGCAATATGTCTTAATTTGCGGGATCCCTAAACTACGAGGCAGGATCTCCGACACCCTCTGACTGCATCCAGGATAGGGTGTTCATCTCACCATGCGTTCTTAGCCTGTATCTGCAAGCCGGATATTCCAACTCATTACGATGAGCGCATCAAGCTAGTCTTTCGTTCTTATTGCGCATTCTTCTAAGTTGTAGTGATTAATATTATCTTCGCCATCGACAAGTCAGCTGCTTCGCAAGCACCGCACCGTCATGTCATATTCTACCCCAGAACTGCTATTATCATTAAGCAAGCAACATAAAGATCATAGTTTAGACCCGGATCTCCTGGGATGAACCAATATTCAAGCACGCAACCCAGGAGACTAGCGACCCCGCATCGTTTAGTCAGTAGTGCAAAGAACCCCGTTGTCATGCTGCCTTTCCCCAGCTTCTCCGCAATGTGACATGCGGGGGCTTGCATACAGCTGATGCATGACGCGACAATGTTCATTTGCTCCTCGTCTTTGCTACATGCGTTCATTGGGATGACAATAATTAGGTGCTGCCAAACGTCACTATCGGAGTGAAAGTCTACGAAAGCAAGATCTGGAACCAACTTTTCCCGGCGGGCTGCTGATCTCACCGGCTTGCTCAAGGCGTGGTGGCATACACCGTAGAGGCCTGGCATTTCCCGGACTTTCCGAACATCTTGTCTACCTTGCGTAAGGTACCTTGACGCTCAAAGGATCCGCCTCCAGAAGAAGGAATTATTGAAAGTCGGGTAAGAATCCCTTTAGGAACTCGAAAATTCGCTCTCCCGAGCTCCCTGTCTGAGCAACATCCGGTTAGCAATAAGACGCTATGTTAAATTCCGCAGGCCGGTCCGTTCAATCTTTTTACTTTTATGACGGCGTCTCAAGAGCCCTCACAGTGAGTGGCTCCTACTCGTTATCACGCATCTCTAGGGCTGCACAAAAGCCGGCAAGGGTATTTCATTTGGTATCGGACCCTCTCCCTCATCTTTGCGCCTGCTCCGTCTCTCTTTAGGGCCAAATACTCCATATCGCCTACCCATTTATAAAACACTCACAACATCTACTCTCTCTCATATGAGTATCTTCAGGCCTTCAGTATTGACACCTGCATGGACTGTCCGTGTTCCGCCGGGCCGATTACTAAGGCATCGGCTAAGTTCCAATGTAGGCGGAAGTCCGCGGGTAGCGTGCATCCGCGGCCTGACCCATTTTAGCTGACATACATAGGTATTTACCTCGGAAAGTCTGCCAAAGCGTCTGAGAGCAGCCATGTGATGTTTTGTCTTCAAAACGTTCATCCGTTGACCTAATCTTCATTCTTTCCCACCTTTGACAGCAAGTTCCTGTGCAGCATCGAAGAAATGGGTATCCCGGCAGATAACAAGACAGTCCTGATCACAGGGTGAAATGCGTCCTTCTTGACTTAGTCTTACGCGCTGGACACGTTAGTGCTGACATGTTTCTGGTAGCTGCACCCCAGGGGGAATCGGCCATGCCTTGGCAAAAGAGTTTCACGCCAAAGGTGGGTGATGAAAACGCTCAAGTACCATTTCTTAGTTCCCAATCTCATGACACGAACTATTGCTGAACAGGCGGTTTGCTCACATTTCCCTGCTAGGACTGCATGTCATCGCAACGGCCCGCCGACCTGAAGTTATCGCAGACTTGCGCGACTTGGGTTTGACGACACTGCCACTCGATGTCACTGACAGCGACAGCATTGCAATTTGCAAGACAAGAGTCTGCGAACTGACTGGAGGCCGTCTCGATTTCCTTGTGAACAACGCGTAAGGCTTACCTTGACCCAGGGCTCTCTCGAGCCAGACTGCGTCCTCTACGTCGAGGGTCGAAGCTGGCTTACTCGCATGGCTGCCTACTAACGGCCTTCCAGTGGCTTGACGCATACAATCCCAGCAACCGACATAAACATGGACGAAGTTCGACAGACTTTTGAGACAAACGTCTTCGGCGTCATGGCTATGGTTCAGGCTTTTGTGCCACTGTTGATCCCGGCTCGCGGTCTCATCATCATGATTAGCAGTCTCTCCTCGATTTCTCCCTATGTTTTTGGCTCAGTCTACACGGCCACCAAGGGCGCTATGAACTCATACAGCCGTACACTTCGTCAAGAGCTTCGTCCGTTTGGCGTGCGTGTCATGGTCTCAATGACTGGCACTGTCAAAAGTCATATTGCTAAGCTCTATCGCGAACTGCCGCCCAATTCGCTATACACTCGCGTCAAAGACATATTTGCCAACCGCCTTACGTTTTCCCAGAACACCGCGACTGTTTCAACGGGAGAATTTGCCCAGCGACTTGTAGCAGAGGCACTTAAAGGAGAGGGCTGGCTTGGTGGCTGGATCGGAGGAGCTACGAATTGGTTCTGGGCTGGCGGCATGGCCCGATCAGTCTGGTTGGCTCGGTTACTTTTCGGTGAGTGGCTGTTGGATGAATTGGCCTACAGGAAGTTCGACATGCCAAAACTAGAGGCAATCGTACGTAAAGATGGTGTTAAGAAAGTGGACTAGGCAGATCCATGTATTCTAGTCAGTTCTGCCACAAGTCTAAGGCCTTGCCGCCTTTCTTCTCTGTCTCAATTTTCATTTCAGTCCAGTCCTCTCTACTTCAAGGGCCCTCCTCGTCTCTCGAATAGGACTTCGAGCTGCCATTTTCGCGATCTCTGAGACCCAAGAATAAACCGAGCATCAACAGGTCATAGCACGCCTTCATGATTCCTGCTCCCGTGAATACCACGATCCAAAGCTTCTTCCCGGCGAGGTACCCTGCTGAACCGAGACCACCCGCTTGAGCCCAGGTCTTCACGATATTGACGACACCCAGCACAGCGGTTCTTTCGTTGGGGAGAACTGCAGCTGCTAGAAAGGCCTGCCTAGGGGCTTGGTCCATGCTCTGTGAACACGCTCTTAGGGACAGAAGCGCCATCGCCGTCCATGTTCCACCAGATCCTGGCGATGGAAGAGGGATCATTGTCAAAAAGATAGCAGAAGGGAGGTGAGTGAAAACCATAGTCTTGAGTGGTCCTAAGCGGCGGGCAAGTGGAAGTGCGATGAGATTCGAAATGGTGGCGAGAAGGTTGGTGACTAGGAATAGAGTCCCCAGCGTTCCCGGCTGTAGAGAATGGACGGTAGTGAAAAAGTAAGTCATCCAAGATGGCGACGCCATTCCAGAGGCGAACGAGTCGAGACAGAATAAAATGAGGAGTCTAAACAGTATCGATCGAGAAAGTGGAGAGATATAAGGGAGTAGAGCCCTCGTGCGCTGAATAACTGTGGGCCGACGGAACTCTGCGTCTGTCGATGGCCTAGACTGGCTGTCTTCACTGTTTGAGTTGCCACCAAGCAGAGGTTGGGTTTCGTTGCCCCTTTGGATAGCAGGACTGTCGGATTTTGACGGTGTCGCCTCAACACCAGACGTGAGGGTGAAGATGAGCATTAACTTGACTAAGCCGATTGCCGCATATATCAGAAACACGACCCTGTATGCTTCATTCTGAGTCCAAGACTCATTGGCCTCGAGCGCTTGTACCACCCAACCGCAGGTGAGTGTGCCCAGAGCGGCACCTGCTGAGCCAAAGAGAGTGTACCAAGCGAAGATATCACTGCGCCTTTCCTTGTCGGTGAGCTGCGCGAGAATCGACTCTTCAACGGCGCGAAAAGGTCCGATTTCGTTGCCGCTTGGGCTGATGACCCCCAAAATACTGGCAATGAGGAGTAACCAGTAATTCCCGACTAAAGCAAAAACTAACCCGCTCATGACCATCAATGTAGCCCCGGTGGCAAGGACCTTTCGTCTCCCGACTTGGTCGGTGACGGCAGTGAGCAGGAAGCTGATGACGACGTCTCCAAGAAGAGTCAATGTCATAAATAGACCGATTCTCTCATCCGAATAGCCCAGATTTGACAGGAAGTGAACTAAAATAAGGAATGATGCGCCATAGGCAAAGAGACGAACAAAACGTTGAAAGCAAAGGACCTTGGTGTCGCGACAGGATTGTGAAATGGATGCGAAACCACTCTCTTCATCAAGCCGTGACAACCAAGATCTCGCTTCAGAGGACATGATAGCGCTTCAGGGGTCAATTTAGGTGAAGAATGTTATTTGATATATTTATTCGCAATGAGGATGCCGAATAGACTTATAAGTCAAATAACGTCGACGTGACGTGTGCTCGGGATGTGTTCGTGAGCTCGGAGTTATGAGTGGAGAGAAGTCGGAGAAGTCGGTTTACGCTAATAGTGCCCTGAAGAACCTGAGTCATGTCACGTGCTTCAGGCCATTTAAATTAGAGGCAAGACATTTCGTGATTGCCTGCTTATGTCTAGAGGATGCCTACTCTGCACAAAGCGGATAAATATGGTCTGGTCAGTCAGTCCTCTATCCAGCATTACCGATCATCCGTCTTGAGCTAATAAGTTCTCAGGTTTCTCAGTTGAGGTTATCCATGCACAAGACGAAAATGAGGCCAATTGCATTGTGCTCCACTTGAAACATTGAGCCTCAATAGGTAGATAGACACGTGTGCTAGAAAAAATTGCCCTAAGCACCGGCATTACTTTAGCAACATGGCAGTCTCTATGTAATGTCATTTAGCAATTTCATTCGGTGGCTCAAAATTTTCTTAGCTTTTTTTGTAGCCAGACGTGGCTGGTGGCTGGGTTTTAGCAATTGCTGTAGCCGCCTCAAAGCAACTCAGGCAGCAATAATCGCTACTCAAAATAGAACCACCGAGCATAAAGCAAAAGTATTTACTATTTTTTAGGAACCGTGTGGTGTCGTCGTGATTATAATCCTAAGTTATAGGACTAAATAAAGCAGTTGCAAAGATATGTCACTACTTTAGTTTAATTATACCGAGGTAATAACATGTCGTTGAGGTTGCAACACGGATATGTTTGATCTTAATTCACAACGGGCGAAGGCTCTAGCATCCAAGCGCGAGCCAGTATACGTTCTTGTATTACCTATAAATAAAAAGTGCTGTGAACCTTGCTATGAGACAAGCGGTTACGACATGCCCTTTGTAAGCTAAATCTCCTGTGACTTATCAAAATTGGGCCAGCTTCTTTACCCTGACGCTACTGCTTACTAGCATGATTTTGAGATATCTAGAGGGTGGGTGTCAGGGCGTATAGTTCACAAGTGAGGAAGTCAGCAAAAGGGCACTTAAGGGAGGGATCTCGAGGTAGGTATCGGTGGATTGCAGCATTCGAATCTGGCTGGGCCCCTAAACTAGCTCTAAGAGAGAGGATTTATATCCCTCAGATGACTAATAGGGGCCCCCCAGACCTTGTCAGGCACCTGACAGTGGGAGTGCCATGGACAAGACTCAACTCCTGTAGAGCGTTAACTGGATATGCAAGCAGACGAATAGCCTCCATCGCATGAAGACGCAGACTATGCTTCAGTATCCTCCCAAAAACTACTCGGGATTTGCTAAAGTCAACTCCGGGCGCACGATCCTCACCTGGCGGAATGTTCAGTCTCATCTTTTCACCCACACGTACATTCTGATAATCCGGAGTAACCCTTATAGTCATTTTTCTTTCATCAAAATGGCCCGCCCAGTTTTGACCAACTTGGTGGTGAAATTCGACTATCAAAGGGACTCAATAATGATGGGAAACTTCATTTCACAGCCAGTGCTCGGCGGATGTGCAGATCGCGACGAAGCATAATTTAAATGTATCTATAGAGAGTTGGAGGCTTATTTTGAATTGTATCACTGCCAGATCATCGCGTGAGGCATGGTAATATAAATTCTAGTGTTTCGCCCTTTCTAGTACGGGGCAGTCGATGGCGCTGTAGATGTGAAAGGTCTATTAGTTCTGTCCTTTCGACTTGGCAGCTTCGTCACTCACTACTTGTCATTCGCGTCGGCGGAGATACCGATGGGCTCCTCATTATCGACAGTGCACTTAGCAAAAACATTGCGAACAATCTGTTCGGAAGTCGTTTGGCAGTGAATGTGGCGTTTTACTCCTTTTGTGTCGCGAATATCAATATCACTACCAACGCCTACGTAGTAGTCCTTGGTGAGAATTTTCCCTTTGAAGTAACTTTATAAAACCAATCAGTTTAGTCGTGTCACAATATAGTGAGAGGGTTCCTTACCATCCGTATTGAACATCGCGGGAGTCGAGAGTAGGCGAAGCCTGGGCTCCGGCAATGAAGAGGGCAGCAGCGACGGCGAAGGCACGCATTTTGAATAGTATCCTGATATGGAGCAGCTTAAAACCAGTAGGGAAAACAGGGTGACGGGTTTTGTGTGTCAAAAAAGTAGCAACACGTCGTGGCGTGAACGTCTTGACTCGGGGTTCTTATACTAGAACGTTGTAATCTGAGTGCAGTTGTCCGTCAATCACCGAGCTTTTGACTTTCACGTCCGGCCGGGGCGGGATCTAGAATTTCTGAGTGCCTATGCCCTGGTCGCCGTTGGGGGTTACCATTGCCAGATGATCCCGAATGCGAAAGTTACTTTGGCGTCGGTTCATTCCATTTTGAACTCTGAAGTGGTTGAGTTTTGCTGCGTGGCACGGAAACAGCTTCACTGCCACGCACAGTGGAGTTCATGCAAAGGCATCTCTAATATCCTTCCTCATCTTAGATTGAGAGCATATCCCTGTCCCGACAGTGCACCACTTTGTGCCCAATTTCACCGACCGCCGAATTGTCTTTAAGAAGATGGAGGTGGGGGAAAACAAACGCGTCAAGGTTTAATTAATAGGGATCTAGTAAGTTTATCTTTATTTAGAGAAAAGTATCGCAGCCGTTTCCGGCGATGCCGTTGAAAAATTCTTGCTAGACTGCCAAGACATTACAGGGAACATCAACTGGTCAATATCATCAATACATGAGTCTACTTCATACCCACAAGATAGATTTAAATATCTCCGATATATCACTCAAAAATAATATCTTCAGCACGGAAACTCTTTTATAAATTTTAATTATTCATAAGAGAATGTATTTGAAGGTCTCTGTCCTTGTCGACAGCATAATTATCTAAGCAGCCTTAACAGAAATTTTTGAACAGCACAGCCATACGGATACGAGGTTTAGTGTTGTGCTCCCCGCATTTGAGGTTACGAGGACGGTGAAATCTAGAAAGTATGATCGTGCTTACGCGTCACTATATTCGCCCTAAGCAACAAGCAACATTTTCAAACTATGGTATTCAGAAGGCGGTCAAGCTGTAGGGCATACTGTTGGTACATATTACGACCCTCAACCCCCCTATTTCCAGCTACGCTATATGAACGGCGCAAATATCTTTATTTCGAAAACGATGACGGACGCAACTCCCGCTGAAATTTAAGTCGACAGCAGTGTTGCAGGTCATCATGATTTCCTAAGTCTTCAGATGCTGACGTTGTCCTGATAAATTTCTGTTTTAAGTAACACCCACGAGGGGTCCGTTTGGAGTAGAATGATCTGTCTCTGTTCCCAAAAAGAAAGAACCATCTGACAAGGTCACAATAATGGGATGACCGCCGTATTTGTATAGTCAGCAGATTCTGAGGCACATTCGATTCTTTCCATACATGTTCCAAAAATACGATCCCACAATCGTGTGTGCTTGCCGTAGTTGCCGCTCGCCTTCCATCCTTTTCGATGATGAAGATCATGGTCCTCGAGGACTAGTTCGCAATGAAACAATTCAAGTGGCCATGCAAAAGGTGTTGGAGTTGTGGCGTAGAGACGCAACCCACTGTGTCCCGTCAATTCGGTGAAAATGACATACTCCTGACAGAACCACCACTCGTAAAAACCCATGGGCAGCCCCACAAGCCTGAGTGTCGCCCATGTCAGGAAGGGAATGCCGACAATATCGAAAAACTCTTGCTCACTGTCCGCGAAGAGTGTCAAAAGAGGGTTCGGGTGTTTGGTAAGGTGGTGTGTCTTATGGTACTTCCACAATGAGTCGACCTCGTGCATCAGTCGATGATACCAGTAAAACCAAAAGTCCAACACGACACCATAGAAGCCTATCTCGAGCGGAAGGAGCATCCAATTCATTTTGCTTGGTGCTTCGTCCCGACGATAAGCTAAAATGACTGCCATCATAGATCGGAATGTGGCGGTCGAAACTAGTGACTCTAGGACGATTCGGACGCTTTTGTCAGGAACACCATCGCGTTCGTGCTTGTCGCCATCGAGATATCCGTAACGTTGACCAAGAGCCCGCATGGTATTAATTTGATGGATGGCAACGGCCTTGATCGCTACACTGTAGAATATAAAGGCTGCTACTGGGTGTACATTGTGTCCGGTCAAGGATATAAACCCTTGATGGAGGATGAGAGGTATAGTTGCGTGCACCAAAATCCATCTGTGGAACTGCCAATGAGGGACATATGGCACTGATTCAGCCTTGGAGTGAATAGGTGCAGGCTGGTCAAGCTCATCATGGTATAACCCCAGCCGCTCGATAATCCAGTGGCCGATCTTCCAAGTGCGCCTATCACTGCGACGCCAGGTTGACTTCATATTATCTTTGCTTTCGACCCTGATGGTCTGAGGCGCTTTCGTTGCTGTGATAGTAGAAGACATAGTGATAAGATAACTTGATGATTCTCGACAACTGGTGATGTGATTCTGTTAGCGTGAGAGGGACCTTTACTCTCTTTATATTTGGTTTCATCTGATCTTGGCCCTCGGCACTTCTGCCTTCACGTGTTCCACTCCCACAATGAAATAAGCTCGGACAACACGTCAGACCCTTATGCAGTATTGACAGCCTTGAGCAAGGGTGTATACTTTGCAAGCAGGTAAAGTAGTGAGTGTTTCACGTAACCCGAGGCTCGGTGCGTTTAGGCGAAAGGATTAGATATAAGCCAAGCCACCAAGTCTCACTGATAGGCTGAGGCCGTTGAAGAGTAGAAGCATTCGAATTCGAAGAGCTTTGTATTATTCCCGTGCAAACCGAGCGTCACTCACTATCTTAGTTAGACTATATGAGCCGCGACATGAAGACATTTCAGGGTCCTTTCATCTTAACAATCAGAGAAACTGTAATGTGTTTGATTCTCTTTGGAAATTTCCGACCGGATGGTAGATTCTCCGTCACATGTAAGTTTAATTCAGTGGAGGTGACGAATTGAATCATAGGCCAGCTTGTGCAGCTCCGACCGAGGGTTATATAACAGGTTTCCACATGCAAAATATAAAAGGAAATTGAGTTTGATCGCATGTGCATGAACAAAGGCAGGTCGATGTTGACGAGATGACTATGCATCTTGATAAGTTTACTTGTTCTTTAGCCACTACAATGTACGCAAACTACATTCATGTCATTGAGACATAACCGTCCTAGAGTGATAGTGATCACTGAAGACATCGTGACAGCATGACACAATGATCATTGAAGTTGGTTGGGGAGCGCAAGCCAGCCAAGACCCCACCGTCATCTTCTCAAATGCCTAGGCAACAGGGCAACACGTAGGGAATCATGCATAACCCAGTTCCTTGCATGTTCACTCCACCGGATCTTGTTTGGACGACAACAGCGGCGATACCGTGTACGATGAACAGGTGTTGGTATCGAACAGCTTGGAATTCCATCTCCGAATCATTAAATAAGGTGCCCAAATCGCATCTTCTCCGCTCATTAAGGTGTCCACTCACAAATGGTTAACACTCTCGCAGTTTCGGATTGTTTACAATACAGGTACATCTTTTGCCTAGGAAATCCACATTCATGAATAAGAACTCCCAAGCAACATTTTATTTTCAATAACAACTCAGTTTCCCCGGGCTAAATCTATTATATCAGGTACAGGTGGAATTTCGATATTCGATCGGTGCTTAATAACAGGCGTACTGGTTAACACATGTTGTAAGTCTTTAAGCTTGAACTGTCACTTGGTCACTTAGGTACTAATTAGTACCTGTTCAGGTCTACAAATGGCTGGAGATCATACTCAAATGCGTAGGCTAAAAGCTGACAAAATTCTCTTCAAAATCCAACGCCAATGTTAAGGTTCATGTTGGTATCCATATCACGGGATATTCGGATCCGAACCGTAGTTCCGAGGGGGGGACGAATGGTTAATTGACTGTATATTGGATCTCTGCGTGGGTTGTAAGAAAGAGAGGTTCTAACCGTAGTTTAGGCCATTAGTTGGAAGCTGATACAGAGACCAGTTGATGGTCCCTGCGCTTGCCCTGACTGGAAGTCGAATTGGACTTGTAATCCGACATTTCAAAAGTTATACGCAGTCGAAATAGAAAAGTTTTGAGTACATATACCTTCGATGAACAAGGAGAAACATACAACCGGCTGGTGAGCCTTAACATGTAACTCGCAGCTCACTCATTGCAATATAGTATTATACACTTGCAACTGCAACTTTGGCCACCAACCCTAAAATTCCCGCCGCAGTGATTGGCGAGGTTGCTCTTGAAAAGCCCTCCACGAATGGTAGACGCTCTTGCGCTAAAAATCTTTTGTAAGCTAACAATTAATGAAGGCAAGAAGGCAGGATTGCACATACTAAATAACACCTTCACCCATTCGGTGTTGGCATTGCCATCGTCCAAGTTTCCAAAAACAGAGAGGTAAAGAGCCGTCTCAATGAAGCTGAATTGGGTTCCATCAGCAGTGAGGTTGAATTCGGGGTTCGTAGCAGCAGCGGCTTGGAGACGTGAGACCCTGGCCTTGGCTGCTGTTGGGATGCTGATTGTAGTGTTCGTGAATTGGGATGCCACAGATTCCCAAATGGTCTTGTCGAAGGAATGGTTATCGCCAAAGTAAATGTCGTTACGGCTCAGACTCCCATCGTGTTCGATAACTAGCATTCCAAATTTAGCCTAAGCATACAATGTCAAAGTCTTGTTTGACTCACTGCCATGGGTGTTGAGGTCATCCAAGTTGAATGTCGCGTTATTGCCAGTCGTCGACGCGAGGAGAGCCTTTTGTCCGACCAAAGTGGTAGCAGCAGGATCAAGATTAACCGCTGCCGTAAAACCAGCAATGAGATCTGCAAGAGAGACATTCAAGCCGCTACGGGGGAGGTATCCGTGGTTTGCAAGAGCGTTAACCATCGGACAGGGGCTGCGACCTGAGAAGTGTCAACAGTAGCTCAAAACAGGAGATTCATCTGATACCATGTCTTACGATCGGCGGAGGTAGGTGCAGTCCAGTCATTAGTCCCACGTCTAACGGCGAACGCATCCACCGCGAAAGCGAGAGAGAGAATGAATATGGACTTGAAAAGCATGACGGGCAAAATGGGAGAAAGTGATGGGGTATGAGGGCAAACAATGAAGGAAGTCTAGAGAGGAAGCGACGAGGCAATGCGCAAGGCTTGGGCAGCTTCAATTAAGTCACCGGGCGGCCGACAACAGATTAATCTTTCTCATTTTTTCATTCTGAGCTATGAAGTAAGCAATGTCGTCCCCTGAAGTTCTTTCTATTGTTGCGATCAATCTCACGCGATTCCGCTTTCGTACGTATGGCCGTGTTGAGTACCAGAACGAGCAGATAAGTGCGTGATTCGAAATTGATCCCGAATCCTGCTTTCTTCTTCAGGGAACCCCACGATGGAAGAGGTGCCCGATCCGGGGGCCTGTGCCGAGACCTTGGCTGCAGCCGGGGAGGTCGGGACCATTCTTCGATTGACATTAACCAATGACCAAGCCTCAAAAGTCATCATGTAGGCAGCAGTAGCCTCGGTAAAATCGGAACAGCCTGTTTTCGGGCTGTCACCGAGGACGATGGGCACAATATCCGTGCTATTGTCGAAGGTGTTTTGAGACATATCCGTGCGCAGGCGTACCTAGCCAGGGTCGCATTGACATCATCCAATAGGGTTATAACACAGTTTACATGTAACAGGGTCGGCCCGCAATGGTCGGAAGAAAGATCTTGAACTCTATTAGAGTACATGTTCGTGAGGACAACATAATGCCATGATGGACCTTAGAATGGCCAGTAAACGATCACGCCTCGACGCCCAGCGCTCGGATACCACGGTGCTATAGATAACAACCGCTGCGTCGAGCATTTGATTACTTGTTACCAACGACCTAACATATCCTCAGCCTATCAAATCCGGCCATCTGGCTTGTAACAGTGAGAGAGATATATCGCATCGTGTAAAGACTACTTCGTTCAATCTGCCTTAGGGTGTCGGCTACAACATTTAATAGAAAAGTCCTGAGTATATGTCATATTTTGGGCATTTCTATTGAGAATTCCTTTGATAGCACATCATTCTTCCACCTCGGCTTCATTGCCAAAAAGGAGGTACGAAGAGCAGGGGTGGATAATATTGTCACAAGCGCTAGTCAAAGCAATGGGGAATGTAAAACAAAGCCCAAGCGGTCCGCCCTAAGGGGAAATTAAAACGGCGTCACCGACGCCGCCAGTCCTTTTCGAAAGGGCTGTGTTTCCACATCTTTTTTATGAGTGATTTTTTAATAGCCTCTACTATCGGCCCTTAGGAACCCATGTCTGGCAATGTTGACCACACTACTTGCAGAAGTCTGAACAGGAAACGACGAAAAGTTTAGGAAGTTCACACTGGGACTGATGAGGAACGGGCATGTTTGGAACCCTAAGTTCTGTGAGAAGGGTAGCAAAACTAAGGTTGTTAAACTTACAGATGCGTGCCAAATGGCCACTCTAGATACTTATCATGTCTTGTTGACCGTGAATGAGGGCCATCATGCCATGCTAAAAACGAAACTACTACAAGCTATTAGCTAATCTAAAGCTTCCACCTAGAAGAGGGAATTTTGGGTGTCCCGATGAGGGCAACGAAATTGATCTACACATGCACGGATAGGTAATGAATGAGCGAATAGATTTACAATGGACAGATGCTTGGATCAAAGAAGTGGGCCGTTCAGAGTTAACACAGGAGCGTATCAGCTTTTGACAGGTCTCTTTTCCAGAGTACGTAGGCAAATTTGTTTTCTTTCCAACAAAATAATCTGGTCCGAAGCTGACTGTTCCTGACATTGACGACATAGCGCTGTGACTTTAACCACCATCTATAGAAGACTATCACAGCGCCCTCTATAGATATGTTTTCTTTACTCTCCTAGGGTTATATTTATCATCGGTAATAGACTTAACTTCTCATCTCTTTAGCACTTAATTCAGTGTAGGTGTTCCTTCCGGGATTTCCTCCCATCTAATATATACGAAAAAGACGCCAAGGCCTTGCGCGTATTTAGCATGCGAAGTTCAATTCAAAACCGTTTAAAAGAATGTGAGGAATCTAATAGGTATGCTGACGCGGAGTTCGCGGCCCCGTTTCACGCTGCCTTACATGCATCAGCAACAAATCGGCAATATCTCGATGCGATAGCCAAGGACTTGCGCTCTCCACTATCAGTCTACGGGCATTATGAAATTTGCAAGCTTTCGCTCCACAAGTAGTTGCAAGATTCCGAAGACTGCACGCCACTATCACTTACATCCGAATGCGGTCACGAGAATATTGTCCAACTTTTAGTGGATGTCAAATGCCACACCAGCTAAGCATATGTCCCCGGAAAACCCCAGATAGCTATCGCTTAGGACTCGACTGACTCAAGGGTTATTTACGGCAGGTCGCCTTTATCACTTACAGCAATGAATAGCCACGAAGCTATGGTCCAGATCCTTCTAAGGGCGAGAGAAGACTGGTTTGGACGTGCCGCAGTATATCGGCCTATGTCCATCAATAAGCGGTCACACATCATTGACCCTTGCAGTGCATTAGGGCCATGAGGCTGTTGTCAGACTGCTAATCAAGAACGGGTGGCTTGACATTAACTAACCTGACTTCGAAGGCCTCACACCTTTGGCTCATGCGGCCAGGTATGGATTCGAATAGGTCGTAAGAAGCTTGCTTGCCACTTATTGTATGAATCCAGATATTAGGGAGAGCGAAGGCTGGACCCCTTTCATGCATGCGAGCGTACTACCTTGGGCTACAGAGCCACCATGGAAATGTTATTCGAGACCCGCCCATGTCGACATAGTTTTAGTCAATCTTGGAGGGCAGGACGCGCTCCACTATGTGTGCAGCAACCCGGCTGTGGAAAAGTTGCTACCTGACTTGGCTGAGAAGCAGGAAGTCAGAGGGGTTACGAGATAGAGAAGAACATAATAACTTACTGCACAAGAACGCATAATGTAGCTGCAACCGCTTTGTAGAACTACAGCATTTCCACTTACATGGAGGCAATCATTTTCATAAGAGGACATATTCCCGGGCATCGGTGAAGGTATCGAGTGAACGGGCGAGGACATCGGAAAAGGGGTGCCCAGGAGGTTATGCATCGGCCTTTGACGGCCGCAGGCAAACGTCCCTTCTTCTTCACTTCCTTAGGTAATATATAAGTAGACCAATGTTACGAGTCTTCGTTACTCCAATGGCATCCGATGGGATAACCACAAGAAACCGTTGGCAATTGGGTTTTCGGTCCAAGCTTAGTCTGTTCAATGGATGAATTCCATGGCACTCGGTCACAAGCAAAGCACAAAATTAATAGGGTCACATCAGCCTTATCGGCACCTACCACAGGAGATTCGTATTGTAGTTACTCGATGCAAATGTGAGGATCGAGATGGTCTTAGCACTGTCTAACGGTTCATCGCTTTGCACTCGTGATGTTGCAAAGTTTGAAGCGGACATCCCTACAGCTTGTGGCTTCCTAAACATCGAGAATCTGTGCAAAAGAGGAAGCCAGATTTGCTCAATACTATGCTTAAGAAGGGGATGGAACAGAAAACGAGAGATGAGGTAAGACAAAGAGAAAGATGAAGACGGAAAGTGAGACATTCTGCGTAACCTTGAGCTTGCAGTTTACAGTAATATGAATGACGAGACTTTAGAGGCCTTAACAGCTTTTACTATCCAAATAGAGTTGACCTGTTATAGATATAAGCCGGCTTCTGAAATGTTCACGGGTACCTATAGATATAAAGAATAGCTTCGAAAGTTTAATACTACCGATGAAATTTAAGTAGGAAGTTACATAGGCGTCTGTTACCAGCTTCCGAGTCGCGATATCTCTCCTTTTCAATCACAACCCAATCATTTTTGTTATGATTCACGTCGATACTACTCGCCATTCACAGACAGTCCCAGTTCAGCTTCGAATTCAAGTTTCGACGCACACTCAAACGATCCACGGAATACGCAATTTTCAACGTGACTGACCTCAAAGCTCAAGAGGATGCAATTAAAGATGGATGTATTGTCGTTAAATATCCTGACTACGGACTAGTTTCTGGTTACGGAAGTATATAGTAAAGAGCTTCAGCCTGAATGCGGCTCTAGATGATCTTTATAATAGCGACGTCGGTATAAAAGCGACGCCGGTGTATTAATTTACGACGCCGGTATATTAATTCCCTTAAATAATAACGTAAAAGCTATTTACTTTTTTTTTAAGCTTCAGTAATAATTTACTATTTATAACTATATTTATAAAATTTAAATTATTAAATATTAATATTTTATATAAGCCTAGGCTTACTAAACCGATTATATTAAAAAATAAATTAAATAATTCGGCTTTAAACTTTATATTTATTTTATTTTATAATGTTAAATTTATTAACTTTTATAAAAATATTAACTTAATCGAAAAAAGTATTATAAGTTTATTTTGAATAATTTTTTAAATTTAAGTTTAAAACTTTAATTATAAAAAGAAAAAAGGATCGATTATTTAAAGTATAAAAAAAAGTTATAATTTAGAAAAACGCTTTATTTTAAAAAAAGGATTAATATAAAAGTAAATAAAATAATAAGTTAATTTAAGGACCTTATATTTCTTACTATTAATAAATATATATTACGACCCAACACGTATTGCTAGACCAGGGCCCTACCCCATAGGACCTACGGCAGCTATTATATTATATATATAATAATAACGGCTCCCCTCGGGACAAAAAAACTATAAATAAGTTATATAATTACGATCGTATAATAAAATAAAAAACGGACGTTTATAAATAAATAAGATAAGTAATTATAAAAATATAAAACGGACGACCGTTTAATAAACTATTAAATAATAAATAAATAAGATATTATAAAAAATATATTTATAATTAGGATTTATATATAAAATAGCCTAAGCTAAGCTTAAGGATAGACTTTTATAACTTTTTTAATAATTAATTTTTATATTAAATCTAACGATTACTTTTAACTATTTTTATTAAAAACCTTATTAATAAAATTACGATTAATTATTAAAACCTTTTTAT